CTAGGGGTGGCCAGAAATCCCAAGGGCCGGGGTTGAGTAAACCCCAGGTTCAAACTGCACCGTTTGAATCGCCGGTGCAGCCCACCCATCGTCGCCCTTGGCAGAAACCCATTAACAGGATAGTTAACTTCATTTCTTGTCAGGTGCTCTGCTTGGTTGGGGACCCGTGCAAGAATGCGCTGCTACTGTTCCTTCTGTCTCACGACACCGGCAAAGCACATTCCTCGGGGTACATGGGTACTCAGCAGGGGAGATTGTGACGACACAGAAAATTAGTCCCTACTTCGTTGGGGAACCTATGAGAGATATGCAACTGGTCCAAAATCATTCGATGAAATGAAGACAGCGACAAGGGGACCTGCAAGGGTCTGATGCACGCTACATTGTGCGTACATGTTTGGGCCTCGCTTTGCAGCAAATTTTTTGGCTGCCCGTTCCACGCGGATGGGGAGCTTGTTCCATGGACGGACAGATGCAAACAAACATATCGTCGCAAGGCCTGTCATCAGAGCCTCCGACTCTAAGGAATCACACCACAGTGTTGATCCCAGGAGTCGTATGTTCATCACAACCAGTGGTTGCTACAAAATGCAGCAATTAACTTGCATTGGAATGAAGTCTTCAGTTCCTCCTAGATGACCTTTGTGAACTTCCTGACAAGCAAGATCGACCATGCAACAAGCCCATGGCATATGCGGTATGCACACACTCTGGCAGCGTTCCTACGGGGATATTGCAGGAGCGCAAGTGCAAATACAGAAGCAAGTACCAATATACCCTAACAGACGGTGGGACAGACTAGTAGAGGGGAAGGACAGCCAGGTCGCCAATGAACAGCAGGCTTGAGGAACCGTTGCAACAATCATTCTCGTCACGGGCGACTCTGACTGCCGTCCATCACATTTTGCCTGAGGAATTCTCCTATTTGCCCAATGCGACTGCCCCTTAGGCGATAACCAAACTTGCTACTGGCAGATCTTCGTGATGGGGTACACGCAATCTTCAACCAGATGTTTATCCCAGTAATTGTATTGTAGCATATATCACGCAGCCACAGGGTCGTGATGATGCGACTGGTGCCAGAGAGTGCATAGTGCAATTGAATAGCCACTCTGCCAACAAGGTCCTCCTGAATCGTGTGGTGAAGCTTGGGGGGCATGTGCAGTCCCCAATAAGGTGCTTCAGAAAGGGAAGCCAACAGATGCATGCTAGGAAGGGTCTTAGACGACATCGCTCTCTGATGGATATGTTACAGCTGGAAATGACACCACCCCCAAATCCCATTAATACATGTGTGGAACTGCATGTGAGAGCCCCAGGCTGACTGCTCCATTAACCAAGAAACCAGAGACGGCCATCCAAGATCAAGCACACTGCGTTCCACCTGAGAATGCGTGTCCTGCCTGAGCGTCCCTGGTCGGCACAGACACTGAACCACTGGATATCAATAGCACTGGCAATAACAGAACCCACTGTAGATACAGAAATGAGCAAGGGATCTTCCATGTAAGGAATCCTCCATTGTGCAGGACAGCCAACCATTTTGCTTTCACCTTATGCCACTCTTCTGGCCAATAAACAACCCAGGACAATACTCTCGCAAGAGCATATATTGTGTGCACGCCTCAATGATAAATGTGAGCGCACAAAATCACCCCATGCTGTGCTGCGGGTTCACAACTCCTGTTTGTCTTCTGGCAGAAGCGGCTGTTGTCTTGACAGTTGATAAGCCACATACACCAGCATCAGAATCAGCAGAAGGGCAAATGGCCAATAAATGGACAACCTGGCACCACCCAACAGTTGCACTGTCAGAACAGGAAAGCTGATCGCTAAAGAGAACACTGTTGGGTGTGAAACTACAAAGACGTAAATTATGTAATGCCCATGTTGAAGCAGGAACCATCATTCGGTAGAAAACACTATAAAACATATGTCATTCAGGTCTTTGCATGCTATCAATTTCTGCACGTGCTCATTAGCCACACTCCACAGTGCCAGTGCTGGAGTGTCGTGGCACAGAACACTTCACCACGACAGTGGCACCCGCAGCACAAGTGTTGCATTAATGCCATGGAGTGTTTGCATGTGAGTGCTATTGATTACAATATCAACAAGAATTGTGGACTGTATCGACTGCGGTGTGCACCAAACTTACATCTGCCCAAAGCTTCCATGTGTTTCTTACTGCAGAGAAGAGACCTTCACAAACGACAGTCATCTCACAGGTGTGTAAGGATCCTATCAGGATGTCAATGTCTGAAAGAATTTGCACCTACCTGAGGAGCACATCATTCATTGGTTTTACCAGTGTCACACGAGCACTGGCATCCGCGCTGATGGACAGCACACCACAGTCATCAGTCTTGTGCCCAGCCTCCCTGCTTGGCTGCTTAAAAGTTATACCTGTGACAAAAATCATGTGTGCATTTGGGACCAACCTCAAAGGCAGCAGGCTCGCTGATGCATACACCTGCACATATGCAGTGCCCCTTGTTGAGCCATAGTGTCAACACTCAGGCTCGATCAACACTTTTGAATAACTGTTCACAAATACCTATCCTTCAAGCAGCAGCGATCACCATGCAGAGGTGCGGGTGTTAAGGAGCAAGAAACGAGCACAAATGCCTCCAAGTGTTATACACGCCCTGCTGGAGTGCCCAGGCAAAACAGTCACTACGACTGTGCAGATTTTGGGGTATGACAGCAAATTGTCATTTACGAGTCTGGCGGCCAAGATGGAATTGCCGCTGTGCTGCCGACCAGGGGCAGTGGCTGTCACTCGCCGCAAAAGCACTGAAACAAGAACAACAATTTCAGGGTGGGCAAACATGCAAGAACCGCGATCTCCAGCACAAGGTGCAGGTAGCTAGAGCGGCTGTGAGCCACAGCTATTGCCCGTGCTGTATGGCAGATGGGCACTGGAAAAGATAGGCACATTTATCAATACTAGGAGAATTAGTTATGCTGTGCATTATGTGTTTGTGTGCTGCAGCAAAAGAGAACTGCATAGCTACTGCCATGCACACAATATATCCATTGGATGCCACAGCCTTGCTGCAATGGAACAATGTCCATTCACCAAAAAATTCTGTTTCCAATGGAATGTTCTGGCAGCTACTTCATTGTGCATGATACTCAAGACATGCTCTCAGCAAGAAATGTGTACAGTCAACAGCCTGCTCCACAACCTTGTTTTGATATGGATGGCACCCAGAGCAAGACACACAACTGGCTGCAATCCTGAGGATCTTCATGTGATGTTGCTACCTTGGAAGAATAGAAGTCAGGAATTGTGAGCAAGGGACATCACAAAAACTGAGTTGAAGCAGTACAATGCAAGACAAGCTGTCTTTCAACACTCACCGCAACAGTGCCATTGCTGCAACCAGCTGCCAGCATGCTCCCGTTGTCACTGATGCTGAAAGCACTACATGGTTCACTAAAAATTTTGGCCTTTCGCACCATGACAGCATCCTGACACGATGACACCCGCCATGCACAAATGTGTGCCCCCAGACCCGAGTTGGCAGTCGTATACAGCACTCTGGGGCCCAAACCTGGGGATGAAAACTTGCAGTGTCCAAATCTTGGCGCCTTCAGACCTGTACACAGCAGCAAGATGCAAGCACTGACAATCTGTGACAATGGGTGCTGCCCATAGCAACACGGTAGGATGGCTTGCCGCTACTCATATTGGGGCAGTGCTGCATTTGGAAAATGTGCACAACAGAATTCTCTGAGCTGACCAGCTAATCTTTGGCTCTTCAATGTACAACCCTATGGTGGTGATGAACCCACACTGCTTCACCAGTTCAGTCAACTGTAGTGGCCTATATTCATGCAACCTGTAACATGTTCACTATTTTTTTAGCTCATGCACTTCTCCCCATTGGCTGCTCACGCACTTCTCTCCATTGGCTACTGTGCCCTTGTATCCTGTTTTGGATACCCACATAGTCAGAGTGGTCAAGGCGATTAATGATTGCAGCTTCCAGCAAAGCAAGTCAATTCGTGCATGCATCTCCAATGTGTCGATGTGTTGCAAACAGCTCTGTAAATGCATCTTGAAGAGTACAGGATACAGTGATGAGTACAGTGATGCGCCCATAAGGATGTTTTCTGAGGCTCTTCCTGTTTGCTTAGTTTCTGAGGTGCATCTTGAAGAGCACAGGCTGGGTGGCACGCCCATAAGGATACCTTGCCTATGGCTATTTCCGTTTTTTCAGAATCTGCAGGCACTCCAAAGTGGTGCAATACATGGCTTGAGGGCATCATCTGAGTTGTCTACAGATTTTGTGCCACAACAGATATAGATCATACACATCCACACACACCAGCTTTCAGCTTGTCAAGCCAGGTGCCCAATTTCTTGCTTCCAACATCCCAAATCTCACAGCGGCCATTTTCAGTTGTGGTGGCAAGGGTGCAGGCATCTCCATCACAGTAAATGTCAATGTCTTTCAAGCTGCTGAAGTCCTCAGCATCTTCTCTGCATGCACCAGCCAACAAAACACACACAAAAGCATCAGCACAGCAATCTCTAAATCTACGCGGCCGTTGCCTTTCTGCAGTATTCACAAATGCCACATAGGCAAAACATGGCCAGCTCGCATTAATCCAAGGGGCCACACTGCAAACAGTCCACATCTACGCACATGTACTAACGTTGCTTGCTGGGTGTGCCAGTCCCATTCTGTGGTAACAAGAACAACAAGATCACAACACAAAAATGCACCAACAAATGGGAGAGTTAGAGCAGCAGTCAATAGCATCAACACTGCTGACCACATTGCCCACACCACAGTAGCAGTGGTGCCAATGCCCCAACGGTAGCAATCACTGTCACATCAGCACTGTGAGTTGCAACAGTTGAAATAACTTGCTTCAGGTATACATAACATATGCATACTTAACTGCTGCCACGAACATGAACAGTATTCATGCCTTGGGATGCAGTACATAATTCGATGCCACAGAGCGATGGAGGTCCAACAAAAGCATGCAATCGCACCTACATCTGGCCCTTTGTTTCATTTCAGGCCACTCCCAGACAACAAACGAGCCACGCTCGAAGCCAGCACACAGCAGTTTGCCATCCTTACTGAAGGCCATGCATGACACCTCTTCAAGCTGCGAGAAGGCATCCACATCTTGCACTGCCAAATATCAGAAGCAATCACAGTGTAAGTTGACAGTAGTTTGACAACAAGTTCCCTGCAGTACCCCTGGTTGAAGTGAACAGGGACTTCACGCATTTTGTGCCAAACATGTTGCATTCCAAATAAATTGTACTCACATAAGGATTTCAATTAACTGCAAACTGAACAAATGATACCAATGCCATCCAAGCCAGCCTTGCCTTGCTTCTTAGAAGCTTCTCGCTTGTCACTCTCGAATTCCCATTTGATGAGTTTCATGCCTCCATGACCCAACGCGACCAAGAGGTTGTTGGTGGTGGGGTGCAGTGCACACCTGTGGCCCAACAACTGGCAGTCGTTTAGGTGAAGGACCAATACAGAGCTGTATGCTACCCCAGCCAACGAAACACACGTCACATCTGCAGTTCAAACACAGATTCTGTCCTAAAAGCGACTGACAAAGTAAATGTATACTCCTGATCCCAAGTTTTCCCGCCTTTCATTCAATTCAAGGTTGCTTCTGTGTGCATTGGAATAATTCTACATCATCCAGGAAGTACGGAGTTGTGTCTCAAAACCACTTTGTCGGGAGCGATTAGCCATCGCATGATTCAGTTGTCAAGAATAACTGGTGGAGCTAGAAAGCAAGTACAGAATGGCAAGTCTTCGAGTCCAAGCGGCAAGTGCGAATGAGGGCAAAGGATACACAAACATCAGTCAACAACAACAGCCATTCTGCTTGTCACAAGCAGCAGAGATCAAAACGGGCCTTTGAAACAACTATGACAGCAAATTGTCTGACAGTTGCGGCAGAAACACAGCACCAGCGCAGGGGGTCCTGTACCTCAAGGGCAGTTTGTCTTTGTCAAATTTCAGCTCATCTTGTTGATCAGACAAGTCGCCGTCCTTGAACTCTGCAAACACCAGCCTGGAATAACGACGAATGCCGTCATGTTACAAGTGCCGATGCAAATTCCGCCGAAAAGCAAGAAATGTGTGGATACCACATTACTGGTGAACTTGGAAGTTTTGTTGAGCTTCATTTCAAGCACATTTGTTGCCAGGCATCCTATTTGCTCCTCCCCGAATCCAAATCAGGAATACTTCGAGGCTGGCAACACCACAAGGAGGACCTGAGGTAACCATGATCCCATGTTGTAAACCGTTCGTTCAGCCCGCTGAAGCCAACAGACGGTGAAAAAGACAGGGCTGTGACGGGTGGGCACTCCACATGCGTTCCGCGCCGGACCTCCCTGCCTTCACATGTGTTTTGAACGAGCACCGTGTCGGTAACTAGCTCACCTGTTCGTAATCCCTGACGACGTGGCCCCCCCGCCCCCGCCAATGCACAGGGCGTCTCCGGGGGGCCAAGCGGCGCACAGCAGCGGCATGCCATACTTAAAAGACGCGCCCGGCATTGCCACGACACGCGAGCTGACCCGTTCTCGGTTGCAGAAACAGAAGGGCGCCACGGTCGGCGAACGCCGCACCATCAACTTCTCACTTGCCAAATGCCAAATGCACTGTTGGCGCAGTGTAATGTTGCCACGTCCCTCTGAGTCACCACTCCACCAGCTTCGAACGAGTGGCAGCGTCGGCAGGCACATTCTGTGCCAATGAAGATTTGCCGCAGAACAAAAAAGCTGTCCCACCCGAGCCCAGACTGTTGCGGATACGGGCCATGAGCACGGAGACGTGATAGAGACAGAGACAGAGGCGAAGGCGGTGAACGTGACGGAGACAGTGATCGAGACGGAGAAGGGTCACGATTTTGGGCGTTTGGGGGGTTGGGGTTGGTATAGAGTTTCCCGGTACGGAGACGGCGACAGGGCAGTATTGGGCGATGGGCGTCAGTGTTTTGAGTGCCTATGGGCTGAGTCTCCGTCTCCGTCTCGTCTCTGTCGCGTTTCCGTGCTCATGGCCCGTATCCGCAACGCCTTCCTGGGCCCCAGCTCCCCGCTGTCACCGGACAAGCTGCCGGGCTTGCCGCTGTCGGCCCCAAATAGGACCTAGTCGCTGTCACTGTGCTAAATCGGGTTTCTGGCAGCCTCATCGACCACGGCCAACCCAAGTTAGCCGGGCAAAGCCCGAAGGACAGGTACTCCGGCCCCATTGCTCCATGTGAAGCGAGGCCCCTTGGCCGCATGCATGGACACAAAACGGCTGCACAGGGAGCGACCACTGGAGAATTCAACGCCTGATTGGTGCGCCGGGCGAGCACGACTGACTTCTGACGACCCTGAGTCCAAGACCAGAACGTGCATTGAACTGGAAGGCCGCACAAATTCCTGACAGCAGCACTATGGTGGGTGCTTACAGCGGCCCTCTGCGAGGCATACGCTTGGGCCAGTCTGCCCATCGCGCTGGCTTGGGTCGCTCTCTGCACATGTGAATCGATGCCCTCTAGGAAAAGTGCCGGGCTGAGAAGCATCCACATCTGGCCGCAGCCCTCTCCCATTGTCTCCGCCCTTGCGCCTTTCCACACGCCCTGGCAACCATATTTCACGGCGCGTTCGCCTGCTTGCGCCATGAGCCCTCATCCAGATCAACGCATCGGATGGCGGAGGGGTGCCAGCCTCTTTCGCTTTGGTGGGAATGCCCGTCCTGGGGATCATCGGCACACCTCGAGGTGGACCAATGAACGACCTCGCCCCTTGGTTGTAGGGATCCGGTTGTCTGCCATGTTGTCCGTGTTGTCGGTTTTGGAGAAACGGAGGGTCACAGCGCTGGCAGACACTCCGGCCGTGGCTCGTTGCGGAGGACCATGCCAGCCCCAGCGCCGTTGCCAGAAACTGGGTGCCACGGCCTGTGACTCACACGTGAGCTGTAGTTCCATAACTGCGTGGACATCACCATGGCGGTGCGGCGTACTGTATTGCAGCTGGTGGCGAGCGCAACAGTATTTGATTTGCGTCTTGGCCAGTTGTGGGCCGTACCGATATCTTCGGGGCCCCAAGTTCGGGCACAACCCGGCATATGCACGAGAAGGGAGCATGACAAGGTACTGGCGTGTCCGTGAGGGCCATATACTTGTGGATAGGGGAAAGTTGTCGGTGGCACAATCCGCAAAACATGCCGAAACATTCCAAACGCATACGGCCAGGAAAACTCAGAGGAAGCTTTTGCTTCAGCGGTTGAGACGAGCGCCGAAAACATGAGTCATACAGGCTGGTAATGGATTTGCAGGTAATTCCGTGGAATGTGGAATTCTGCGTTACAAGAAAGCAATGGCAGGGGCGAAGGGGGAAAGAAATGTTGTGGGCGCGGCACAGCAGGCTTTGCGGCGGTGAACATTGCATAAGTGCCGTACTCTATGTGTTTCTAAATGGCAGCACTACATGTGCATAACAATGCGGAGCACGGCATCGTCATCTGGGAAAGCCTCTACTGCCAATCCCACGCTCTGCTACACATGGCAAACCAGCACTTACCTCAAGCAAAGCATTTGGCGACTATCTTCATGGCCGCATCTGACATTTTCAAACATTGTGCAACACAGCAATATTTACGTTCAGAATGTCGACGTTCTTCGTTTCTAGCGTTGCTTTTGAGCGCTTATTTCTCGGCAACCTCCTGAACAAACTGCGTTCAACATTCTTTTCAGCATCGCGCAGTTTTTAGTGGGGGCAGCCCTTCCGAACAGCTGGCGTTATTCAGAAGGATCGAAGCGCCACTCTCTTTGTGCGTCAACGTTCGTCGCGCATGCAGGACGCAGCGAGTCGTGCCTATCAGGTGCCCATTTCACCCCCTACTGCGCCAACAGAGCTGCAGTGCAGCCCCCCTGGTTGCCCCTTTGGAAATCGGGCCTTACATTTGCACGGAAGTGGCCAACGCGCCACCGTGACACCCAAGGACCAGTCCTTGCGTGTCGAGGGGGCTATGGGCCGACCAGCGTGGCTTTTGCGGGAGCCATGACTGTTGTGTTGGCAGATCGATGCCTGCTTCATTTGCGTCTCATACCTGTCTTGAGGCACTTTTCTTCCACCATGCTACACAAAGAGGGGGCGACTGAGTAATGATGTCATTCCCCTCCCCACACGGGGGGAAAGATGTTTTTCACCAAGTATAATCTGGGGAGATCTGAAGGTCTGCTGCACATATGGCAGGGCCGTGGGGCCCAAATTGCACAGCTCGGTATACGCAAAGGCACGGGGCCGGCGTGTACTGCAGGCGCGTTGATGTACACGTTGATGTACGGTGCGACACGTGCATGTAAACCCTGCCGGCGCCTGCGATCATCGCAGTCATAACGAATTGAACAGGTCCACAAGCGCCACAGAACCGTGTGGTGGGGTCGGCCTCCTTGACTCGGCCAGAAGCGGATTCAACCGATCGCTGATGTGCTCTGGGGCCTTCCGCAGCCAGTCGATGTGGAACCAACAGTATCCTGTCGCGAAGTTGTCGTGACTGGGCAGCCGCAACGCCCACAGGCGCGCCTTCCGCCCGCCTGACACCGCGCACAGCTGGGGCTTGTGCCTCTCACTCCCCCCCGCTGCTGAGAAGCGCCCTGCATTTTGGCAGCCAGGAACCATCTGATAGAGGAACGATCTCACTGTGAAGCCCGCGGCCACGTGCCTTGCGTGGCTGACGACCCCGATGCGGGCGTGTGATGTACTGCTTCGACCGCTGGGTGGTCAGTTGATGCCCGGCGGTGTTGTTGCTTCCTCCGTTGTTCAGGGCCCGCCCCTGGCGTGCGGGTCGAGGCGCAGGCGCGCCTCGGAGCCCCGGCGTAGTTAGGGGGCGGCCACACACGCCGACGCGGGAGCCGGGCGGCTGGCTGCCTGCCTGTCTCGATCCCACTGCTCGCAGCTGGTGGTGTCGTGTGGTGTGGTGGTGGGGTGGGATGAAAGGCGTCGAGATGAGCTCAACGAGTGGGGAAGCGGGGACCTCCAATTCGGACGTGCGCTCTCTCGGCTCCTCTGCCTCCTTCCACTCCCCTGCGCTGCCGTCCACGGCGCCCTACGAAGCTTACATCCACGAGGTGCGCCCCCGGACGCGGGCCGTGCAAGGAAATCTCGCGCCGCTATTGGCGTCGTCGGGTCGCAGACCGCGCCGATTCGGCGCAACCGGGCCTCCCGGAGCTTGCCGACACTTGTTTTGGGCAATGAATAGCTCGCAGACGGGCCGGGAGTTCCCTTCTGTGGAATTCCCAACACTCTGGGTGCTTTGTGTGGCTGGGAGACTGCGATCGTGCCGCCCAAAGCGCTTTGAATTGATTGGTTGCGCGGTACCACTTGGGCGCCAATCGTTTTGCGGATTTTTTGACTCTGGTCGCCTGTGGCAATGCGTTGGCGACGTGCGTTACCGGCAGTTGTGGTCGAAGGCCGGCCGAGCCGAGCATCTGGTAATACGACGGATGCGGCCCACGTGGCAATTTCAGATTCTGTTGACGGTCGCCGCGCGACGCGAGGACCCACAGGGGGTCCTTTGGCGCTCAGTTGTGGGTGTTTGTGCACAGATCGTGTACACGGTGGGGAGAAAGTTCAATTTCCAGGCTTTCAACAGGGATCCCGACACCCAGGTACGGTCCGCGGGAATGGCTCCAATCAGGACTAGTGGCGTCTGGAAAAAATTGAGAAGGCGGACGATGGTCTCAACAGTGGTTGCCCGTTTCGAGCTGAACGTCGGAGATCAAGGAAAGTCCTTAGAGCTGTTCTTCGGATGACGCCAGATTGGGAGGTGGTGTCCACGGTCCATAGACTTTCGCTTTCTTGTGAGCGATCTCTGCGCATAGGCGCCAAGTTGGAGTTAGGGCCAGAGGATCGACGCCCCCCGTTGAGATCGACAACCGGGCCACTGAAGTTCTTCACTTGCGTTGTCACCGCGTCGTCTAAAATTTGCAGCAAGGAGAGCTGCAAGTGGATAGCTAGGGGCGAAGTCGTGACGGTGTTGTTGTCCCAACACGCGATGGCCATTCGTGCGACGATGCGATCGAACTGATAATTGACCTAAGATTCTGTTGCTGCGGAGAGCGATCTGAAATACAACGGTCCATCATTTGCACCTGCATTAAGATAGCAAAGTCGCAATTTCTCCCACACTCAACCTCAATTTTTCTTACTTTTCGGTGTCTACTTGAATGCTGCTGTCCTCCAGGAGCAAGCCAATGTTGGATGGATGCATCCCCGCATTGAACAAGCGCCGAGCAGTTACTGCGAGCCATTCGGTGGAACAGAAAACACAATGAGTGTGAGCCTTGGTGGGCGCCAATTTCAAAGGGCATTATGATCATCTTTGTGGTCTGTCACGTCTTTCTCAGATTGGGTTTCACTGCCATGGAACTGCCACAGTACTGATGTAGCAGCCATTCAAAGGGAACTGACATTGTTCTGACGTGCTTTGTACAGGGCAAAGGGGAAGAATCATGGTCACCAGCTACCGTGTTTGTTGCAAGCGATCATCTTGCCCAGTTGCTGGGAAGGAACATGTACAGCCGGAGTGCAGCACGAGGTGATAAAGTGTGTTCACTTTGCTCCAGGTTGCTCGTCAGTCCACAGCATGTGGGATTTATTGCACTATTGATGCGACTTACCTGTGCATGGGGCACAGTTACTCTCAATCAATAACCTTTCATAGTGTCTGTGCGTGGTGCACAGCCAGGTGTCTTGTTATCTCTGGTTTTCTCCTTCCAACATGCATGCCACAGGTGTTGTTATCTGTGCAAGCAAACGACTAGAATTTCCAGATCACGCAAACTCTATTATTTCAGATAAACTGCACCACCCATGCGTGTCCACCAACAACCCCACATCCCAGCGGGACCCGGGCGCCGCTGAAAAGGCAATGGTGCCACATCCAGCCGCCAACGCCCGACACAGGTCGCCCTGACACAAAGGGTCTTTCTGCCTTGGCGACAAGGCCGCATAATGCAAGGGACTGCCCGAGGGAATCCGAGCTTTCTTCGGTACAGGTACCGAAGTGTACACTGACACAGGACATCTCACAGCAAGTTCTGAAGCGCCAACCAAGCGAGAACAGCCCACCACAAGCTTCCAGTGAAGAATCGTCTGCGGTCAAGGAAGGCGCGCTGTCTGGCCTGGTCTTCTGCATTCCACTCCAGGGGGTGGCACAAGGGAGCCACCGGCACTCTTGCCTGGCCGGCGCCAGTGTTGTGGAACTTGCTGGGAGCGCCGCGCCCGATCAGGAGCCTCGGGGGAACGGGCCAGCGAACGCACGACACTTTTCATGTGTCCTGTCACGCTGCAGGACTCGATGCAAGAATACACACGCTTTCACGGCCCTGTGGCACTTGTGGTACCTGTGGTACTTGCGGTACAGCGCGTACGTACAAGTTCAAGTCCCCCGTGTGTGAGACGTGCTCCCGAGCACCCCTCTCGCACAACCGCCTAATGTACAAGCAACAGGTCACGCTTCCACGCACGAGGTGCAAACTAGGGCCTCGCCCGCCTTGGCTGCCTCTGAACACCGCTCAGGGGACGGCGGCATCGCTGGTATAGTTAGTGTCCTCCGCTCTTCTTCGGTTGGCCCTTGGCCAAAACGCGTGGGCTGGCAACAGAGGGGCGGCCTGAAATGAGCTGCTCTTGTGGGAACCGCCCCGTTGAGGGGCAGCGTACGCAGATCTGCACGACGCTGCCGCTCGACGGTCTGGACGCGCCACCCTAGCAGCTTCGGGAGTGGGGCGGAAGGTCTGTTCCCCGCAGTGGCCGCCAGCTCCAGAATGCCGATGCTGGATCGCCAGAGCTGAAATATGTCGCCAGCAACGAACTGACCTGATGGCCACTGTGGTAATATCTGCACGTTGCACCAACAGTGTAAGTTCTTGAATCAAGGGAAGGCGAGGCTATTGAGCACGTATTGGCGTTTAACCACAGGAAATTTCCTTTGTCATACTGATAGAATACCCATTTCTCGGGTTTAATAATAAATCCTGGGCCGCACATTGTGTGCGAATTACAGGTGCACACCGTACTTGGAAACGGGCCTTGTCCTACCAAAACAATCGCAAAACTGTCCCAAAACCGATTTTTGACCTGTGGCCATACGCCCTTTTTGCGATTGTTGTGGTGCTGCAGCCATGAATTCGACTTGATGGCTCTTTAAGTCTGTGTTTCATGTACCAGTAGGATCATTCCAGGGGCCAGAAGCATTCGGGAAGTTCTGCAAGTTGTGTTGGATGGCTCAATATTTGTGGGAATGGCAGCAACCGCACTGGCTTTATGCTGACTTGGCTGAGCCAGGGCATTCAAATCTTACTTTTATGACACAACCAGACAGATGTATCCAGAGAATTGTTCAATCTCTGAAAAGCAATTTTATTTGTGCCGCAGCATGTGTGTGACTGTGCCCCTGTGACCACCTCTGTTGGTGATTGGTTGTTGTTTGTGTGACTGACTGGCACTTTGTGTTTGTTGAAGGTGACCCCAGCATGCGTTTCATGCACTCAGTGTGGGAGTTGCACAGCAAGATCTTCCAGAACTATTTCAACTGGTGCAAGCATGTGGGCCTACCCCGCCGACCTGTGTCACAGTCTGAGAGATTCCGAAACAAGGAGCCTTACACAGATGAAATCATCATCATGCTCATGAATGAGCTGGCACTTTTTTATTGCATCTGGACTGAGGGGGCAAATGTTCGGTACATGCCCGAAGTCATGTGTTTCATTTTCTGGACAATGAGATTCAGCCCAGTCTTCTCAGAGCTGGATGGCCCTTTGGATGGCAAGAAAGGGAAAGGAATTGGGGGGGAGTTTATCCCTGTGCCTGTGGATCCCAATCAGGTAAGTGTGAAAATCATAAATGGCACTTGTTCTCTGATATGAAATTCCAGGATATTGCTGAGTCAAAATTTTCAATACACTAGTGGAGTTGAACCTTTTCTCGCTTGCCACTTGGAGTTGCAGGCATTGCTTGTGTGCTTGGGAGCTGTTGCCGAGCTGCAGTTCCTTCAACTTCAAGCGATACCATCCTTGTTTTGCTGTTCAGGAGGTCCGTAATTTGCGTCAAGAGCGTGAGCAACTTCGAAAGGTGTACTGGGCCTTCATTGCTACCATTAGGAGGGATCGGAGTGGAAGCATTGATGACGTGACACCTACAGAGGTGATGAAAAAGGCAGGCATCGAAGAAAACCAGGTGCATCTTTTAGTGGAGATCATCGTCAACGGCGATGGAGGCCAATTCACAGACTTGGTCATACAGCCCATTTTCAACTTCTTGGCTCATGAGGTATGGCTTGACTGGACACTTTCGTCACTTTGCCTTTGTGCGCTGTGTTCCAAAGGGTATGTGCCCTTAGCAAGCCTTCATCTCCCCACCATGTTGGCTCGTCAACTGCATGGGCACGACAGCAAACAAGTTTGAATTTGCTTATCCTGCAGTTTATGGATGCAACTTGTGCTGCTCCTTGTGTCTGCGAATATGTGTCCTCAAGTATCTTCTGTCTTGGCTTTCAGCTTGACCATCTTGGCGGCGTGAAGGGAGTGGAAAGCATGATACGCATCAACTACGACGATGTTAACGAATCGCTGACCAATGCACGCAATGTTGAAAGGACATTGAAAAAGTTGGGAATCTCCAGCTCAGAGTGTCGGGAAATCAACAAAGCGTATGAAAGCATATGTGACCTACCTTTCCGAAAGGTGGGCGAAGGCGAATCCAAGGTCTACGATTTTGAAGAGGCAACCAAGTTTTGGCAACAGAATGCTTTCACCAAGACATTCCGAGAGAGGCGTAGCTACCTTCAAATATTCCGGACTTTCTGGAGGATGTTTGCCCTTCATTTCCTACTTTTCCATGAGCTTCTTGTCATTGTAAGGGGCCTGGTGTTTCCTTTCATTAGTTCTGCTTCTCCCATCGTGTGAACTTGTGGTGGATCTGTTGTTTTCTGTGTGCGTATCTTCTGACCAGTTGTCATTTTGGTACCTGAAATGATGCTGCCACAGTTGAGGGTCTTATCATTAGCATTTTTGCCACCTCTGCGCTGCAATTAGTGTCTGCCTGCAAGTAAACATGCATCTTTCAGAGGAATCTAGCATATGTCTGGACTGAAAGTGGGAACATGCAACAATTGGTGTAACCAATACTAGCACTCCAATGGTGGGAATCGTTGTGATCATGCAGTGCTCTCTATGTCTATGAGCGCTTGATCTGTTGTGAGGCTGCCTGATTGCATACCTTTCTTTTGTCTTGTGAGAGGATGTTGCTGCCACAGGCACTTTATGGCTTTGATGGGTTCAACACCTCGTGCTTGTTGACTGGGCCAACCCCAGCCGAAGAGGGTATGGACAATGAAGAAAAGGAGGCCTGTGCAGGCATCACTGGATTCATTGCCGCTCACACCTCAGTGTTGCTGACCCATGCACTCTTGCAAGCACTAGAACGCCTGGCAGCCGGGTACCTGTCGAAGCCTGTCAAGGTAAGCTGCATGCATGTGTACGACTACAGAATTGGTCAGATTCATGCCAGGAGATTGAACCAGCTTATTGTCATTGGCAGAGAATGCAAATGTTGCCCAATGAACCATACCAAGAGGGTTCCGTGAATCTCAATTTTGTTTTGATCCAGATCCTATTGATCTTTATCTGCTTTGACTATGTGTACTGCAGAATTTAGCAAAGCATGTTTGCCTAAGGGGACAGGATAGGTGACCACCTATCAGGGGTTCATTGGACTCATCGGGAGTTGACAGGCAGGCCCTATTCTGCAGTTTCTGTTGTTACTGCTCATCGCTAGTAACAGTGTCACTATGTGCCTTCGTGCAAATGGCTTTGCCACTTGGATTGATCGTCACAAGGATATATTTCATGATTGCAAATAGTTGAGGACTTTCTATGGCAAGCAGCATCACGGTGCTGTCGCTGCCCTGAAACTCATGCCCTGATATTTCCAAGGGCCTGTCGAACTGGTTCCACATGTACTGATCAGGGATTAACCCAGCCACATGGCCAGCTATGAGCCTCATTGTGGTGCTCTCTGCAGGATCCTGCTGAGAGACGTGCGCAAAAAGCACAACGGAGGCACAGGAACTATACGGACCTTGAGGCTCCAGAAGAAGATTCCACAACAGAGAATGCCAAGGCCAAGAAGAGTAACCGGAGAAAAGAGGCAGATCAAGCACCCAACATCCCAATAGAAGGCCAGCCATTTGGAGTATACCTCTCAGGGGTGATCTGGCTGGGTGTCTTCTTTGCGATGCTTGGCATATTTGTGTTTCAGTTTCTGAAGCCTGAGAGCATTGGCGTGTCAGGGATCGATGGCGATGCATTCAAATTCTACTGGAGATTTGTATCTGCCCTCTATTTTGCCATGGTCATCATAACCAGCATTGCCACCACACGAGACGGGTAAGCAGCTCAGTGTCCTCTGCATGTGCTGTTGGCCACTTCTTATTCTGTTTCGTGAGCATTTAGCTTGTTGCATGTTGTTCAGTCCTACGCCCCTGTGTTGTCAACAGTTTGACGCTGTCATGCTATCCAATGTCGCTGCTTGTGCTTGTCGAATTCAAATTTGGCAAAGAACGCATCCAGCTGGTATTCCAGACACTGCAGTTGTGCATGATTGCAGCTATCATTTTCAAGGACACCTGCGTAGAGGGCATGCTTGCATTTTAGTTCTATCCACCAGTTTTTTTCACGTTTGCACACCCAAAAATCATGAAATTTAAGTGTTGCCAGTGGTAATAGTCAGGCAGCACCACCCATCGAAGCCCCCTCTGACTGCCTGCTGGTACCCAGAGTCGTGTGCTCAGAAAGGTTGGAGTATCTGTAGGTGCTGGTTGTTTAGTGGATTTGCTTGTTTGTCAGTCGAATGTGGAGGAATATTGCTGGCAACCATGTTACCTGCACATGGATGTCGTTCATGCTGGCGCCCCTTCCCATACGCATCGACTGTGCTCTGACACATGTTCATGTTTTGCTGTCATTCCAGCTACGCCATCAGCGTATCTGACATCGTAACGTGTGGTTGGTGGCCCCTTGGCAAGTACTCAATAAGAGGGAAACCCAGAAACGAGGTTAACTGCACCATGGCCACAACATGGAGAGTTTTCTTCTGGAATGCAGGCTTCTGGGTGGTCGTCTTGGCAGTCAAGATTGTGTTTGACTACTTCTTCATAATCGATCCGCTTGCTCTTTCGGTAAGCTTCGTCACATTGTTTCACTCGCCTCAGACAAAAGCACGAAACTGGGTCAACTTTGGTTTACCAAACGCCATTCATAAATATGCACGCAAGACACTCCATGGTTACACACGGGAAACCCTTGAGCATTGCTGGTTTTCACATCGTCCTCTGGCGAAGCTTCTGTGCTGAGAATCTGACCGAACTATTGTTTTCTGTCGCAGCTACAATCACTATCCAGAGAAGGCTGGCTGGCAGCGTTCTTTCCAAATGGCATATCCATCCTGGGGACGTCCATAACCGTGCCCAGTGATAGCGACTTCTTGCTCGTGATTGTCCGCTCTATCCCATCATTCCTGGTGATTTTGGTGGACACAAGTGTGTTCTACATGCTTGGTGCTGTTGCTTTCGGCATGATTCGGGGAGTGGTACTTCTCAACTTGGGCGTTGTGAGCAACTGGTCAGAAGTGCAGCGTGAGTTTAGAAGGTATGGCATTGGTATTGTTCATGCGAGTAGAAGATCTCCTGAAGTCATAAAACGTGGCACATGCCAGTGCCCATGCACTGTGTGAGTTTCCACTGCAGCCTTTGAATCGCAGCAAATTCCTCTTCTCATGCGCACACTTTCACTGCTGATATTCATTTGTTAGCCTAGTTCCGATGTGCAATCGTCGAGATCATGGCTGCTGCAAACAAGTGGCTGGGGATGGTTCTCACCGTAGAATGCTGCAGGTGTCCACACAAGTGGTGGGAACGTTGTGTTTCCTCAGATGGGCACAAGAACATAAAGGAGAAACTGGGAAAGACCAGGATGCTCCTGCCCCCAGAGGATATCTTTCCAATTCCTGAAATGGAGCAGATGGAAGGCAAGGACAAGAAGAACAGAAAAAAGAGAAAAGACAAGAAGCCGAAGAGGTAGGGGCCAAGTACTTGAAAGCAAACAAACGAGTGCTTCTTGGCATGGTTATGATCTGTTGCAAAGATCCGATGCATTTCCAAACCCTCTTGCTATCAGAATGCCTAACACAGCACATTAGAAAAGCCAAGAACAACCGAAAGCATGACAAGGACAGTGAAAAAGGAAACAGCAGTATGGATCGATTCAAAATGTTTCAACGTCGATCCAGCAGTTGGGCTGTGAGAACTTCGGTTTTCACAAATTCTCAGGTACATGATGACTTGTTGGATTCCAAGGCCGTTGCCATATGGTGAAATGTATCCAGCTGCACTGCTGTGTAGTGGCATGTGTCAATTTGACAGAAAGGAGGGTATATCATACGATGGGTGCATGGAATTTGTGAAACACTGTTCCATATTTCCCAAGATAAAGTATACTATATTTGTATTAATCCCCAAGCATAGTAGAGACTGCAACTGCAAATACAGAGCGAATGGTGCTGTTAAAGTTTGACCATCTGATGGACTGAAAACTGATGCCCTGATGTCCTGGTGGAAGGTTGCTAACTGAGTCCATTGCATGCACCAGCAAAAGGAAGCAACAGCCGCCCGGCGAGGAAATGTACGATGTGTTTGCAGACACCTGGAACTCGATTGTTGGAGACTTGCGTGAAGCTGACCTCATCTCAAATGCTGAGTTGGACAACCTGAAGTTTGTCAAGATGAGGTGGCATGAGAGTCTCTTCAAGAACCATGTGAAGGCGCTGCTGCAACCCGTGTTTGTGTATGCTGGCCAGGTGGGCTGCAAATTGTGCATTGGATGCTTGGCTGCCTTTCAAATTCTCTTGTTGTGGATTGTGCCACTCAGTAGGAGATGGCAGAGGAGTAACCTATGCTGGTGCAATATGACGTTGCAAATCAATTGTGATCCATTGAATTCATATGCTGTGCTTCCATTCATTTGGTCGCTCAACAGTTCATTGTGTGAATCATCTGAGTTGCGTTTCAGCTGACAAAGATGCATAGTATTCTGCTGCAGAATAGCGTCCAACCCTTCTTTGTTCATCAAGCCGGCAGCTAATGGCTTTGTTTCCATTGTGGTAACAGCTTGAAAAGGTGACGGAAATCCCAAGGCCAACACCAGCCCATATGCACATCATAACTGAGACGCGGGACATTCTCTTATGGCTTGTTGGACAGCTTGGATGGCTCAATAGAGATACTTGCGAAGCTGCCAGGAACATTTTCTTCCTGGGGGAGCCCTATGACAGGCACCACAGGATGTCCCGACGCGAGCTTTTGAAGGCTGTGAAGAGTCTGCTCACAGCCATCCAGGATGTGTCCCAACACAGCAGCGAGAATATAGACACCCAGCCCACAAGGATTGCCTTGGAGAACGTCCTCAAAGGTGAGATGTTGCCCAACCATTGGGCTCATATTTTGGTCAGGTTATGTTTCGTTGCCTCCTGGTCTGAAACAGACACTGGTGTTTGTGAGGTTTGATTGGCATACTTGACCTTTTCCTCTTGTTCTTTAATTCCCAAGATTTTTTGGCGTTCTGGCAATGGTTGTTGTGTAGCCAGAGAACAAGTACGCAAGGCATGGCTGCGCTCGCTGCTACCCTCTGTTCATGGCAAGTGTCGTTGCTATCCCTTGCTGTATGGGCTTTTTGGTGCAGCAGTTTGACCACAAGATACAGCCTTGTTGTAAATGTTGCAGAATGCAAACAACGCTATTGACCAGGACGAAAAGGCGTTAGATGTGCGTGTTGACGCATGAGGTGGTGTTCTTTTTGCCTGTTCTTGACTGTATTGTGAACAAGGGGCTGGTGCCTTACGATTCGGCTTCTCTAATCCCCTTTACAGGTATGATCAATGAACGGGATGCGCTGAAAGACCACAAGGGCTCACAGCATGTCAGCTTGGGGCAGAGGTATCTGAGAGACAACATATCCAATCTGGAAAAGCTGTGCAAAACGATCAGGAATGAAGTTTTGGGTGATGAAGGTAGGTTTTGTGTTGGTGCAGTATGGTAGCAGGCTGTGTGCCACCTGCGAGCTGTGAACCACTGTGACAATCTGTTGTGATGTCTTTGTTGGAGACAACTGGTGTCCTTATCTATTTGAAGATCTACCTATTTTCTGTACTCCAGCACAGCACCTGAAAGAGTGTGTGTGCACGTCTCGTTGCCTGTTCGGCTACCCTGCACTCAGCAGATTTGATATTCGGGCGCCTCGCTCTGAAACTGAAAGTCGACCGTTTTCCATTTTTCTGCAGGTGCACTTCAGGCTGGGCTGCAGCGAATTGCCATGGACACTGAAGGCGATGCTGCAGTCGATCGTGCCCTTGATGAAGTGGAAAATGAATTTGCACAAGACGATTATGCTCCTAAGAGTCTGATGGTGAAATTCGTCAATGGCCTCGTCCGCAGAATGAACACCACCCGTGTGGCCGCTAGCCCATCAGGCCATGAGGCACGCCAATACCTCACATTCTTCGTGACCAGCCTGTTCAATCCCATGCTGCGGTCACCGCCTCCGCTTGTACAGATGTTATCCTGGACAACCTTGGTACCGATTTATGAGGAAGATATCATCTATGCCATGGAGGTCAGTGCTGTTTTTATGGCCTGTGGCTGAGGTTTGAGTTTTGCTGGAATGCCACGGAATATTGGAGGCCACTGGAGCCTGTGTGCATATGCACTGTGTGCGCCACCGTGACAGCCTTTGAGTGAAGTCTTGTCTAACATAAATTCCACAAAATGCATTAACTGGGTTGTGATTTGACGTTTCTGTTGACGGGGCCAGAACGTAATCTTGGACAAGCACTGAGGTGCAAACTTTCTCACCAGTTCTGCGCAGTGCACTATGCATTGTGCCTGACTTGAGAAATTAGTATTTCTTGCGGTGTTTGGCAATTATTGTTGGATACCTTCTGCTGCACTTGCAATGTTGGAGTTGTGCTGATGTACACTCTGCCCATTTGATTGAGAGAGTGCGATCATGCAGGCTGATGAAACTGCCCGTGCAGTTGGAGGGGACACCCCACGAAAGGGGATGGCGAAAATCACAGACCTCTTGTCTGAGACCCACACACGGCTGCCCTTGCTGTCCTATCTCATGACAGTGTACCCCAAGGACTGGATGAATTTCCTTGAGAGAATGCGTGACAAGTACAATGTCAGCATGAGCGACCCTAAGGCTGTTACAGGTGAAGAATTCCTGCATGAGGGCGAATATCATCACCTGCAGACGGATCTGCAGCTGTGGGCTTCTCACCGTGGGCAGCTGCTTGCCAGAACGGTAGGAACGAGCATCTTGGGCAAGTAACCAAAGTTTGCGTTTGTGATAACCATGGCAAATAACCCTCTCTGCACCTTTTAGACAATGGTGGCATCATGTTGCTGTTTGGCGTATAACTGCATGCTTACAACAATAGATGGAGACCCTCTTTCCCCCTGTGCAATGACTGCCGATCGTCGCATTGTGAGTTGATGGTGCTTGATCTGTGAGTATTGTGAGCTCTACTTGTTGCACTTGGTGATTTCTGAATCATCGTCAAGAATGTGGCATGAATCTCACGGTTTTCTTGCTAAGGTGGGTTTTGTCCACTGGATCATGTGCTTTTCTCTTCAGGAGAAGAACAGTCTTTGGTGTCTTTGGCGCAGGTACGTGGAATGTTGGCATATGAGAAGGCTCTCAAGCTAATATGTCTCTTAGAGCACCCACGCACTGAGGCTGTCTCTGAGGATGAGTATGAGCTGATGATTGAAGAACTTGTTGCTGCAAAATTTCGGTGTGTCATTGCCGCCCAAGTGTATGGTCGCAACAAGAGGAGCCGTGTCCTAAAACACCGCTGGGATGCGAGGGCCATCCAACTGCTGTGCTGCAGGTAATTGCCAATGCTGCCAGATTATTCCCTGTCAGTTCATGTGGCCAAACTGTCTTCCGGAAAGACTTGCAGATTGTTGCCGTTCTGGCTTCAATTTTCATCACGATGGATAAGAACTGCCAGAACTATGGTCGCTTTTCCATAGTATCCTCCACAAGCTGTTGCAGATTGTGGCTGTGTTAGTGTTGACTTGTTTCCTTTGCATAGACACCATTTAGGTTGCATTGGCCAGCAATAATAGGCAGCAAACCACCACCCACACATCACAAGTCAAAGAAGGACTGTTTTCCAAAGGTGCTTTGATTCAGTCAAGATTCACGTGTGAGCGCTTCCATGATATTTGCATGCACTGTGACTCTGCAGGCATCCATCTCTCCGGGTGTCCTACCTTGACACAGAAACGATGGAAAATGAGTACGTCCAGTATGCTGTGCTCATTCGCGGAGCAGGCATCTCATATTTTGATGGACCAGAGCACCCCAATCCTTCGCAAGACAAGTACACCATGGAGGAGGTATACCGCATAAGGTTGCCAGAGAACAAATTCACTGCTCGTGGCATCATTATTGGTGAAGGCAAGCCTGAGAATCAAAACCATGGTGGGTCCACAGGCTTCGACATTGAAATGGTTGTTTCTTGGATTATTCTGCCCAGCCCTTGCACTTGTGCTGACTCCAGTCGTTGTCTTTGGAGTTTTTCCATTTGCTTGTGGTCCCTGGTGGAAAGTACACATTTGTAGGAAGGTGTCGATCACTTTTACAGGAAACACTTTCTTACCAATTGCATTGTTTTACCATGGCTCAATTCCTCAACGGTCACTTTGTCAAAGAATCAAAAAGCAGCACCCTTTTACCAGTCAGGCTTTGTCACTGTTTGATCCTGGCAAGCAGATGGAAGCTCTGCGACCGCTGGTGAGAGGCTGCCCTTTGTATGTCTCAATGACATCGCTCTGTTTTTGTCAATACCCTTGACAAAGCACTTTTTCTGGTGGCAGCTATTCCCTTTGCATTTGGGGAGTGCCTACAAACGATAGACATGAACCAAGACAACTTCCTCCTGGAAGCACTGAAGATGCGCAACCTGTTGAATGAGCTGTCCTATCCAGAATACAATCCCTCTGAGGCCTCCACGCCAAAGACCTGCAAGCAGTTGCAAAACAACCTCAAGAAACGCCTGGAAAAGAAGATGGTCAACATCCCAATCTTGGTTGGTTTCAGGGAGTGGATCTTCTCACAGAAAGCAGGTATGCTGGTGCTTCATGTATGCAGCTTGTGGCATGTGCTTGAAAATGTGTTTGTCAAACATATGGTGTGTGAAGGATAGCATACTTACTTTTCACGACCAGGGCCAAATATGCGCAAGATGGTGTCTCAGTGTCAATGTCAACAAGGTCGTGATTAAACTGCCCGTGCAGTTGGCATGCATGCGTTGCAAGGGAACTGCCGCATCGACTGCACCAACTACACGCTACTTTGTCACCGCCATCATGCTGTGTTGACCATGTGCATGCTGCTGACTCCACCACTTGCCAAGTTGATAATTTGTAGGGCCAATGCTGGAGATTTTCATTGAAACCTCGTGTGTCTGCAGGTGCCCTTGGCGGGTTCGCTGCTGGGACTGAATTCGCATTTGGAACAATCCTGCAGCGGACGATGACGTTTCCTGGACGGGCCAGATTCCATTATGGCCATCCTGACGTGTGGAACAAGATTTGGGTCATGACCAGAGGCGGTATTAGCAAAGCAACAAGGAATCTACATGTCTCAGAGGATGTCTTTGGTGGATTCAATGCTGGTCTTAGGGGTGGCAAAGTCACCTACAGAGATTACATCTCTGTTGGTAGGTGTCTGCTATGTGTCTCTGCCATGGTAATGACGTTTGAGTCTGCTTTGTGACAACGCGACAGCTGCAGGATGATCTAGTTGCTTCCCTGTGTTATGGTGCAACAGTGCCACAATTGCATTGAATGAAAGGGCATCTTGCTTTAGGAGCTGCTCATGTGTTATCAGCACCACAACACGAATTTGACAATGACATTTCCAAGGCTTGGTTGTGCAGAATGTGAATCTCTGGTTGCAGTGCGATGGAACTCAATGTCAATTGCTGTCAAGTACAACTATGCGGTGATGCACGCTCCGGTCGATGCACAGAGTCTCTTCCAAGTTCTGTGTTGGGGCACTTCTTGCCAACCAGCACAGCCAGCTGGCCATATTGTTGCACCATATTTTGCACCTCATGGCTACCACAGGATTTGCACTGTGGAAGTGCCAGCCAGTCGTTGGCAGGCACTCACAATCGCTTTGTCATCTTGGTGCAGGCAAGGGTAGGGATATGGCCTTTGTGTCCATCAATGGGTTTGAGATCAAGATCTCTGGTGGAAATGGGGAAGTCTGCATCTCCCGAGATGCGTACCGACTAGGAACGCGAACTGACTTCTTCAGGATGCTCTCGATCTATTACTCTGGTCCTGGCTTCTTCATCAACAACGCCATACTCATGACGACCGTTTATGTGCAGCTTTGGGTGCTGGCTGTGCTGGCACTTGCTGGGGCATACCTGGTGGAGAGGGACGTGGGCGTCGATCCTGATGCTGAGGATGAGGAACTAGCCTCTGGGCGTCGGCTTCTTGGACTTGCGGAAGATGCTGCGATTGGCAGGGAGCTCCTGCAGGGGATCTATGATTATGATGCATCGACCTACGGCTCAGGCTATGATTCGGCCTATGGTTCGGCCTACGATTATTCCAATCCACCCCCACAACTGCCACCGCCCTCATCAAATGGCAACAACAACAATGGCAACAACAACAGTAATGACAATGGGAACAACAACAGCAACAACGACAATGTCAACAGCAATGGAAACAACAACAATAACAACAATCCTAATACGACAAGTGTTGTACAAGCTGTGGACACTGCTGTTGAGATCACATCCATCGTGCAGCTGGGTATGTTGACAGTTATTGCCTACATTGGGGAGCTTCTCCTGGAGCTTGGGCTGCTGCAGACGGCGGCTGTGGTGTTGCTGCAGGCAAGTTGCTCTCCAGACGACGTTCGTTTGTTTGTTTTACCTGCTTTCCAATCTTGCACATTTTGTTTTAGAGGTCAACTGGCCACTGTTCAAACAGACAAGATGCTGGCCTTTGCCACCCCACAAGACAGTGTAAGGCTGTCGCATGTTGAATCCATTTTGGATAATAACGCCCTTGTACTTGCCAGACCGCTGCCCATTTGTTTCCGGTGCACCTATGTTGTTGAACTGCTGCCATTCAGTCAATCGCATTGTTGCCAGAACCTTACACGTTCTGTGTATTTGACATTCTTTTACCACTTTCGCAGGTCATTTCTGGTTCGCTGGCATTCTTCATCTTCAAACAACAGACAGATGCTGCTGCATTTACTGAGGACATGAACTATGGTGGGGCACGTTATGTGGGAACTGGAAGAGAGTTTGCTCTGTCCCACAACCACTTCATCTCGCTGTATGGTCGATATGCAAGGAGTCATCTGTACTTTGCGGCCAAGCTGATCCTGCTGTGTGTGATGCTTGGCATTCTGGATATCCCGGGATATGCCTTTGCAACTTTTGGATCATGGATGGTGGCGATCTCTTTGGTAACCGCACCATTCTGGTTCAATCCGATGCAATTTGTCATGTCCCAAACCAAGGCGGACTACAAGCAGTGGGTGAGGTGGATGGAGGGTGAGGAGAGAGACCCAGACAGCAAACTGACCTGGTACACGTGGCACGATCAAATGATGTCCAAGATAAGGAATGAGAGTGCGAACATGACAGATCATTGGCTCAATGGTGCGAAGGGGATCATCAGCAACCTCTGCACGAATGGCCTCCTGGCCATGGCGGCCATCTCACAGATAGAGACAGCAGAAGACACGAGCGCCATCTACCTCTGGGCTGCAGTGTCTCTGGTGCTCGCCATCGTGGTGGCCCTGTCCATTCTGCTGCAGACTTGCTTCCACCACAGGGAGAAGGTCACAGCCTCACGGGTTTTTCGCATGTTGCCAGTCATTTTCTTCCTCATCGTCACTGCTATTCTGTCTGAGGCGAAGATCGGAGCACAGACAGAGGACGGCAAGATCGGGCTGGGGAACCTGCTGCTGATCTACTACGCCGATCTGGTGCTGATCATCTTCGGCATCCAGGTCATGCAGCGCACCCACCAGGACCGCATTGGCGTTCGCCATGCTGTCGACCAGGCGTACTACGTGCTCGACTACTTCCTTGGTGTTGTTATCTTTGGGGTGCTGTTCGTGTTTTCGTTCACGGGCATCATGAACATTGTCCAGAACACGTTGCTGTTCAACGTGACATTTGCGTCATCTATCCGGAACAAGGAGCTGGTGGATGCCATCGGATTCGACAGGTATGTCCGAGCTGCGTGCCTGTGTCAAAGGCCTCACACAGCATTGCACTTCCGCTTGTCAAGTGATGGCCTGCACTCTTTGCAAGTGTGCGCATCGCCCTACCCCACGAGTCATTGTTCCTGTTGCCCACTAAAGTGCCCAAAGTACTGTCAATGCACCACAGAAAAAGAAGCAAACAGACTCTGACGGATACTGGGGAGGGAGAGAAGAGTGCAAAGAAAGCTGTCCAGTTGTCTGAATCCTTCTAGTGTGTCTAATCCGTCTGATCTGCCTAGTCTGTCTAAATCTGTCTTATCTGTCTAAATCTGTATAATTCTGTCTAAATCTGTATAATTCTGTCCAATCTGTCTAAATCTCTAAATCCCTCTAAATCTCTCTCAATCTCTCTAATCTGTCTAAAATGGTGGCTAAGGGTGGCGTGGCCCGCTCGCACTTGACAGGGACGTGGAGAGGGACGACGCCAGCAAGCACGGTAGCCGTGGCAAGGAGAGGTCCCTCGCGGAGCGCTTCCAGAGGCTCACCGACTGCACCAGCCCGCTGGCGCACTCCAGCCCCAGGGGCGGCGCCCCGAAGGAGGGCACCTTTACCAAAACTTGGACGAGCGGCGCCTGGCGGACCGTGGGCCCCAAGAACCTGCAGCTTGAGGGCCTCCGGGCTTCGTCCTTCACTGGTGGTGTGACAGACAGGAAGATGGACTCCATGGACATGGTTTCTTGGGTGTCCATGCCGCCCTTTGGGCAGCAGGCGAAGCAGGATGATGACGAAGATGACGACTATGGTGATGGCGACGACGATGGGGGGCTGTCAATAGCTGAGGTCCTTGAGATACCCGATCGAGGGAACGACGCGGAGAAGCAGATGCTGCTGTGAGGTGCCAGGCCCGTGTCGTCAATCGCATTGGGAGACGCGTATGGATGGACGGGGGCCAATGGGGCGGGCGGCAGAGAGACGCCCTGTTGGCTGCCCATGGGTGGGGCAGTGTTAGAACAATTTGGACTCAGTGGGACATGCGTGGGAGGCCCCTTTTTTTCGAGTCCGATTCGAATGCTGATACCTTGACTCAGGCTGGTTGCGGCATGCCACATGCATTGCGTGCAGCGACGAACAAAACGAGAAGGGGAAGGGGGCGCAATTCTTTATCAAGCGGTTTATCTCGTGACTGGGAACGGCTTGATCCTTCACACCGTACACCCAGGTATGTGTTCATGGGGGCTGTCGGGTGTGACTGGCTGCAATTACTGAACGAGAGACAGAGGCATTGCTTGTGTCGATCAATTTCGCAGTCTCGTACTGCAACTGGGGAGGGGTATGTAAGGTGACTGGATAGTTTAGCTAAGCGGCTTCTGCTGCCTGGGAACGCTGGGAACGGGGTCCCCGGGCGGGCTCGCCGCATCATGGATTGGACAACGCTGACTGGGGTGTTTGGCTAGGGGGGGCACACCGATTAGGAGCTGAGTGTTTGGCCAGAGTTTTGCCTATCAGGTTCTCGTTCCTGTTGACTTACGGTGGCCCTGGGCTGTCGCCCCCCAGCTGAGAAGAATTCAGGCACTGAAAAGTAGCCAAGCGGCCAGTGACGGCTCTGGCGATCTGTTCTTTTTTATCAGACCGGATTCATTGACATGTATCATCCCGTAGGGTCGCATGATCTACAAGCTCTTGTGAAGGTACTGTACCTGTTGCCTCAAGGTCGTGAATTTTTTATATCAATTTCAATTTTTTGGTGCGCGGGGGGATTTGCCCCGTGGGGGTATTGAATCATTCTCTGGCGTCGGACAACCGCTGGGGGACACCGTGCGCGCTGCAGTGCGCATCTTCTCTTTGATCAGTTGCCTGCTCGTACGGATGTCCATCTGCGATCAAGAAAATCCTTGGCACAACCCGCAACCAAAGGGGCCGCGATTCAAGCTTGAATCCCCTAAAGGTGCTTAGGCGCAGCGCTGTCTCTGTCACTCGCAGCCAAGAGCTGTTGCCTGCCTTTAGGGCACCGCTTCCCTAAGGCTGTAAGCTGACCATCAACCCTGCTCCTGGCTTTACTCCCGCCCACACGGCCATTGTGTGAGTTCGAGTTTCGGATTCAGTGCAGAAATTTCTGGGCTCATGCGCTGGGCTTGGCTTTGAAGTAACTGGAGAAACCAAGGACGAACAAGAAATCTGTCGGCAGCGAACTCGACAGTTGGAGGGTAAAGCGCGCCATGGCATGGGATACACAACTGATTGGCACATCGTGTGAGTCAGGCAGGAGGACTGCCCCGCCATCCACAAATGGTTTGCGGAAACCGCTGCTGTCACAAGTGCAAAACACGGTCCACCAACCATTCCTCTGTCCACTGCACTTGAAACCTTTATATATTACACCCTCCCATTCGCCAGCACCTCGGCTCCTGCATTCACAAGAATTCGACCCAGAAGAAAGTCGGCATCACGGCCAAGAGCTGTGGTCCAAATTTGCTTCTGATGCGGCCCAACATCCCACGAAACTTCCACCATACTTCTCCCCTGCAGATCACTCACACATTTGGAATGCCAAAGCGCCTGTCACCGCCTAAGAGGTGCAAGGTCGCCGCTCTGCACTGCAAATGCTCATTCCGGGCACAACAATTGCATCCGTCAGGCAAAAACAGCGGAGTGTGTCAGTATGGGACGCCAGGACATCCCCCTGCCCGGAAGTCTTAGGGCTACATGACCTGGAGTCCTATCAAAAATCCAGCGCAAAACCCAGTGGCGTTGGGGATCCCCTGCGAAGACACAAACACCTGGGGTTTGAGCTTGTGCGCAGGGAAGAGGCGGTGGTGGCGCCGCGGGGCGCACCGTGTCGCTGCACAGTGCCTGCCGAGCACAGCAACAGCACGCCAGGTAGGAACGCGAGACATCGCAAGACCGCAATGAACCTGATATGCAGGCATTAGACTTCAACCAAGACTGGTACTGAGACCGGTGCAGGGACGAAGACATGTACAGGGACCCGTCATTCACGGTTTTAAGAGTTTAGTTTGTTACGTTCTTTAGGGTTTTAGGCACTTCAGGGTTCAGGCACTGGTCGCGGTACCAGTTTAATGTCTGTTTATCGGAAACGCCCTCTGCAAGACTGCACAGCATGTCACAGTTGCCTGCCTCGACAAAGTGTCAGGATGGCGGCAAGTTGGCGTGGCGCCTGGACACAAAGTCCAGCCCACATTCACACCTCGCTGTTCGTCTCAATGCCCTGGTAATCAGATGGGCACTGTTCAATTAGTCACAAAACTCAAGTGTCGCACATTGACTGTTTGGATTGGCATTGCGCCAATGCCAGAGATACTTCCGATGAATGCTAGCATCACGGTGCAGGGATGGAGCACAAGCAAGAGCAGCATGCAGGAGCACCCCTGAGAGAACGCTTCCTGGATTTAAATCTCCTACGCATTTATCCACCAAGAAGTATTCCAAAGAGCTGCGGATTCAACACTCCATCTTCCCATTACAGGGAAGCGAATAGCCTGCACGCGCATGGCACACCTTTGACATTGTCCGCAATACATTGGTGATGATCGTCTTCAAATCCGCCTCGTTGAATTTTCTGCATCAGCAACCACTCGCCTCTACATTAATGAGGAAACAAACTTAAAGCATATTTTCTCTTTGATTCCGCAGCACGCAACCACGAAAATGCTGACGAGGCCATGAATCACAGCCCATGCAACACATGGACACAACAGAAGTGACGAGGACCTTTCCGTAACTGGCCGCAATGGCACATGGAACGAGTGTGCCCAAATGTGAGAGCTTGAAAACATTGCTTACTGTGCTCGGAATGGCCAGGGGCTCCCAAGTTCCAAGTCCCACAATCTCTCATCTGCACACTAAGTGCCTTAGTTGGCAAGCAGGTGTCACGACCTTGTCGTTGCAGAATGACTCACATGGATTGTGGTGGGTTGATGGACTTCATTATCATCTTCGAATTCTCAGTAACATTGCCAGTACTACTTCAGTGTGCGTTTGTACAGACATATCTCTCGCTGCATTCAACACACGGCATTTGGATATGGTTGAAAGGTAGATACGATTCCTTACTTGTCGCCAGTAACATCCAATTTCTTGCTGATCTTGGTTTCAACTTTTCTCCAGTCAATTTCAATGTAGCCATAGTGCTCCAGGGTCTGATGCACCACACAAAATTTCACAAATCTTGCAGGTACTCTCAAACCTTTCCATGCTTCACATTCAGCCACACTGTCAAACTGTTTTTCAAAAGCAGATAGAAAATGTGCAACTGGTAACGCAGCTTGACAGCATGGCACAAAATGTGTGAATGGCTGTTGGTGCGTCGCAGAATGGTGAATTAACATGGACTGGTGCCACATTATCCGACACTTTATTGTCACAGGAGTCGGACATGGACACCCAATCAAGCATTCACAACTTCTGTGACTGACAATTTAAACACACATGGCAAGCGAGGGCTCCTCGCTGGAGATCTCTGATACTCCGTTTCCTTGCAGGACATTCAAGAGTTTTAGGTTCCAAAATAATGCAACCTACTTGTGGGTTCCAGGTGCCATTCCAACCCTAATAATGGCGAGGACAGGATTCCTAACCCTGCACAACTTGAATGCCCAACAATCGGCGATGGAAATTGGCCTGCCAGCCAAGACAAGAACAAACACTGCTGGCAGTGTTGGTGCAATGTCAGCAACAGAATGCTCTAAAAGCTCTCATTTCACCTGAAGGAGGATGAAGGAGAGTCCAACAGCGATCGCCACGGCTTTACCCACAACCTGGAATGCCACACATTGCCATCTCACAATCCTGTCTCACAGTTTCACCATTCTGCGTTAAGCAAAGAATCCACCATCCCCCAAAGTGGGTACGGTGGTCAATAGAAATGTACCACAAACCTCCTCTACAAACTGAAGATTGGTTCATGCAAGGGGGCAATTCCTTCGCATCAGGCCGCAAACGGGCATTCCAAGCTTTCCAGCAAATGCCCAACGCGATCCCCACAAAATCAGAAAGCCAATTTGTGGGCTGCAAAGTATTGTACTGTTGTCCACTTTGATGCTATTTTGTTACTGGGCGCATACTCTATACTCGCTGCTCGTTTTCAGCAGAAAATGATGTGCCAGGCCTCCTGGCAACCTGAATGACCCAAAGAATCCAGCAAGCTAGGTTCATCAAACAAAAGGGCAGAAATCCCTTGTCAAACCAATGAAAGGGTCCCTAACATGCTTGTGTATTTCTTTTTGGATCGGGGGACAAGTGCTCTTCAAGGTATTTGCTCCAGATGAACTCATAAGCTTTTCCTCAACATCTCTCAAATGGTGGAAGATAGCATCGACATTTCTGCACAGGAAGGACAAGTCCAGTGGCTGGGGTAGTTGCTCCTGCCTATCAGCATTTTCAATAGCCACAGGACAATGGCCATTGAGACAGCAATTCCAGCCAGAAGTACACTTGGTGAAAGGTTCATTATGACCAAATTTGGTAAGCTGGGCTGGCAATCAAGTCGCCTCCTCAACGTGTTATCAGGTTTCAGAGAACTGAGGCAAACCGCAGCAGGGCACTGCTCCATTTCAGCACCCCATCATGCGCCATTTTGCTGCCGCATCAAATTCAACAAGTTTCAATAGAGTTTCCAGGTTGGCATGCCAGCAGGCTTGCTCACCTTGAATGCTCCAGCGCATATTAGTCCAATGACCCCACTGTATCCAAGCTGTTTCACGATTGGCCCCAGCCACTCCCAAATTCGATCCACCATGTCCGAAATTTCATCTGCCCTCGATGCTCCCGGTGCCAGAATCTGGAGGGCTCCCATGGCGCCCAACATCCACACCCATCGATGGCCCCCATGGCTCCCGTCGTCGCCACCTTACATCCCACAGCGAGCTGACACAAAGCGTTCCTTCGCAGAGGCAACTAATGACTGCAATGGAACAACTGTGGAGCCGTCATGCGCCCTTCGTCGTGGAATTTGTTCCCTCGCTCCCTTGCGTCGTCAACCGCGACCAAAGCGGCATCCCATCGCCAAATTGCCCCTTGCTCGACGGCAACTACGCCAAGAACGAGCAGGCAGTGGCCTGGAGGGATTGCGCTTCCACCCTTCCACAAGCCTGCACCTCGTCAGCATCTCTTGCCGCTCACAGGCCTTCCGGGCCTTTCGGGCACCCGTCTCGAGCACCCACTGCCCTTTGCCAAATTCCACACCGCCGAACATTCCCACGGCTCACTCGGGCTCTTCATCGCAGCATCTCATTGACGGATTCCTTCCAGCGGGATGGCACCGCCCCCCGCTGCCCCTTAGGCAGAATCTCACCTTCGCCCCCAAATCCGCTCCCGCCACCGCTGTTCCCGCCGCCTGGGCCGCCGGCCTTTGCAGCTGGGACCCGCGATGCCTTCGCGACCCGTCCTATCCAGACGGGGACCGTCAAGCGAGGGCCGCGAGCCAGACCCGGCGCGCAAGGACGAGCTGCGAGGGGCCGCATGTTTGGCGCCATTGCCACAGGACGGCCGCTATTCACCACTCACAGGACAGCCATGGTTCGCTGGGGCAGAGGACGCGTGGGCACGGGGGACCGCAGGGACCTTCCACGTTCCAGTGATTTCAGAAACGACGAGGAATTCCATTGGGCAACGTCCACTAATTTGGGGGCCGCCAGTTTCTGTCGCGTGGCTCGCTGGTGCGCGGACTTGCCAAGGAGGGATCTATGCACAGGACTTGCCACCGTTGTTGGATACTGCAGGGCAATTTGTGCCGTGGTACGGTCTGTCTCATTGAGCCATGAAGCAACGTAAATGCCTCAAAGGCAATCGAGTGAGCTGTTGCCATGCTCCACCCCACGTACCAAAAGTCGCGATCCAAGAAAGGGTCAAGCGCGAATACCACACGATGCGCCCTAAGCCACTCGTCACGGGGAGGCAGCCATTGGAAACATGGAAGTTTCTGAGAAACTTGGCTAAATTTTGGTGACTGCCGACAAGAGCCTGGCGTCACATGCAGGTACCATTTTTGCACTTTCTTATCAATTTTCAGCACATCGAACGGATTGTCCTTCATTTCCCTCTTACACTGGGCCCTGTGGCCCTTTCGCGGCTGCAACAATGCCCCTGCGATATCGCATTCAGACAGCAGAAAAAAAGGGACCTTGGAATGGGCGTCCCAACGACGCCCCAAGTGTTTTGGCAGTTGACGAACCTTGAGCCCCAACCCGGGCTACTGAACAAAAACAGGATTTCTGGAAAGAAAGGACACAAAAGGCAGTGACACACCATGTGTCACCGCCACTGTCCAGCCTCTAAACCCCACCCAGCCACATGCGCTCAAGGGCCACGGTGTTCGGCGATCCGGCCATAGCTTCCTCGCGCGCGGCGACCTCTTTTCCTCCCGGGCACAGAAGACGCACCGGATGGTGGACGGCCTCAGCGGGGCAGCGTCCCACCAGCCCATCGGGTCGCGGCCTTGCGGCCGACGTGCGGGCGCCTGAGCCTGAGCTGGCGGGCGTCGCTCGGAAGAGCACCAGATGGTCTCGGCGCCGCACAACGTGCTGGGCGTGCCGGCCTCCGCCAGCAAGGATGAGGTGGGGGGCACAGTGCGTAAGCCTTGAGGCGCTGACGCGGGTGGTGAACCTGAGTTTTTTGGCCACCTTTGTTGCAATGGAGGTTCCGCGTGGGCCTGCGATAGTGGGCCTTCCTTCTTCGGACTCAAGCGTGTCGGGTGTGGGCGTGGCGCGCGGCCTGAATGGCCTGCAGCCGGCGAATATGTGTTGTTGAAGATGGGGCCACGGTCCTTGTCTGATTTCGAGCAGGGGAGTGGAAAGGGGCCCTGCTGACCTGGTGGTCACCGCACAACACCCTTAGGCCCAGGAGAAAGCTGAGTCGCACAGAGAACAAAGTCATAGACTGTAAGCGATGCACGTGCGTGCGCGCAACCTACCTAATTCAAGCGGGATAAGGACAGGCAAAGCGAGTATTCGCGAATTACAGGCAATCCAGGCCGCATCCTCCCTGTTGCTCCCAACATTTAGGGGGGATATAGGGGGGAGGCCCGGGACAGATTGAGTGCTCATACATTGGAGCTTCATGTAGTGTCAACGTGGCATGCACAGTGAGGCAAAGCGAGGGCAGCGCGGTTGCCGGCAATTTTGGTGGCACTAGGAGGCGACAGGCTCAAACATGCTCAATCGCACATGAGCTCCACTCCCTGATGTCCTGGAAGCCTTCTAACGTTGTTTAGTCATCTTCCTGGTGCTTCACGCCACTAGGTAGTCATTGGTGGTGTTGTGTGTCGCTCAGGTGAAGGCTGCTTATAGAAAGCTATGCCTGAAGTACCATCCTGATATGTGTCCACCCAGCCAAAAGCAGAAAGCTGCAGAGCTGTTTGGACAGATATCAGAAGCTTATTCAGCAATGATGACAGGTATGATAGGTGCTTTTGTTGTGGAAATTCAGCGACGATTGTCCAAGAAAATGAGGGGTAGCTTGCACAATGGCCATCTCCCTCTTTGCAAAGCTTTGAGACAGATATTGTGGGCAAGTGTCGATGTGAACAGCACATGTTCCATGCATGTACATTCGAAGTAGCCAGACAGTCTGCTGTAACGTTATTGGCTAGGTGCTATGTAGCAAAAATCGTTCGGTTTATACAATATAACTCGAAAATAAGACAGGTGTCTGTACATATGTGTCCTGCTCCATGTGGACTGCAAGAGTGTCAACTTATTGTGAGTGGCTACAGCACAGGGTCGAAGAACAATAGCCCTCCAGCTCAAAATGCAGGAAAGGAAATGTGGCAGTCGATCACAAGTGGCGATTGTTGTGGTGCTTTCTGCACTCACACTCTCTTGGTTGCAGATTGACAGTGTGCCAACGATTGTGCTGCTGTTTTTGCTACTCATGCCTGTTCTGTGGAATTGCCCTGTGCACATTCGTGTTCCTTTTCTGCGCACCGCTCATGTGTGGATGCTGAACTCTTCACTGCACCCAGTTTCTTTCTTGGATAAGATTGGGGCTTGTAAAGATGAGGGGCCGGCGTTGCCTGGACAGCATTTCCTGTTTGATGCTCTCTATGTTGCCAACTACCGCAGGCATGGAATGTGGGTTCAGTTGTGCCCATCCCATAGATTCACCAAGTAATGCCTCAATGCCTGTATACTGCTTTACCCAGATGCAATGGCCTTGTGCTGAGACAGCATTTGCACATGGGTTGGCTTTCAACTCAAATGTCCCTGATTGTAATGCTCCCTTGTTCCCATATGATTCGCTTTCAACTGCCAATCTGACGTTTGCCTGTGCATTTTGTGCTAGGTTCCCACCAACCACAGTTTGACACAAGGAGCGGTGAGACTGCGTCCCAGCACACACCACAATAGCAACAGCAAGAACTTTGCTATGCATAGACTCCTGTGGTGCTTTTTTTGCTGTGCTGCTTTTCACCATCTGGAGGGTAGTGCTTTGCCATTCATGTGCATGCACATGGTTGCCTGGGTACTGTAATTGCCAGCAACAAGCAAACAGAAACGCTGTGATTCAAGCGTAGACAGCCAAGGCATATCAGACAACTTGAGTGCCACAGGTTCTCTTGGACCTCGATTGTCTGCAGTCATCGGTACTGTCCTTGGTAATATCTGGTGGGAGAAAGAAAACATATGAATTGGAATCAGTGAGGCAATTGTGATGAAGTGGATGCACAACATCTGAGGATGTCATTGACACACAAGTCGTCAATCGAAGGGCAGTGCATATCTTAATGAACTTGAGATGGCTCCCTTGGACAGGTGGAAGGGCATGGACTCCTCCTCGTGCTCGTGTTCGGGTGTCCAACCGTGTGGTAGCGCTCATCATCAGCCTTCCTGTAGTCTTAACCGGAATCAAAGTCGGAATGTGAGTGTTTTGGTTCTGCTACCAGTGGCAGCAGAATGTGTATCTACTCATGACTTTTCTTGGCTTGGCAAGGCTATCAAACTGGTATTGTGTCGCCCCTGCACTGGTTTGGTTCTCTGGATTGGCTGCAGCATCTACCTAAGGCTGCTGACATTTGGAGAGCTTAGTACCTGCAACCAGCACATGAACATCTACATTTGCAGTCCGCAAGTCTACGTGGAGTCAACTTAGATTTGACGGTATTTACATGGATGGCCAGCTCCTCCAAAGCTGCTGCCGTTCTCAAACTAGCCTTTAGCCAACAGCGATTCATTCGTTTCGTCTTCCTGCATGCATCAGGTTCTATGGCCGCCTTCCCAGGGAGGGAGACGACGGGCCAAACTTGTGGACAAGGACATTTAAAGGATGGAAAGGCATGAGCTTCTAGTCTGTTGTTAGCCAGGCCACTCAATTGCTTGACACAAGAATGAGTGGATCGCATGAGGCGTTGTCAGTTGGACCTGCACTGCGGCGTTGTCATATTCCTGGTGGTGAACGTCATGCAGGAACCCAACTTTGCTTTGAACACTGCACGATATTGAACATGCTGCTAACGATGTGCGCTTAAAGTAGGCGACGTCAAGCGCGTTTCTGCTGTCTGTGGCTTGCTACAACCACGCATTGCAGTAAAAAGGAGCACCCTGCAGACGCCACAGTGTCGCGAGTTTGCAGTGGTCGTGGACAGGGTCAAACAAAATTGGGTGCTCGTGGCTGTTTACTACATAGGCATTCTCTTGGGGCATTTGGCTGGGTATGGGAACCCTCTTCTTTGGGAACACACCTCTGCTTCTGGGGCCCCAGCCGGTCGTTCTCTGACAGGCCGGTGCTTTGTCATATCCTTTGACAATTGCAGAAGCCATGCATGCGCGTCGCTGTCCTCGAAAGGCGGGGGCCTTGTCACCTTTGGCCACGAATCAAAGCTCTGCCCCCGAGCGCTGGGTGCCGCGCTGATGACTGCCGCTGCAGCAACAATTTCGTTCTGAGCCTGTGTGCGTGGCGTCGCTCGCAGGGCCTACAACGACCTAAAACAGAATTCTGGCCGTGTCAATGGCCTCATCTACCCGCCTGTGAACCCCTTCCTGCGTGCAGACCAGCACGGGCAGATGCAGGTCAGGTGGAGTCGCAGTCAACGGGAAGAAAACCAAGATTGAAATCAGCTCCTGGCTGCAAAGGGGATTCTGTGGTGCAGGGGGCGACCCACGATTCTAGGTTGTTTGCGCGTATTCTTTTTAAGCTATATTTATGCTTGGGCCTCGGGGTTGTGGGTTGGGGGTGAGGAGTGGAATGACGGACATAAAGAGTCCGTACTTTGAGGGTGTTGTAACTGTAGTCCCTGCCGTCGAGAGCGGCGATGAAGGCGCTGTTGGTGGGACGTTTTCGAAGCCTTGTGCACATTAATGTGTTCAAATATTTGAACGCTATGCACCCAAACCCTTGGTGGTGCGCATGTGAACTGGTCGTTTGCTGATCGCAAGGCGCGGCTTTAAGTTGCTGCTGCGTGGCGGCCAGGCCCAACATTTCGTGGGCTCCACCTCGATACATATCGCTGCGCCGCAATGGCGAGCAGCACACCCAGGGCTCCGTGACCAGGTGTGGTGCGCATCCGTTGTTGGCTGCACGCCTTGGCTGCCACAGCACCCATTTCACCATTACCATTTTCCCGCGCTGCTGCGTGCACTCTGGTAATGTCCCCTCCCACCCTGCTGTATTGGAGAGGACCGCAGGAGGTGCTCAGCAAAGAGCAAGCACGGGGGAAGAAGGGCGCGCGTTGCGTTGCTCTCCAATTCAATTCAAAATGATGATGTTCGCATCGATTTATGTCGCAAGGCCTCCTGCTGGAAGAGGAATATGGTGATGATAGCGAAGCGGGTCATGCAAAGGGGGCCTTCTTCCCGGCAAGAGCTGCGCTCTATCAAGACGGCTGCAAAATTGCGGTGTGTATATAGACGTGTGCGACAGAATGGACACACGTCAATGAGCTTCCAAGGCAACACCGTTGAATCACGCTTGCATGCGTAGTCCGAACTCAGGGGCATGTCGAATCCCGACGATCTCATTTGGACAACAGAGGTAAGAATGGCTCAGAGCATGAGCCCGGTGCCGGCAGAGTTCCCAACGGAAGCGGAATGTGTCGTCAGAATGTTCGGTCCCAACTGGCCACCTGCCCATAGGGATCGCACAAGCTTTCTGGTGGGAATCCATGTGTCCTTGACTCAGGATGTGGGGATCGGTGGGACCCGTCATTCTTGGGACATGTTTGAACAAACACCGGTGTCCCGCGACCGGGACCAGGTCCGGCGACCGCAAACTATTCCTAAACCATTCCTAATAGGGACGCCCGGCGAGCGAACGCCAGTACTGCGCAAGGCGGGACAGCGATCCTGACTCAAGGTCAAGACACCACCCCGCAAACCAGTGTCCCTCCACTGGGGGCCTGTTCCGCGGCGCTCGCCGCCGGCCGGCTGGGATCCGTGGTGCGGCCGCTGGGAGGAAAAGGATGACGGAGGTGGCCGTGGATGCCGTGGCCACGCCCGACTTCGCGGAGAGGGCGACGGAGCGCAATGTCGTGTGGGCCAAGATGCGCGGCTCCACTGAGTGGCCGGTGGGTTGTGCATACAGGGCCGTGCACAGCGCGCCGGCCAAAACGGCGGGTCGTGTGCATCGCGATTGCCTTCCTGACTTCCTCTTCTGGCGCGCTCCTGGACCGTGTCGCTGGATCAAAGAGTTATGGGGGCATGGGTGGCTGCATGTGTTGCCTTGACGGTTGACCAATGGTTGACCAATGGGCCCCGTTTCTGAGGCCGGTTGGCTGGCTGGGTGCTGCGACGATGCAGGCTCAGGTGCTTTCAGAGGAGGCCGCCGAGACGTTTTTGCGGAACGCGCCCAGGAGGGGGACCCTGCGCGTGCCTGTGCAGTTCTTCGGGCCGGCGACAGGGGCCTTCCTCAACGGAAAGGACATACACCCGTGGCAGGAGGGCCTGGACAGGAAGTGGCACATGAAGGCCAACAAGAAGAAGAGGGCGCAATGCGGCATGGCGCAGGTGCCCTGCGCCGCCCGGCGCTCGCCGAAACCCCTTTTCGCCCGCCACGGCCCCCTTCCCGCCATTTCTAGTTTGAATCGGGCCATGCCTGGTTGCAAGCGCCTGGTTTCGATCGCTGATTTTCGGCACCTGCTGACCCTCGCAGGCGCTGGAGTACGTTCGTGAGAGCGTGATGCCCAAGGGCTGGTGGACACGTTGGCATGCCGTCCCATGGGATCCCAACTCTGGCAAGGAGGCTGCTGCCCTCGAGAGCGGCCAGCCCTCAGAACTTGGGGCGGACAACAATTCGGGATCGGGCCACTCGGGGCGGCGAGCACTGGATGATTTGGTGCCCCCGTCACCCGCCAGTGTGGGCGATCGCGGCAGCGACTGGAACGAGGAAGAGGTGAAGCACAGGCACTTCAATTGACGAGCGTGGTGTGTTCTGCTGCTGCATCAAGGCGGTTGCCTTCCGCAACAAACAGAGCAGCGGCATAGGGCCAGTCTACTGGGCTGAACAAGGAACTTGCTTTTGTGCAGGAAATGAGAAAGAGGACGTCCGAGTACATGCCCATAGACAGGAACCACTGGACGAGCGCACCCAAACTGAAAATGCTGAAGCTCAGCCAACAACGCAAGCGCAAGGTATGTGCAACGCCTGGCGGGCCCTGAGAAGTGTTGCTGACAAGAAGGAAACTGTTGATCGTTGTTGAGCACAATGCTAGTGGCCAGCAGCCCAGGTGTGTGTAGCCTTGCTATAGGCCATCGACATGCAGCATTGCACATGTGTCACCAGCCCTGGCTGGAGATTGTGTTAATCGTATCTGCTTTGTGCCGCTGCAGGGAGATGTTGCGATATGCAGCTGCAGCCGATCAGGTGACTGCTCAGAGAACTGCACAAATAGGGCAACGAAGTTCAAATGTGACCCTGAGAATTGCCCTTGCGGAAACAGGTGTACAAACCTGCCGTTTGACTTCATCGAACACAAGAAACTTGAGCCATTCTTCACAAGAAACAGGCAAGTGCCACATGAAGCGCTGAAGCAGAATCCACAGGCTTGCTTGGTATGTTGTACACCTGGAAACATGCTTGCAACTGCCGGCTTTGGACACTGTTGTACTGTATGTCCCGAACTTGGATTGATGCATTTTGACAAGGAGAGTAATGTCCTTGAAAGGCAGAGTGGTGAGCAGCAACATGGAACAGATTTGCAGTAGCAGATTGCCAGTCTTTTCTCAGAACTGGAGACATGGCCCCACAATCAGACCATCCATCAAAAATGCCTTTCAAGCTCTTGTCGCCAAGGATATTAGTGACAGAGCGAGATCTTAGAGTGTGCAATGGCCGGGAACTATTACGTGCAGCTTCCTCATCCACACACTGTTAATCCCAGTTGCTGTGTTTGGCAAACAGGGGAATGGGTGTCAAGGCCATGGAGCACATCAGAGCTGGAGAGTTCGTTGTCGAGTATGCAGGGGAGGTGATCTCTGACGAGCAGCGCAAACGTCGCATAGCAAAGGGTGGCAGCCTCTTGGCAGGGGCCTACACAATGGCATTAGACAATGGACTTTATGTCGATGCGTACAGGAAGGGCAACATAGCGAGGTTTGTGAACTCATCCTGCTCACCCAATTGTGTGGTGGAGAAATGGACGGATGCAGCTTCCGAATTCAGTCGTTTAGGCATTTTCGCCCAAACTGATATTGATCCAGGCCAGGAGGTGACCTACACGTACATGCTAGATGCTCCAGAGGACATGAGCGAGGATGACAAGGAGATGTTTGTTTGCAGATGTGGGGCACCGAATTGCAGGTAAAACAGCATGGTGCGGCTGATGATTTCCAGTTTTCTTGCATAATGCAAGAGCACAAGAACCATCTATGTCATCGTATGCATGCAGTAGAAATCTTGAAATTTGCTGTTCCAGAGGAATGGCAATGGCATGACCTGCATCCCTTAACAGCAAGAAGCACACAGGTGCTTTAGGACTGAGAGCTCAATTCAATTGCATCCGAGAACATCATTTCCCTTGTGTACTTGGTTCCAAGAAGTGCATTGCAATTGCCACAGCTGTGCACAGTCTGCAAGATTTTGCAACTGTGGCAGTGTCACATATGATTTGCAGTGAGATCTCCGTGAAAGACGCTGTGTCATATGCCTCAGGGGCACACTGGTTCGAAGGGTTAGCCGTCATAGTATTCACAACAGCAATGGCCTCAACTCCACAGAAATTGGAGACCAGATTGGTGGACAAGGGGCAGCACCAGTTCAGGTGGGGTGGAGATGTACGTCCATGAATGAACAGTCTTCCATTGCTATGCTTCTTGCAAGGCCTTCAGGCGAAATGCAGCAGATGGAGAGACGTGGTTTGCTTGCATTGTAGGGTAATCCACCCAAGAAAAGAGTGCGGGAAGAGTGTGCAGAGACATGTTCTTATGCTAGGGGCCGTGAAAAGGTAGGTAAAGGGGGTCTGCTGGCACAAGTTGGTTTATTGATCTGTGGGCCATGTGCACACACACCCATTGGGAAGACTTGGATTACATGTTTGTGCTCTCTTGCTTGGGTCTGCATTTGATGGACTCATCAATCTTTGGTTGTGGGTTGGGATTTGAAAATGCAACACTGTGCTTAATCGTTACTGGCTGCTTGAATAGGTTGACGCGAATATCTCATCTGCCTGAAAATTTGAACCATGTCACTGTCTTTGATTTTTCAGGTGCCACCACTCCATGACACACAGAGCGCTGCTCAATAGTCGGAAATTTCATGGACAAGCGCACAAGAGACACAATTGGGCTTCTGTTGAAATGACATCAATAGAAATTGACAGCTGGAGTGCAGTTGATGGCTTTCTAACAAATGTTGTTGCTGGTTGGTATTTGTGCCGATGGGGCTCTGTATTCTTGCTTTTTGGTTGCTTGCCCTATAGAACGTTGTAGATGGGCACTGACTTGTCTGTTGCAGGCAAATGAAACGAGAGTGAGGGGTTCAATATTGCGTGTGTCTCTTGCAGCGCTAGCAGGGGAACTGTTGCTAAATCATGGCAATAGAATCTGTGCTTGTGACCACAATATGACTTACTGGACGCAAAATACTGCACAGCAGCGTGTTGCCTGGCAAGGGGTTGAATCTCAGCAATGAGAGAGATTTGGTGCTTGTTGCACCTTGAAGTATAGCAAGTACTGGTGAGTTCTACAGGAACGACGGTGAGCCACCTAAACTGGTCAACGCCTGGCTGCGATGTGCTATACACCCAAACAAAGATTCCGTGGTGCCATGATTAATTTCTGCTCCCCAAGTGCTTACCTCCCATGTCTGTCCATAACGGAGTTCAAAACTCTTCAGCGGTCACGTGATTACACTGCAACGGCCACCAAAAGCTGGCAGTGGTGAACAGACGGAGAGAGATAGGCAGCTCAAATGCCAACATGCACACCAGCAAGGCGCAAAGCATGATTGGATGCATTTGCACACGCTACTGTGTGCCCTTTGACGACATTTTGCTTCCCAAATTCTACACAACCAGGCAGGATGCCCCTACGAGGGTGCTGGGCCTCTTCCGGACTGGAGAAGGTGAACTCGCCGTCAGTTCCAATCAACATTAAGAATTTATTCTTCTAAGAAGAATAAATTGCTTTTGGAAGCACGGCCGGAAATGAAATGCTGCCGGCTAGAGAAATTCTTTCGTGCATGTGGTGGGGATGAAATGGATGGGCAGAGCGCAGTACTTGTCGCAGGGTGGTCTGGCCTCCGGTTTTCCCATTCCGGGCTCCCTCACTTCTCACATCTGCCCAGCCGAAAAGAACGCCTGATCCTCACTGATAGCCACTTCCAGTCCACCCTGGGGACCACCTACACACCCCAGCGGGGCGCCGGCGTGGCTTGAAAATACGGGATGCCGCTGGACGAACTGTTCTGTCCGGCGAGGTCCAGCTGGAACAAGGTCCAGCACAGCGAGTTCACCAACGCCCAGGTTGTGGACAACGGCGGATTGGTGGCTGACGCCTGGTCCCACGGCTGCAGCATCCAGAAGACGACGTTCGAAGGGTGGGCGGCCTGTGCGGAGTGCGCATCCTTGCAAGGCCTGAACCTGTCCAAAAGAAGGCGTGAATCGACGCCGCGCAATCCTGCAGTTGGAGGCAGGTCAGGAAAAAGGCGCCAACCGACGTGAATCTGCAGTTGGAGAAGCTCGCAGCGTCGACATTTGCCTTTGTTGGACGCGATCGATGAAAACAGGGCCGTCGGAGTTGGAGCTAGAGCGAAATTCAGTTACCTCAAATCTGATTTGAGAGGGAGGGGCGGGAATTGGGTGTGTTTGAAAGGTTAGTCTTGGCGGGGGATCGGCTGCTGTCCGCCCATGAGGCGCACCATTGAGGCTTTGTGTGCAACGCCTCCGTGCTACATGACAAGGCGCACAGCCTGCGAGTGAAACAGTCCCTGCTGCGCGGGGCATTCTTCAGGAGGCAGCGATGGCGAAGCTTCCTAAACTCACGAAACTTGGTTGCGATCCTTAGGTGCTGCCGTCCCCACTTGGAACCTCCTGCGCTGTGGGATAAAGCCAGCCAGCGTTGTATGCCTTGAGATCTCTGTGGAAGTACATATGCATAAAGGTCGTTGCTATACAGAGCATTTGGTTCCACTGTTGGGCTGCTTGGCCATGAGATGGCGGATTCCGGATTGCAGGTTGCATTCCAGAACAGGCACACCGCTATTGCCCACGAAGCCCACCAGCTGTGCCCGAGTTGGTAGGGCGCAGGACAACGAGGCTGGTTCCGTCGAATGCCTTGCTGATGCGTAGGCAGTATGTTTGCCAACCTCTATAGCCCACGTTGTGTCTTGTCTCCCATCGGAGAGGGTAAGTTGTCCTGATGTTGGTGTGTTTGTGTTACAACATGCTGCTGAAGATCACAGAATGCCTAGTTGGTGATAGCCACTGATCTTCGTCGAGTATGGGTGTCTGTTGTGCTCATTCAGTCTGAAACAGGGATTTTTGTTGTCTCACACAGTCCTCTGCAGGGATGATTGATTTGTGAATCTGAATTCTCACAGCATCAGCTGTGATGAATCCATGATTGGCATATCGGCGCACTGAGCAGAATGGATAAGTCTTTTTGCATGAACTGGTTGTAACAACCCACCAGATGTTGTGTGGCTTTGTCTCCACCTTTCGATTATTGCCATGTGCTGGAGATCAGTTGGAGCTTGGTGGTGTTCGATGTATCTACTTGCTTGGTGTCTATCTGCAAATTGTTTGGTGGCCGCAGTTGAGCATTGACTTGTATCATGCACTCAAGACTATCAACAAGATCACAAGTTTAAAAAATATGCAATCAGGCGCAATTTTGTTTGGGTGGTTTTCATAACAGGCTCACGAATGTTCTCACCTCCTTTTTGCAAAGTGTGGGCGTAAGCGCTCCACACGCCTCACAGTGTTGTGTGCTTTCACGATGCCTGACAGTCTTCTGCATCATCGTTTGCAGTACGTTGCAAAGTCTCAGCATCTTTGTGCTCAGGTTGGGCCATCCATCGTGGGATATGTTGTCTTGCGTGCTACAATGAATCTTTACTAATAGGTTCAGGCGTTATGTTGACCACATCTTTCTGGGATGCCCTCAGCAGGGCTAATTCCTGTTGTGAATGTCACCTGAGTGATGATCGCTGTTGGATTCCCACCGAGGGCATCGTTTGAAGAAACCAGCCAGCTTTCTGACAGGAATATTAACTCTGGCTCTGGAAACTCCTTTGGAGTTCAGTGTATGTGCCCCCCTGAGTGTTGAATGGACATGGAGTGTAGTGCGAAATTGTTGAATGACATGTGTATTTGCCTTGTGAGTGTTTGAGAGTTTGATGCAGGTGCTAGATAGAGGTAAATGCTTAAGGGCTGAAACCAATAGCAATGGCTTCATAAAGGAAGACATTGTATCGATTTTAGCACGCTCTAGTGCTCAATGAATGCTTGGGCGGCCCAAGAGCAGTGCATGGCACTGCAGAACGCACAACAATAGTTGGTCCACACCACTGTCGATCTTGTTCTTCGCTTCCCTTGACATTCCCAATGAATCTGCTCGTGTGCAATAGGGTTGAACTCCACAATGTCATGCTGAAGAGCAACCGTGTCATGTTTGTGGAACTGAACTGGTGAGTTCTTATTAGGGGCAAGCGGGCGAGCCTTGGTAATGTGCATGGGCTTCCTTTGCTCTTGCGTGGGTGGTTAAGTGAGAGGGGGGTGGGGGTGGGGGTGGCAACGCCACATTGATTTTCTGACTTGTGGTGTGTGCTTGTGTGTGCCTGGACTGCTTTCACACCCACCTCCAGAAGAAGTGGAAGTGAGTGTGGGGCACCGAGTCAATGTACTCCAGGCGCACTTTCAACGGGTCCCATGCACAAGACACATTGAGAGGTGCCTGGTGTGCACTGGAGACGTATGCAATTTGGCCTAAATGCGAGAAAATAGCCTTTGCTGGACTTTCCCAAGCCATAAAGGAGGCCAAAGAGCTACCTCTCCGCCAGGGAAAGCCATGTGAAGCAAAGGGCCCCGGATCCTCCTCCCTCAATGTGGACCCTCTCTGGGGATCGAGGCATTGCAAGTGTACCACTGTGGACCTGCATTGTGAATGTTTGGCGGTGAGCTTGTGGCTGTAATATTTCCTGACAGGCTGTAGCTTTGCCTTTTGCTCTCTGGCGTCCAGCGTGTGCAATATGGCAGAAAATCAACTGGCTAAGTTCCATTATCTGCCACGGTTTGATGCTTTTTCCCGTCTCCCAAACCGCCTCGAAACGGCCCTTTGTGCATGCGTCCAAGACGCAGTTAGCCTCAGTCAGGCAAGGCCTTCAAATGTCCTCACCGGCGCCTGCGATTCTGCGCCACCACTACACTGACATATCCCGAAGATTACCTGCCATGCCCTAGAACGTGTTTCCCAGCTTCCCCCACCTGACCACCGCCGGAATGGCAACTCCACAATAAAGCGAACATGGCAAACAGAACCTTTAACTTGAATGGCAAACACAGGCGCAACAGCAGCCACTAGCACCCGTTTCGTTTCCATGATCACACTTTTGCGCATCAGGCGATTCACAAGTGTTGAAGGAAGGGAAAATTCTGCCGTCCAATAGTCCTTGAGGTCATTGTCGGTTGTGCCGTGAGCTCCGCCCGCCCCGACACCGATCAGTGCTGCAGAGCAGCCAATCACGAAACAACAGCACCACCCGGTGGCGGGCCACCTGGCCTGGCCTTCTGCATATCTGCCGTAGTGTATTCAACCCTTGCACATAGTAACGTAACGCTTGGCCATTTTCTGAGGACAAAACAACAAAGTAAGCAACGCTCCTCTAAAGAAAAAATTTCATGGAGCAACGTAAAAGAAAGCAACGCTCTGGAAAAAAATGCGGAGCAAAAAGCACAACGGTAAAACTGTTTGATGCGCAGAGGTTGAATATACTACGGCAGCGGGGGGCTTGTGCGACCCTTGGAGCCAAGCCGCCCGCTGGCCGCCTGCACCCCGTGCCACAATGGCTCGCTTTGTGCATGGTCACACAGTCCGGCACTGACCTCCACTGCTGGCGCTGTGTGACGTCTCTGCAGCTACAGTTGACACACTGACTGGCGGGGCGAGGATTGCAGCCTGACGTCAGCACCGATCATCTGCCTGCCATGTGCCGACTTGTTCGACCTCCCATTGAGGCGCATCGCGCCTTGGGGCCCGCTCCCTTACCTCGAGCCCGGCTAGTGGTGCGGCTCAAAGTCGCCTGAGACGCCCTGGGGCAGAAGGCGAGGTGCGGAGGAGGGCGGGGGCTGTTGGGTTGCGTCCCGATCGTCGATCGACGGCTGGCTCGCAGGCAGCGCGCGACCCGTGGCGATGGGCCACCACACGCCCCCGCTCCTTTTGCCATGTACTCGGGGCGTGCATGGGGGACTGCCTCCCCTGCGAGCCCATGTGCAGCTGCAGATGGCCGTCCATTCCGTCCAAGTAAGCCTTGGGAAGTGATCCAATGGCTGGGATGGCGGTTGGGTGCTCGAGCGAGTTCGCGGCTTGGCAGTCCGTGCACGCGGCCAGGGACCCTTTGCGAGTCGCTTAGAGCTGTGGGGTCTCGGCCCATGTGCCTTCGTCGTGGTCAATTCCTTGCGACAGCAGTAGTGCTGAAGACACTCGTTGAACAATGCAAGACGGCATGGCAACAGCCATATCAACAGTGGCAACCCAGCTGGAGTGGTCCGAAACTGCCGAGTGTCCGCTCGCCTGGGCTGCGCACGACATGGCCATCGGATCATGGGCACTCAGGCCGCCCATTCCCGGCGAAGGGACCGCCTGAGGACGCAGTGCGCATCCCATCTCCCCGGGCAACGAAGGAGCGCGCCCAGGGTCCTCTGCGCGTCGAGTTCCTCGGTCGGGGCCCGGCTGGACCCCTTCCACACGGCCCATGAATCCGCCCCGGGGCGCCTTTGAAACCGCAACGAGCGAAGGAGGCCGGTCGACGCAACGGGGGAGCGGCGGCCCACCGCGCCGACCTCGTTGCAACTCCACGCAGCTTTGGCGCCTGCGCAGCACTCCTGCCGGCCCCTCCCTCCCACCGCCGTGTGGAAAAGAACCTCGAATACATTTGCTTGGCAGCGGGTGGGCTTTGTATGACCTGCTTCTTCCTCTCTTTGTAACGAATCTTTGCCCCTCACAGCCCCTCGACATCCCAGGTGAACCTGCAGGTCCGCACGGTGGTTGCACGACAGCTTAGTAGTCAGCCCACCCACCCCACTGTAGTAGTAATGGCCCCCCGCGGCCTGCCCAAAGTTCAGCCACCGCCCTCGTTACGGGCGCCCCGAAGACGCCATCGTCAGAAAAGATTTCGCAGCCGGGGAGGCGCGCGTCGGCGGAGCCATCCGCGGGGGCGCCCGTCCTCGGCACTTCCCAGGGCCCCCCGCCGGCCCCCCACCCCGGGACACCGGAGAGGCCTACCCCCGCACACCGGGGCGCCGAACCCCTCGGCCTGCTGGGTTCACCGGAGGAGCGCCCGCCTGTGGGCGGTACGCCGAGGGGTGAGAGCCCTTTGAGAGGCCCACGCCGGCGCCCGCCCGCACCCAGCTCTGCGCATCTTCGGCCTGCCAACGGCAGCATACCGGCACAGATTTCGCCGCCGGGTGCGTGATCGAGCCGGGGGAGTGGCTTCCCCGCCGCGGGGTGGCTGGCGATCGGGATGGCCGGCGGGCATTGTTTCGCGGGGCGCTTTTCGATCGGGGCGGGTCACGGCAGGCGATCTGATCGCTCGGCGGCGCCGCGTCGATCCGCTTGGGCGAGGGGGCTCGGTCGTGGGTGGCGGGGGCGCGCGGCGGAGTCGGGCCATGGCATAACCGCCGCTGGGGCTGTCCTCCAGTCTGCGAGGGAATGGAAATCCCTGTTCTTCCGCTGCGAGGGGTGGCAGGGACGAGGTGGCACGCGCACGTGTACGTAGGGGTGGTGGGGAGGGGGAGGGGGCAGGACTCGGGGGTGGCTGGGAATGGGAGTGGGGGCGCTTGGGCGGTGCGGAGGACGCTACCAGCCGCCCTCTGGCCCCGCCCATCGACCTCCACGGGCGGCTCTTGGGGGACGCTTGTCAAAGGAGGCAATCTTACGTGGTTTCGGTGGGTGGGGATGAACGGCTTTGGCCGCAGAAACTGGGTGTGCTCGGTTGGGATTTTGACGCCGGGTTGACGGCAAATTGGCGCCAATTACTGGTTTTCGTGCCCCATCCTCTTTACTCATTCCTGTGCTTAAATCGCGGTGTCCTCTGAGAGGGACTGGACCGAACCGAGCCCAACGAGTTTAGGCCGTCCTCGATTGAGTCCACTGCAAAACTCTCTCAGATATCACGACAGAAACGGCTGTCAAGTTTTCCACAGCGCAACAGGTAAAAGACGACTTGCCTTTGCACTCATTTCTTGTGCACCTGTAGTATGTTTCTGCCCGCAGCTTTGGAGCCTGACTATCACTATAGTTTACAAATTGAATTTCTTTGAGAACGGTACCCTGTCACCTTACACGTTGCATGGCAATGAACGTAGAGTGGCCTGCAGATGTGCCTGCACATCTGCTGCCAAATGTACTACCTGTGGACCTCCAACAAAACAGAAGAGGTCAACCAAAAAGACAAACGAGCCAAGTTCCCTCACTCGTTGCACTCCCCAAAAGCTGTGCCTGGTCCACGATTTCTAGTCCTGCAGAGGAACCAGTGCTATGGTGATGCATTCCAATGTACACTTCGGGAACAGTTGATCCTCTGCCAATGTGGGTGTTTGCAGCGATGTTAGGACTCTTGTTGCGTGTTGACATCGACTGTTTTGTTTGTGCTGCAGAACTCAGCGTGGCTGGGGCAGGGGACCATTTTTACGCCCATTGGCCAGCAAGAAAGTTTCATTGGTGCCTTTTGCCAATATCATATGTAGCCTGTACCAACTTGTACTTGTAGGCCACCCGCAAAGGTAAAGCAGCCCAAGCTATCCTTCCCCTTTGTGCCTTGCGAAAAAAGCGCTTGCCATGACTGCAGAGAAATCTTGTCTTACTTGTGGCACTGCTTCTCGCCTGCTGTCGTGTTAATGAGTTCTTCACTGTGAGACATGCAGCAATCAGTGCTGCCTTCACTTGAGCTTCGCTGTGAGTGCTGTTGTGAGATACGCAACAATCAGGGCTCGCTTCCCATCTTTTGGCGCCTTCCGCTGCCTTCCATTGCCACAGTGTGGCGAATGACCCTCCAACATTCCACCAGAAACAACCACGCACTTGTGTTAGTTCTGTTGGCACACGACTTGAAGAAAAGCTGGAAATGAAACTGCCTTGGTGAAGCTTAACTTGTGCGACCCTGCAGGGGAATTCAAGAATTTGAATAATGGCTTTTTCGGCATCAGACATCGGCATGCTAGTTAGCGAGTGCATTACCATTTGGAGGACAATCAAGCCCCGTCAAATTGCTTTGGACTACCTTGCCAATGAGGTGCACGAGCTGGGCACAGAGCTGGCAGATGTCAGGCATTTGAGCCAGGACACAGTGGGGCGTTTGATTGTTTTCATGGGGGACGTCAAGTTGCTGTTCCGCCAACACACGGGCGCGTCGAGGACGTGCCCCAGCGGCAGGGTGCTCTGGGTGTTCCCTCCCTGCCTTGCCAGGCCCAAGACACCACGGGACCTGATAGCTGAAGTGCAGAAGCTCCAGGCCGAACTGCACACTGAGGCAAACATCAGAGAGAGTGTGGCGATGCGTGCACAGATCCCAAACCTCCTGAGCATGCTTGCCCTGCGTGCTGTCGTCAGCAGCGAAAGGCTTAGGAGCGCAGTCAAGAACCTGGCGATCTTGGCAACGGTTCCCGAATGCGGGAGGAAAATTGCAGAGACGGGCGGCATCGCTCTTTTAGTAAAGGTTGTGAAGAAGGGCAGCCAGGGTTGCCAAATCGAGGCAATGAGGGCGCTGGGAAATTTGGCACTTTCATGCCCCGAGCACCAGGTGTCCATTGCGCGTCTGCATGGCGTGAAGGCAGTCGTTGACAAGCTCATGGGCAAGCGGGTGTACCGGGAGCAGGCCCTTTGCTCCATCGCAAACCTCACCGGTCTGGACGGGCGGAGCCTGGAAAGAACCTGGCGCAAGGTTTTCCATCCCTTGGGGCGCTTAACAGAGAAAGGGAACGCGCCGGTGTGCAGGCTGCATGCTGTACGCGCCCTGGCGGGCCTCTCCCGCAGGGAGAAGCTCCACAGGAGCATGGTTGACAGTGGCGCGATCCCGCAGATGCTGGGCATCCTGGACAGCGCCGACCCGGTCCTTGTCAACCTGTCTGTGAAGGCTCTGGCGCGCATCAGCTTCAGAGAAGACTATTGCCAAATGATAAGGGCGTCCAATGGCATAGACACCATTGTGAGGATCCTCACCAGCGAGCCGTTCCATGGGCACTGTGTGGGGGCGGCGCTGTGCGTCCTCGCCAACCTGGCCGGCCTGGAGGACAGCCACGACATCAGGCAGTGGGAGAAGGCTGTGCCCCCGTTAATAAAGTGTGGGGAGTCCAATGGGCCGGCGTGCCTCCGAAATTCGGCACTCGCCCTGTCCTCCCTGTCGAGGTCGCCCTCCCTCCAGGAGATCATCCACAGGGGGGGCGGCCTGCCCGTGCTTGTGAATTGGCTGTCTTCGGACGACATGGCCTGTCGGGAGCGGTCGTGCGTCTGCCTGGCCAACATGTCCACCACCGGCAACCTGGAAAGGATGCTGGACGTGGACAGGGCGGGGGGCGTCTCCGCCCTTGTCAGCGTTGTGCAGACGGGCAACGCCGTGTGCAGGGAGCAGGCCTTCCGGGTGCTGGCGTGCATGAGCTCCCAGAGGCCCCTCCAGGAGGTGCTGTTCATGCGGGGCGTGGTGGGGCCGTCCCTGAGCGTGTTGGCGAACGTGTACAATTCTCAGAAGTGCATGCTGTATGCGACGTACACCTTAGCGAATCTGTGCTGGGTGAGGGAGTGCGTGGAGGAGGTGAGGGAGGAGAACGGGGAGGAGCCCCTAAGGCGGATTGCCAGCTCCAAGCACCGGGTGGCCTCAAAGAACGCCACGGTGGTCTTGAAGAGGCTATCCACGCTGAATCCTAGATACTGACGAAGGCGCGCTGGCTGGCGGGGAGGAATCAATATAGGTCTAGCTATTAGCTAAAAATTTCACTTGTAGAGTCAGGCCCGAGGCCACCAGCGCGTGGCCAAACACTGTTTAAAACGAGACCCATTTTGCGAGGCCTCACGGTCCGCTCGGTGTCGCAGCGTCGCACGGACGGGCTGCATGCCTAATGCCTCTCGATTGATTGACAGCGCCACGACACCCCGAAGTGCCCCACAAGGTCTGCCACGCGTGGCACGACCGGATCACCGCCATCGGATGGCTCTAAACGTTAACGCCGAAACAGTCGCGTCATGCCTCCGCAGACCGTTTGACCGGGCGCTTGTCCAGCACTGCATTAAGCACCCCAGGCGCTGCCCGCCGCCACGCATTGCAGCGTCCCGCATCTTCCCCCGCTGTTGTGCATTCCTGCATCGGTCGCCGCGGCCATCGCACACGCACGGCCGCCCCTGGCGCGGCTCTTCGAGTCGCAGCTGCTGCCCATGGTTGCCAAACGTGATGCTGAGATTCCGAAGGCTGGGAGCCGAGGAAGGCGCCGAATCTCGCTGGGCTGAAATCCGACTTGGGGCGCCCGTCCTGCGGGAATCGCTGGCAGTCGCGCCGCCGGCCCGCGCGCGTGGATCATGGCGCTCGATGGCCATGGACCCGATTGCCTGCGCCGCGATCATTCACCAGCGGGCGAAAACCCGCAACGTGTCGGATTCGCGCCAGTACCTGGCGGGCTCGCATTGCGGCGACGGGGGCAAGTACAGAAAGGCGAGCGGTGCGCAGATTGAGGTGCAGTCGAAGGTGGAGTTCGCGAAGGGGGGTGGGGTGATGGCAATGCCAGCTTTTGGCTGCCGCCGGTTGCGGGGCTGCCGCCCTGTCGGCGCCGGTGCCAGCATTTGCGGGAGGCGATGGCAAAGCTCGCTACATGCGTTCAACGCAAAGCACTGCGCGGCGATGAGGCGTGGGGAAGGTAGAACCTGAAGTCAGGTAAGTGCGCAGATCATTGGAGGCGCGCATTTCCCATGGCGACGACGTCGATCGCCGTTCGCGGGCGGGATCCTTGATTGCGCTGTACACAGCGCCTGATCCAGGGGCCTGTACAGGGCTATCGTTGACTTGCTGCCATGCCGATGGGGCCGCCGGGACGGAGCGGTGGTCACGGGAGGGGAGGGTGGCATTGTCGGAAGGTAGTGGAGCGCCGGAGGGGAAATTCTGCCCGTGCTGGATCTTTGTTACTCGCTTTCGCGCAGGGCTCTCGACATTGCTGGTGTGCGCGCGAGCACCGCCAAGTGGTAGACATGCGATGTACGGCATGGCAGGGGGAAAGTCTCCTGGGGTTGGATCCATACAAAACACTGATTTGGTGTTATCTTGTTGAACTGTTGAGTGCCCCACATGAGGGCTGCGACAGCCGCAACGAGAGCAATTTGCGGTGCCGTAAGAACACTGGCGGCCAAAACGCGCGGCGAGGCAGCGCCGTGCAAAGCTGCTTCGATCGAATAGACAAATCCATCCGCGAACGTTCCCAGGAGCGAGTTGCTGACCGCGTTGGGTGCGCAGCAGTCCCTCCAGGTCCGTCTTCGCGGAGTGATGGACATTCTCCCCACCCCAATCGCCTCATGCCGTGCGAACACCAAGATGCGCGATGAGCTGCGCATCCACGCGATTTTCGTCTGCGCAAATGCGCATGTGGGCACATGCACGTTTGCGCTGGCGACAATCGCGGCCTGTTGCACAGTGAGCTGAGGGTACGCACAAGGCATGGGCCTGACCGCACAGTGCTCGGGTGTGTGCTGCGGGATGTAGCAGCCTTCCGGGAGCACAATGGATGCGCCTCGCCGAGTATGCTTTGTGACAAATTGGGCAGTGCTTTTGCGGGGGTGGCACATCGTGACCATTGCCGTGACTCTGACGGAGAGGGACTCCAAGCGCTGTCTCCAAGTACTATCCCGAGTTAGGGATGTACTTTGTCGATTTCGCCCTGGCATCTTCGCGACCTGGACGCTCACAAGGAAACGGAGCCAACCAAGTAGCGGCGTCCTAGAGGGTCATGTCGGGCTGGAGGCGTCCGTGGCCCGCACGTCCGGGCCCGATCGGAATGCACCCATTGCCACGCGGGCGCCTGCCGGTGCATGCGAGGCGCCGATTCATGCGGATCCAGCGGCCAAATCATGGTCCTGGCTGTCAGGGCGACCCTCCCCCGCTCGGCACGTCTTTTCGAGCCGCACGAGGGCGGCCAATTTGTCACACCGGGGCCGCCCTTGAGTGGGCGGCCTTGTGCCCAGCTATACAGGGGCCAGAAGAGCACAGAGCGCGGTCACCGGGCTTCCTAGCGCACAGGGCCCCCGCGTCCCGGCGCGCCAGGGGGAGCGCGGGGAACGGCGGGTGGTCACCTAAATGGCGGAAGCGGGGGATGTCGAAAGCGCACGGAAGGACGAGGGGATGCGGGGAGGGTTGCCTTCGCCGAGCGACATCTGCTCGCCTCGATGTGGCGCCCCAACTTGGCCAGGTCTGCCCGCGGGGGCCGTTCCATCAGCCGTCGGCCGCGCCGATGGCCGGGAAGCGAGTTGTTCCGGCAAGCGCCGGCGGGCCGAGCGGATCAATTCCGGGGCTGGGGCGCGCAGCATGAAGAGGAGGAGGCTGGAGGAGGAGCCCGAGGTACGATTCGAGTCGATGATCTTGGGATGGCGAGCTGGCGAGAGGCCCGTCGTTTTCTGGCGGTGGCGGTTCATGGGGGGGGTGGCGACGGCGGCATCTGTGCAGTTTCCGGCGGCCGCCGCTTGGGTGTTGTGAATCGGGGCGGCGCGAGGTTGCTCGGCTTGCTCGGGGGCCTGCGGCGCTTGTCCGAGCTAGCGTGGCGTTACCGCGCTGCTGCTGGGGCGCGCGGTCAGTGCTCCCTTGTCGTTGGGGTTAGGCGTGTGTGTTTTGCCTGCGTGTGTTGTTCCGCCGTTCATGAGCCAACGCGGGCGGACAGATCTGTCCGCTCGCCCCAGCCCAAACTCGACAGTCGCGCGCGCAGAGCCGGACAGCCATTTTGCATCAGCCATTCAGCCTCCTGCCGCCACAGTTTGGCTGCTGCGCCCGGCGATGTACCCCTTTGCTCATCAAGGGTTTGTGCTGGTCACACAACAAGTGATCACCCCACGAGCCTTCCACTGGCCTTTCTTGCCCTTCTGAACCCCAGCGTTCCTGTCTTTACCACAGAACGCCCCCAGCGCAGGCGCCGATCTCTACGGTGACGACCTCTGGCTGCCCGGTGGGCCCGGGCCCAATGACTGCGGCTGCGATTGCTGCGACGTGCCTGTACTCCTCCACCCCCACACACCGGAGCTCTGCAACCTGTTCTTCGACCGAAGCGACCCCGCCGGCGGCAAGGTCCTCCGCGTGCTACCCCCCACCGCCGACGCCGTCCGCCTCACGGCGGACAACCATGACTTTGCCAAAATCGGCGCGCTTGGGGACGCTCGCGGCGAAGGCATGCCGGAGGACGTCCGCGGCGTGCTGTTCGGGGATGGGTCGCAAGACAAGGACAGCGATGGCGACCCGTGGAATCCCATTCCGCTGGACGGCCGAGACGGGCACAGGGTGCCCATTCGGGGCGCGCTGTCGTGCGCGTGGCTGCCCATCAACAACAGAGACAGGGATGAGAAGCCCTCAGTGGTGAAACACGTCCCCGTTGGCTCAAAATGGTCGCCTTCTTTCGTGCCGCCTCCCGCCGTGGAACAGGCGCCTGCTCCCACTGTGGGTGCGCCTGACAGGCGCAGTGAGAGCCATGTCGCGGTTCCCGGCGTCGCATTGGCCAAGTTCAAGGCGTTCAGGACGGTTGGGACGCTTGGGTCTGCAAGTGAGCCAGAAAGGGAGGGCAAAAAAGCGGCGGCCGGTGTGGAGGACAGGGTGCTGGTGCCCGTGGACAGGGATCCAGCGCGCACCAATGGGGCCATGGCCTTGCTGACAGCGGGACAGGCAGGTGGAGAGACTCACAATGAGATGGGATCAGATAAGGGTGTGGAGCGACGAAGGCGGTGTGTGGTGAATGTCAGGACAGTGCCGCTTGTGGTGGAGGCACGAGGAAGAGGTAGGCGAGGCAGGCAAGCTGCTGCACGGGCCGACTTGGTGGTGCCAAAGGCAGTGGGTGTGCGCACAAGCCCAGCGGCTGGCAGGAGGAAGCCCTGCACTGTTGCGCTGCAGAAGGAACAGTCGTCTGAGAACACTATCACGGATCAGGGCTGTGCATCCAGCGAGACGATTTCTAACAGGCAGGGCCGAGTTCCTCACTCTGTTGCCCAGTCGAGGATGCAAGACGGGACCAGCAGTGTGAGAGCGGAAGTCATCAACATGAGCATCGTGTCCGAAGCCATGCCGATGCACCTGATAAAGATGGATGTCTGTCTGAATGCAGCCATTGCAGGCCAGGACGCCTCCAGAATACTGCTGATTCTGGACCGTTTGATGTCCCTGCAACTCAGCTTTGCTCATCTGGTGCAGTCTGGCATTGGCGAAACAGTAACCGCATTGCGGAGCCATTGGCACCCCGATGTGGTGAGCTCTGCAACAGTGCTGGTCAAGCGATGGAGGTGGATGGTACAGCAGAACTGGCAGCAGAAGCACCTGCAGCCCAGATCCAGGGGTGGCAGAGTGCATCAGAGCAACGCAAGGTGTAGGGCTTCAGCACAGGAGTTGTGTGATGATCCTGCTCTTGATGAGATTGCGTTGCATCTGCAGTTCGTGTTGGAAGATCTTGAATGTGATCAGACCTAGGCGGGGAGAATGAGTGTGGGTGAACGATTGGGATGGCCTTGAGAGAAAGGGTGGGGTATGGGGTGGGGTGGGGAGGGGTGGGGGTATGGTTGCGCCAGACATTGGTTCCAGGCAATAGATATGAGTGGCATTGGTGCGGCCAAGTCGGCTAGTGCCTCATTTGACTCCTTTATACCCAACTTGTGATCTACTTTGTAACTGGCTTCAATGCAATGGAAGAAGGCACTCTGATCGGTTTTATTGACATAACATTTGACGTCGAACAGTCAACCAAGGGTGGTGCTCGCCACAGTCCTACTCATCATTGTGTAGGCTGCAGCCATTCACTGTCTTGTCAAGCTGCCTGTTGTTGCTGCTTGTCCACTACGACGTTGCAAAGCACATCCAGCAGCCCGATGCCTTCATCACCCTACCAATCCTAACAAATGAAATGTATCTCTCATATCTGAGAATGAAATGAATGACTTAGGCGGCTCGCCTGGCATCTCTCACAAGGCCCCCTTGTGGTGCTCTCCTGAGTCAGAATCCCCCCTTAGCTATAAAGTCCTCTCAGGAGTAGCTGCACCAGTAATACATAGGACTGAACAGGGAGGTAGCCCCCGATTTGTCAGTGCCTTGAAAGGAGTGCAGCAAAAGGCAAAGCAGATGTCCTGAAAATCACATGACGCTTCACCTTTTTCCCACACACTCTAGAATCCCATCTGGTACACTGCCCCACCGCCTGGGCGACAGGAACTGGCCAAAGCCAGGCATACCCTGCTTCCTTCCCTACACATGAGCGCCAGCTGGGAGCACCTCATTCCGCACCGCCCTCCAGTGGTCATAGTCACCAGGCTTGAAAATCAGCGAGTTGCACTGCACTGTCTTCTTGATCCACACCTTGGACACCTCCTGCTCGTACAGGCCTCTGACAAGGGATGGTGCATCGATGTCCAGGTGCCGCACCTGCAAGACACCATCAACGGTTCAACTGCCAGAACAAAAACAGCAGCAGCCCTCTGCCTAGCAGGAGGGATTCCTCCGTCCCATAAAATGAGCGATGGCACCGATGTCACTGAAGGCAAGGCGCCACCAAACAGGCCCTAGTATATGTGCAAGCCAAACTGCATCCACACCACCAAAGTGCACAGTGTCACCTGCTCAAGTGCAAGGGCCCTGCTGCGCCATGTGGTTTTGACAATGCAACAAAAGGAACGGCATTGGAAGCACTGTGGAAGTCGCATGCCAGCAAACGTGACACACGTCTGCAGGTAAGAATAAGGGAAAGGAGCAGGACAAGCAGTGGGTGCCCTCTGATGGCAAAAACAAAATCTCTGAGTCGTAAAGGACAATTTAAACCTTCTGCTGGCGTAGAGGGGCATACAGACAAAGACAAGGCGAAGGAACTCGTTCATCACTGCACAAGGGCGCACAAACTTCGGTGAGGATCACGTGCAGTAGCGCATCCACTCAATTTACCGCAGTGTTGTTGGAGCATGATCGCCAAGCCGCCTTGAAACCGTCGTGCTCCTTCAGTTTCACGCCCTTCTGCTCGACCAGGTACCCCATGATAACGTCTTCCCACTGGAAGTTCTGCAGCGCAACAGGCCAAAGGTCACGCCTGAAGCGCCCAGCCGGCATTCGATCTAAACCTCAGGCGGCGCTCCAGCGGTTGCGGACGGCTCTTCCCAATGCTGTTGTCTCTTTGTAGGGCAACGAACTGGGAGGGCCCAGTGGTGGCCTGAGGGCGGCTGAGGACATGGCCAACGCCTCGCCAACAGCATACATACATTGGCGCATGGCAACTGGCAAAAGAATCTTTGTGAGGCAACCAGCCAGTGCAGCGGTCGCTTTGTTCAATCACAATCATTTCACCAGTATGTCTGAATATGAATGTGCCAAGAATCTGATAATCTGTGACGCGAAAAAGACAAAAGAACAAAGAGAATGGCCACATAGTGCTGCACAGTCGTGAATTTTGCAAAATGCGGCCCGCGTCCTGGCTGCTACATTTTTTTGGACGACTACTCAGCCAATGTGCATCAGCGCCACTTTGGTGACGTTGCCCACACACTGCAGATTCCACTCTCAACGCACTCAGTGCTGGACCTGCGTCAGGTCACGTGCCCAGGAGGACACGTGGTCCTTGCGAGAAATTTGGACGCTGGAGAACCTTTCCCTGCAGTATTGATCCTGACCTTGTGCTCAAAAGATCAACCCAAGAACGTGTGCCAAGAGGTTCGGAGCGCTAGGCTGTGCCAGGCTGCACTCCAGGCACTGGTTGCCTGAGCACAGTGGTAATTTTAGCAACGAAGATGTGCTTCACTGCGATGGAATCGTGATTCCTATAGCCCAAACCTTACACCACGTTGGGGGCAGCCATAAGGACATCTATGACCATGCCCCTTAAGTGCTGCTTTAGCCCCTGTCAGTTTAAGCCAGAGATGGCTGCGCGATGGGCATGGGACAAATTCACATTTCCCTGGTATGGAAATGAAGATATCCACTATCACCTTCTCTGCCGTCAGACCTGCGTTTTTTTGTGATGTAAGATGTAATCAGACATGTGAGTAAACAATACTATAGGCGCATCTACCAATAGATAATGCACAATACTGGACAAGTGGCGTGGTGGACATGTGCATAAATACCCATCATGGCCTTCCATGCACCAATTGCCAGAGCTCATTTCCACATGCAAAGGGAATTGTACTCCAAGGACTTCCACTGCGCACAATCAAAGCGGCTAAATGCAGAGCACAGCACACTCACCGAAAACCAGGGCGGAGCTTGCTCAGGATGTGCCCTGAAGGACAACCATTTCCACACAACGTAGAGCATAACGTCACGCGACATGATGTAGCCCCAACCTGCCAGATACCTCAAACACACCAGTGCAGCACAATCAGCCATGTGCAACGTGCTCAACAATTTGATTCTCCTTCAAGAATGGCACTACCTCTGCAACTCCCAGGCAAAGATGGGTGTCAGTCTCAGAGGAGATCCTTATCTCAGGTGGGTGTGCAGCGCTTTGCCCATAACATTGTGATAGTGCAAAGCACAAGGCAGGAAACACAACAAGACCCCAACAGTCTGTACAGCTCACACTGGCCCCAGCTGCGATGAGCTCAAGCCAGCAGCATTGGGGCTGAACAATAACCAGATGTTCGAATCGCAACTTCAAAAACGACTTGACAATATTCCGTTGTAAGGAACAAGTGCATTTGACCATAATGGTTAAATGATTTAACCAGGCTTTCAGGCACAGTTGTCACCAAGGCTCTGCTTTGTGTCCAGACAAAGGCAGTGATTTGTCATGCGGGGACAAACAAGTTTGTCATTTTGTCAAAGGCCTTGAATATCGCAACAAAGACAATTCTCTATTTTGGGAATCGGAAGTACACCAGTGACAGCTGCTTCAACAAGGTTGTTTGACATGCAACACAGCGCCCTGCCACACCACACAGGGTGGACTGATCAAATGTGTCGTTTCAGACAAAGCTGTGGTCAAAACTACACATTTGATCACTTTCAGACTGCAAACGAGTGCAGGCAGGCAAAATCAGCTGAGAAACTGCTAATTTCTTCCTTCTCACAGTGCTGGCACTATTGGTGGCAGCATGAACAGTGCACATGGGCTGTGCCAAGGGTGTCAGCCATTGAATAAGCAAGGCCTTGCCCCAAGAGCAGCTCACTTTAGACCATCCAGCTGCTTCCCAACGTCGTCAGGGAACTCTTCATATGGCATGAACCACCTGTCGGCAGCAACAATTGGCTCAGAATCAGCAAACACTGACAGTACTCGACTCGCAATCAGAACGCAGTGCTCCAGCGACTTCACATAAGGTAGGACACAGTTCTCTTGCAGTGTGTCCACTACGATTCAGGTATATTTGGAATCCTCACTGCTGCTGTCAAACAGCATATAAAGGTCGCACATGAAAGAGAAGGAGCACACTGCTGCAACAAAAATGGTCAATAAGGCAGGACAACTAAGCTATTGCTTGCCAACTTTCTGAATCGATATAAACCTAACAGAACTGAGAAGGGGAAAACATTCAATCCTGAATTCCTAACAGGAATGGGGGGTAGCAGACACTGCACGTCTCAGCACTCACTTGCTCTTTGGATCCCTGATGAGTTTGAATCCATCGGGGTTCTCCTGACAACCACCATACAAATTCCTCATGATCGGTTTCCCATCTTCTCCCTTTATGGCTTCCAGCAGCAACGGCATTCGGACGTAGCAGTCGTCGTCCGTCTTGAGGACATGCGTGTACTCCTTGGGGCTGCTGGAAGCAAATTTGAACATTCCAAACACCTTGAACTTCAGATTGCCATAGGTGTCCAGTCCCCTCACGAATATCATGTCACCATTTTCAGCGGATTCATCTTCCAGCATCTTGACAACCTTGTCGTATCTGTCTGTCACAGTCAAAATACAAAATTTCACACTATGGTCTGCTTAGCACATCAAGTAACTCTTTCACTTCACGCATTTGCAGGGCAACGTCTATGCACACACCACCCACTGTGCAGCTTTTTGGCACATCCATCCTAGAGCATCAAAACAGCTGGCTCAAACCGTACCACAGTCAGCCCACTAGATGAATCTTGTGCTGTGCAAGATGCTCATTGCAGTCCTTCTCTTGGTATAGGGCAGGTGGCCATACTAACGCCCCTCCATGGCTGTCCCCAGGTCTGTCTGGCGCTGAAAGACAATTGTGACCAATTCCAGTAAATGGCACCAGTGCCCACACGACAAAACAAGGCTTTGCCACTGGAAGCATGTGTTCAGGCGTTCATGCACATGTTCTTGTACACAGAAATTCTTAACTGTTGATCCCAACAGAAAACTAGGCAACTGGTCCATTGGCAATCCCACCTGGTCCTGGCTGGCTCAGAAAGAATTTAATGTCCACGCCCCCATGTTCACGTTCTATTTTTTGCTTCCAGGTGGCCCTGATGGCATTTCGCTTCTCCTGCGCCTGTGAGGCAACGAACAACACCAGATGAAATTTGCCAGGCTTTTCAGGGGTGTTGAAATGCATGCAAGTGAGGTTTGGGAGGTCCACCATTGATCCCCACAGCACAGGATCAACGATCACTGCACATGCTGGTTGTTGCCACCTGCTTCAGAGACAGCTACAGAACTGACGAATTTGCCTGCAATAGTGTTGTCACTAATCTATTTTACAATGACCCTATCACACATGTGCAATGATGACAGTGTGAAAGCAGTAGTATATTTATTACAAGACACATTTGAACACAACATGTCAGAGCCAAACAAAGCACAATCCATTCCAAGCTCACCAAGTTGCTGCAGCAATCACTGGTTATCCCAATGAACAATTTTATGCCAGCATCCAAGTCCCCAGGCCTACAGAACACAGAAATAGAGTACATTGAGCAGTTCCTAGATCCCAAAGTTTACAAACAGCCCAGTAAAGTTGCATGGACAATCAGTAAGTCAACCCTTCTATTGAAACAAGCAATCAATTTGCCTCAAAATTGTATCTACTGTCCACAGATCCTTTACTGCACCTTGCTCAATTCTGCAAATAATCTCTAAGTTCAACCCCTGCCAACAACTGCACTTGCACGGCACACATGGCCAACGTTCTCTCGACTGTCCCATATCAATGGAGCACAATTGATCTCAAACAATATGCACGATAGCTGTGTCGATCTCCCATTTGAGAGGAATCCCAGTTGCCCAAACACTTTGGGGCACAGAAGCACTGATACACCCGTGCACAGATCCAGCACAAAATAGAATAAACAACCGCCTGCACGATACATCAGTGCGCTGTCCTCCACTCACTCGTACAGATCATCTCGACCCTCAGCTGAGGGGTATTTGGATGAGTTCATTCTGCCCACTGAGGAGTCGTCTAGAGTGGCTCTCGCATGGTATGCAACCTCCTTTGTGGCGGTCGGAAGATCAATTTTCAGTGCATCCCTGATGGGCACATAGTTGCCTGTGAACAAACGGGGAAACACAGGGGATTCAGTGGCTTGTTTGACCTGACACAGACACCAAAGATAGACCCTTACTGGACAGAATCGGATGATATGAACAACATGATGGTCCAATGCCTTACTGGCATGACTTGGGAAGAGAGGACCTAAATGAGAAGCACATTGTACATTTGTACAAATATCTTCTAATGTTAAGGAACCAATCGTGTCATAATGGTGTATTGAAGGCAAGAACACTTGTTGAACAGGTGGAAATAGAGAGCGTTGCATCCACAGGGTCAGACATGAGCCATATAAGGCAGCTTTCTGCCACTTGGACAGTAACTGGCTGACAGGCTGAAAAAATGGTGCCGAAAGCACAGGCTCAGAAGTGACAGTTGTTGACTGGGAGTAGGTGTCAACCAAACCATTTGTCTGCCCTACCTGCAACAACAAATTGAACCATATGTTGTTGTGAAGATTGTGCCATTCCAGTTAAGCCCTGGCCCTGCATCATCTGCACACTGCAGCTTTTCACACCAACACATCTGACAATTGGCTCCATTGGGCAATTGCCCAAAACACCAAAGCCAGAGGACTCCAAATGTAAGTATCCATTTACTACAGTGGGCCATGAGCCAGTAGCACAGCAAGTAAAAAGGTGTGGATTCCACACTGTGAGTTGCTGTCATTTTCTACTTCAGCAGAGTGTTGTCCCTATTCATCAGATCGCATGAGCGGCCATTGTCAGCTGTCAGTGCCATTGCACAAGCAAGCTTTCAGCACAGGAAGCTGATTGCTCATAAGAGCAAGTGAAACTTTGTGAATGTGACCAACATTGCAGGGGTCTGCATACATTGTAAAAACCCACAAAAGGCATAAAATGCAATGCCATGAATGTAGAGCACAGGCTGAAGGTCTGAAGGTGCCCCCAAACAGGAGATAGCATCACCCCTAGTGCACAAGCCTTCTTGCACTGACCTGCCCAGAAGCAACATCCATGTGCACATCTGTCCCAAGCATGCTCCGACCACAAACCGGCCCCGACTTGGAAGACCTGTAGCTGCTCATCGCCAGCATGGTACACCCCAGCAGAAAGAAAATTATGGACAGGACGTTCGGGGCATGGATGCGTCGACGTTCCCTGCCAACCGACAGTACTGGTGTGTAGCGCATCGCACTTTGCCCGTCATACAGGGCTCTGCCGTCCAGTGTTGTACCTAGGTAATCCCTGATGCTGCACCCGAACACTACCTGAAATCAGTCCAGGTTCTCCACAAGCAAATGCGTATTCAGAATTTCAACACAACCACAAGCAGGAGTGGCGAATCAACCGCGAAGGGGATATGGGGCACTCTCAGGCGACGAAGAGATGCCCAATACCAAAAACATGCTCCCAAGCACGTGTAAGCGACTGGCGACCGGCTTGGAACCGCACAATTACAAGCTTGACAACCGGGCCATAGCTTATCCATGTATTTTTGCTTCTGGGATTCAGCAGGGGTCTATTTTCTTCGTCTTTGAAGGGCAAGGAGTGCCCAGCGGGCAACCGCCCACAGCATGGCAACCATCCCAGCGCATGAGCTTTCCGTGGTCGCGGAGGGATTCAGGCGCATATTCTCAGCGCGCCGCTTCAAACGCTCACGCAGAGGTGCAGTGTCGCGGTTCTTCCAAAATGCGGCGCTGCGGCGAGCGCAAAAGCGAAGACCGCTCAACGGCCACGGCGCACATGCGCTCCCGACCAAGGGCAGCGGCAGCGTCGCGAAGGAAAAGCTCGAGGCCCACCGGCGACGGCTCTGAAAACCGACGGCAGCCACCACCGCCCGAAGAGCACGAGTCCTCAGCCGACCAAAACTGAAGAACAGTGGCCCGGCGGAGGGGCTCGAAATCAAGCAAGCTGAAAGGCGCGAGACCACTCGGGGTGGGCCTGCAGCTCACGCCAGCGTGCAGGAGAGCCGGCGCATGAAGGAAGGGTCGGGGCTGCTGGTAGCCAGGGGGGCGACCGCGCCGCGCAGAGCCCTGCGAAGGGCGCAAACTGATCGGCCCGCTTTGACGGGGGTCCGCAGTTGGGCGTGGGCGCCATGATCGGTTCGCTCTCGCGCAAGCGCAGCCGCAGACGGGAATGCGCCCCGGATGGCCGCGCGGATGGGCATGACGGATCGCGCCCCACCCCATGCCGCATGGGCGCATGGGCCGCACCGGAGGTTCGGATTCAAATCCTCCGCCCAACCCCTCCCCCAGACCGCCCAACGGAATTCGCCGATCCACGGATCGCACCTTGGAGACGGCCGTCGCCTTCGCCCGTTGCGCCGCGCACGCGCTCCCCGATCAAGGACCTGGCGGGCCGGTGCCTGGGCACCGCCGAACGTTAAACCCCTCTCCTGATTTCAGCCTCTGTTCCTCCTCCCGTTTTGGGCACAAACGTGGTCCTCGCGCAGGCACCGGCGCGCATTCCCTTCCCGATCCTCCTCTCGGCTCTCCGTCGGCTATTGCTCCTGGACGGCCCCTCCTTTAACCGATCGGGCGAGTCCAAATTGGAACCCCTGAAGCCCCGCAGCGGGCGCACACAGCCCCGGCACTGCGCACCCGGGCGACCTACCCGCCTGGGGACAATCCCATGCGCGGGCCAGCGGACCGATTGATTCACAGAGGGCCGGGGAGTGAGCGGCGGTTTCTGCAGGCCGGCCGGAGCGGGTGATCTGGATTGGGGCCTCATGGTCCAGCGGGCGGGGACAGCTTCCCGTAGTGCGCGCCCAGCCCCGCTGCCACGGATTTCTGTGCGCCGCTGTCGCACACCAGCATGACGCGGTGCGACCTCGTAGCGGCATTAGGCATCGGATGCTGTGGGGAATGATGCCACATAATGTGTTCTGAACAGCTAAACAATCGAGAGTTGCGCATTTTCTCTGTTTCTTTATCCATCAACCGTCCAAATTTCGATCGACCAATCTGCAGCGGAGCAGATGACTTGACAGAGCCGGCCCTGCGGTCGGGTGCGGGTGGCCCGAAATCCCACCCGCTCGGATTCAATCCTTGTTACGAATTGACGGCACAATGACCGAGATTGGCCTCATGCCTGTAATGTTTGAGCGGTTTGTTTCGGACGACTCGCCTGGTGAACACCCTGCTCGCTGTCGCCACGATGTCCGACACTCGCGTCCCCCTTGGCGTTCAATCACGAGGAAATTGGACATTGCGAAACCACCAGCTCCTTGTAAGCTGCTGCAGGGCGCACAGGTGAATATTTCTTTTTGCGACAGTGGACTGTTCTTTTTTGCAACAGTGCCAAACAACTCGTTTTTGCGACAGTGGATTGTTCTTTGTTGCGACAGTGGCCGTGGTTAAAAAGTGTGACTCGGCCAGCCAAGCGCCAGGAATCAGTTGCCGGCCAACCTTGACCTTTGCGCTGCGCAACCCGCCCACCGTAAGGGCGTCCTTCTGGCGTCAAGACACCTCTTCCATGGGCTGCTGTTTCGTGGGCCACGTCCGCGGCAGCCCCAGGCACGTGTAGGTGCTGGCCAGGTGGATGCCCACCGCTGGGAGGCCACCGGCACATGCCAAGACACGCACGGGTGGTTCAACCGGCCAACCTGCGAGGCCTAACCCAAAGGTTGGGCATAAAAGATGCCACAAAACGGCGGGAGTGGGAGGCCGAAAGTTGCCTCCTACTCCTACGCTAACGCGCCTCGTGGTCACCGATTGGTGCCAACGGCGGGTGCCCCGATCGGCACCCGCGAGTGCCCCCATTCGGCCCCCGCAAGGAGCCAAAGTGGGCACTAGGCTTTCCAAATCATAGATGGAGATCCGCCCCGGATCGCCGGCCTGCCCGGGGAGGCCCGCTGCCCCGGCCCTTTGACGGACGCACCGTCCGTCCCTCCGCGAACTACCAAGCCCCCGAAAGGAACGGACGGAAATCAGCCCTTTGGGGCGATTCGCTGTCCGTCCGTCCGTCCACAAATTACGGAACCGACTGCAACCCGCCCGCCTACCCCTTCTCCCCCCTTTCGGCCTCTTTGCCCTTGTGGGCAACACCCAATCCCCGCCGTGCCACAGGCCATTCGCCACGGTTTCAGTTTTGACCTCGCTTTTGCACCGTTCATGGCGGGCTCGCCTGCCCTGCTTCCCGTATTGTGGCCGCCTGTGGCTCGTGACGCCTTACGGCGGACAGGCCCATTTCCCTCGTCGACGTGCCGCCCAAAGGGCCGGCGACCTGCAGGTCACACGTTAGTCCGGGCCATTGTCGCAAAAAAGAACAACTGCTCACTGTCGCAAAAAAGAACAGTTCGAGCATTGTCGCAGAAATGAACAACGTTGTGGCAATCATGAGCGACACTGTCGCAATAAAGAACATGTCGCAAAAAAGAACAATTTCACTGTCTCAAAAAAAAATAGTAACCCAGGGCACACAGCAATACAGTCGAAGGAATGGGCCCAACAAAGGACCCAAGAGAAACACTGTGATTGGAAAGTGGCCCCACTGTTCGCCACGCCGCTGCTCCCGCCTCCTGCGACGGCCATTCGCTCATTCGTGGGGAAGGTGATCCCCGCGGATCCTCACGCGGTGCTGCGCACGAAGGGGCGCGGCTCCCAGTGCCCGTACTTAAGCTCGTCCATTAGCAGGCCCTCCCCAAAGCGCAGCCTGAAATTCCCAGTGACTCACCGCCCGAGGCGCGGCCCTTTGCAGGCAGCCAGCGTCGGCAACGTGACACTGCTCCCCCCTTCCCTCCTCCCCTGCCATTCTTGACGCGTACGGCGGCGAACATGGCAACCCCTGCGCGCTTGCCGCTTCTCCTCGCGGTTGCGTCGGCATGCCTGCTGATGTCGGTGTCCGCGCGGCATGGTGAGAGGCGCAGATCTCTTGTCGCGGTCGCCCACCTGATATCCGAAGCGATCGGCGCTGCCGCCGGGCTGCTTGGCGATCCGATCTGAGAAACGCCTTTGAGACGCTTGCGCGTGGAGAATTGAGCGCACGGTTTGCGCCCATGGCGGGAATGACGTTCGCGCCTCTGGTGGGTGATTGTCTGAATCCCGGGCGCGGCGAAGTTGTTGGGTTTGGGGCCGCCTGTGTTGTGGCTGCGTGGCGATAGGGCCGCGAAGCACGCGCAGGGCAAGAAGGCGCCTGTGCTGTCGAGTTGCTTCCGCTTCGGCTTGTCGCAAGGAGCCCGCGAGCACATTGGCGACGGTCATGTCGATTGCCCCTTTTCCCGCGTGGCGAGCAGACTGTGGCAATCAGCTTTTAACAGGTTCGCTGCAAAGCGCCTCACGTAGTTATCCGGAGCGGGGTGGCCGGCTTGGTGCGTTGGTCATATCGTGTGAGCCGCGAACAGTGACAATTGGGCGATGGAATGTGACCTGAAGCCGTCGCGGATTTGGGCGGCAGCACTGCTGGCGCCCACCTCCCGTGGGCTGCGCACGGACGCCGCTTCCCCGGGCCGAGATCGCGGCCTCCACCTGCTCCGATCGGTTGCGGGGCCTCGACTTTGGGCCCGACCCGCGGCACCGAACATGCCCGCGGTGTGATATGCTTGCTGCGATCCAACGTGTCAAGAAGCGCCCTGACCGCGAAGCCTGTCTTCTGCACTTCAGGGTCGCTGGGCTGGGGTGCGGAGCGCCACGGCGCGAGAGACATCCTCCGTGAGTATCTGGTGTGCGGGGATAGGCGGGGATAGGGGTGATGGTGTTGTTGGTGGAAGTCCGGTTGCGTCTGCAAGTTGACTTTGGTGAACGCGAACTGCGACTGTTGCGCAAAACTGTGATGTGCTTCAACCCTACAGAGACTTCTCACTCTTTTCTTCCTCCTTATCAGCCTTGAAGGTGTAACTGGTTGTGGATGGGATCCGCGCTGTGCGCACATGTCACGAGGCATGGGTATACTGCAAAGGGCAGGTTCTGTTTGACCTGGCAAGCGCCTGCGGCTGCTGTTGCTCATCAAAGCAGACAGGACAGCTGCTGTCTGGGCCGCACGCTTGTTGAATGTGGGGAACAGTAACGAGAGGGGAGCTTGTGAGAATTTTGTGCAAGGCTTTCTTGTGAGGGGTTCCTGATCGATGGAAGTGGGCTGTTAGCACTTTCATGTCCTTTCAGACGTTCAGGAGGACGTCCCTGCCGTCTTCAGCAGGGACATGGGGAAGACATCTCCAGCCGTCCACAGGGACATGCAAGGGGCTGGTTGAATGCTGATTGAAGTCAGCAAAATTTGACAGTGCAGTGGCCCAGTGCCTTTGTGGTTCCCAAACTGGCAGCCTCCTCAGAAACAAGATGAACTGTTGGCCCTATGACGACAGGTTAGCTGCTCTGTGCGGAAATCATGAAACTGACTGCATAGCAGTAGTCGATGTATGGACTGGGTGGCACTGTGCGTTCACAAACGAGCTGAAAACAGATATCCACATGATATCCCTGTTTGTCCATCTGCGATAAAATTGTTCTGCAAACATATTCCTGAAGGGATGAGTGCACACAAGGTGTGTGTGACAGGGTTTCTGTTGTAGCGTGGGTCACTTTCAACTGCTGCTGGCACCAAACCTTGCTGCTTTCCAAAGGGGCAATGTCAGCATCGATACACTTGCCAGGATGGGGTTCATATTTGGCCTTAGTTGCTTCGCAATTGCTTGCACAGAGGATGCACAAGAGCCATGTCTGTTCATCAATGGAAGGTTCATTGGCCCATGCCCCCAGCTGAACCAAACGTCTCCCTCACCGGACACGACTGATACGCCCACTTCGGAGCCTGAAAAAGGGATGGAGTCACCGGAAATGACCGATTCGCCCTCACCAGACCCTGACAATGGGATGGAGAATCCAACTAACATAACTGGTGAGGGCCTGCGGCACACGCACAGTTCAGTTCTCTTGCAATACTCTTGAGAAGCATGGCTCAGCGAGTCCATCTTGTGACAGATCAGCATGCTGTTCTCCTTGAGGTTTGGTTCTTTGCAGTACTATTATTACTTTGCAATATTTGTTGTCTTCGGTTATTCTGATCCGCTGGCAGTGGAGAGTTGATGAAGTTCTGCTCTCAAGATGCTATTGCAGGACGTTTCATAGTGCTGGTGCTGGTTCTGTTCTCTTCATTCAACCTGTTTCTTTCACGAATTGTGGAAGCTACCCAGTGTCTGTCAGCACCCAGCTTGGAGCCATCTTCTTGCAGTCCTCCAGGATGAATTTAAGCCGTCCCTGTGCCTCAGGTGTCCTTGCTGAATGCAAGTTCAATGGCTCCCTGGTGGCACCATTGGCCGCCATTGAGGCTTGCATGGTGGTTGATCAAGACTGCAACCCACAGGTGGTGGTGCCGTTCAGTGGGGGCAATGAGACTCTACCAGGTAGGCAGATATCCATGCCGTGTCTGTGATTCCTTGCATTACAGAAAAGACTGGCGCAATGGGCTGGAACTGACACAACTGTCACAATTGTGTACATTCCTTGGCCCTGTGATCTTTCCGACTCACTTGCCTTCGCACCACACTTGCAGCAACTCGAACATTGCCACAAATATTGTAGCAAGCTGCTGGCAGGGTGCAAGATGCGCTAGGTTGGCCAGTGGAGCCAGCAAGGCAAAAGGTTTGGTCTTGGTCTTCCATTGCTTCCCCTTTTGGACGTGCAGCAATTGTGAAAACTGTGCAGTTTGTTAAGTTACTGTGATCGTTATCCCAGCTTTTGTGCTGCCGTTTGTGCGATATTGCTGTCATGATAGTCAACCCAGCACTTCCTTTGAATGCCTTGTGTCACAAAGGACCCCACAGTCGGCTCGTTATCGTACGTCTTGCTGATTGGCTGTGTTGTCCTTTTTTTCCCTGGACCAGCACACCTTCGACCCCTGTGAACTTGCGTGCCACTCTGCTCTGCTGAGCATCATGAATTTCCAGGAAGCCAGGTTATACAATAGCCAAACTTGCGTTTCAGAAAATGAAAAATGACGAAGCGCCTGTTCCCTGCTCTTGGTGGAGCTAATCAGACATGATGGCAAATCTCTAGCGATTTTTTTTGTCAGACACAATGGGTACTTTCATCTGTCACTCTTCATAGGGAGGTTTTGGTGCACCATGATGGTGCATGACTGGTTTGGACCGAAACTGGGTGATGGAGCGATATGGACTCGGCAAGACGACGGGAAAATGTGTCCCTGGATTTGCTTCCAGTGTGACGGAGCAGCCACCTGGAATCTGTGAATATTTTGGAGTATGTCGGCCGTGGCGAACACAAGATCACGTTGTTGCATTGTTTAAATTACTCGACCTGTGCGGGCAAGCGCGTTTGCGCTGGCGACATGGCAAAAAGCACTGTGCCAGTGTGCCTTGACACGTGTAACCAGAGTTTAGTGCACGTTTGGTGAACGTTGCTATGGTGCAATCCCTAATGCACCTCTACTCTTTGCGACTTCCCAATATTGTTGTGATTCCCTCGCAATTTACCTGTGGTGACTGTGTTGTGTGTGCCCAAAACAGCCATTCTTGTGAACAAGATCGTCGAGCAGGCGTGCAGAACCGAGGCGATCGCGAGCTGCTCCCAAACGGCATTTTCCACTGTGCCCCCAGAATGCAAGGACATTCTGGAAATGGGTCCGCCCACGCCGAATGATGTGTGCCCGGATGTGAGGGCGGCGAACGAAATCTTCGAGTCGAGCGTCAGCCTGTATTGCGAGCAGGAATTCACTCCCCCAGAGGAGGGGAACTGATTGCAAGCAATGCCGTTACTGCACAGCAGTGGCTGGCGCCTGATCGACGCACCGCCGTCGTTCTGGCCCATTTTCTCGTTCACAACGCTGCTGGGTCTGCTGATTCTGCCAATGCTTAGTTTAGGAGCGGCTGTGGGCCTTCGCTGGGGCGGCGTGTGCCCCAGTGCTTCGGTAGCGATGCTTGAAGGGGATATTCTTCGGGTCCCTGGCTTGTTAGGATTCTATCCTCATTGGACTGCACGTTGCGCCAGAAGCCTGATTTGACGCAGAATGGTATGAGCGGATGCTAATTACGCCGTTGTTGTTGACGATGGGCTGAAAATCAACCAACAAAATTTTGGCATGGGTAGGGGCGAGCGGTGGCGATTAGCATCGCTGCCGTGTTCAAGGTTGCCGTCGATGCGAGCGTGCAATGGATGGTTTCTATTGTGGCAACGGCGGAATGCTGGCTGACATGAAGGACATTTGAGCCATGAAACAAGCGCAACAAGGAATATTGCCAACCCGGCATTTGCATTGGCGAAGCGGAGCTTTGAGGCCAATGGTAGTATGGAGTCGCGCGTCAAGCTTCCACACATGGAAATAGAGGTTCTTTGGCCACGCGATGGCGACCCTTGCATGGACGTTGCCTGTGATTTCTTTCCGTACGACACCCAGTTCTAGCTCCTGAATCCTCCATATGTGTCCACATCTTCTCTGCTCGGTGTGTATTTGCAGCCCAGGTCCTGAGCTGCCAACCTTCTCCTCGTGCTCGGCAATGTGGGCGCCACCTTGTGAATGGTTGTCTCATCGGCACGGCACCTCGCCAAACAAAGGGAATGCAAAGGGATGGCAGGTTGAATGCAAGAGCCGGACAACCTGCCAAGTAAGAGTGGGGCAACGACTGAGACTGTGGGCCATGTGCGCGATCCCTGCGTCTTTCACCACACACGCAGCACATTTGTTCCTTACAAAGGAAGGCACAGAATTCCCCTCGAGAGCAAAGAGTTGACCACATGGAGAGAATTCAGATCTGAATCCAGCAGCAGCAGCTTGAAAATCAGATCATAATGAACAATCTCAACCCACTTGTTTCAATTTTCCAAGAAGAATTTGCTCAGATACTTTGTAGAGACATGATATCAGCATGATTGATCGACAGAATTCAGGATTCGTCGGATCACCTTTCTCTCGTCAATAGGTCTCAGGATTCCAGAAAGTGAGTTTGCAGGGAATGTCTCCAGGGTCCATAATCATCGAAATAATGGGGTGATCATTGGCTGTAGATCTTCCACGCAACCAAGGAAGAGGTCTGGAGGTAAATTGTCATTACCTAGGGTGGCGCCACAGTTTAATTGTGAAATTGCTCGGTCAACTTCCAGTGATGAAATCGCTGCCCCCAATGTAGTTGACCCTGGAACCCGATCTGGTGAGAAACTCTCTAAAATTGCTAAAGTTGAAGGCCGCAATGTAGGATTAGCTAAAAGGTTCATTGGGCGGGTCCCTTGAGTTGGACTGTCAAATGGTGGTGGACACCAGTTTGAAGGTTTCTTCCTTACTGGTCTCCTGAACCCATACAGCCATCTTCCCCCATATTGACAAGACAATTACGAAACTCATATAAAGAAAGCTGTCCGTTACTATTGTACTGCAAACCCAAGGTCCCCATACTTCAAACGCGCCCTTCGCTTCACTTAGTACTGTCAGAGTTCCTTGGCCATCCCAGTTCGAGATCCCGCTCGTCGCAATCGTCGCTATCGAATGCTCCCAGCGATGGGCTACAATGCAGCACAAGTCAAACCTTTTTGGTTCGACCTCTGTGGCAACCTTGGTGCACGCGGCGCTCAAACGCACTCGCCGTGCGTGGTCGGACAAGCCGCCAACGCTCAACTTGTCTGACAACCAAACCAAGAGAAGCCCCAAACAAGACTCGGGCTTTCTAAATATCAGAGTGCGCCTCTTTTTTCGCGCACCAGAGCTCACACTCAGAACAACAGACTGAACTCACACATCACACACGCACAACACGTTACCTCACAGCACCGCCCCATAGCATCGACCTATGGCAACGATCCACAACTTCAATTCACAGCACCAGCTCGCGATCACCAAAATTAGCAAAACTGAAGCTAATCTTAGGGCAGCCGCTCTCCCGCCATCTCAATCAGTTCGACGAGTGCATCAGTCAGCCAGCACATGACCAGGTGCTTGCACAACTTGGCAGCTGCGGCTGTCTTGGTGTGTCAGGCTTTCATGTCTTCAAACTGGCTCTTTAATCTGTATTCACTTTTCTCATTGAGCTTCACTGCACATCAGTGTTCAGCCACCGACCTCCAGCCAGGAGAACTGGAAAGTTGCATGTGAAGCAGCGAGAAAAGGTGACAGCCATTCAAAGATATTGTTCTGGCATTTCTCGAAACGGGATTCTCATATGCCACCATTTAATCATCGGGACTACAAATCAGTAATTGACAGAGGCATATCAGTGTTCAATTATGGTAATTCGAACAGTACTTAATACCACTCTGATAGTGGCTCACCCCATGAGTCAGCTCCATAATCCCGTATTTCACTCCCTTCACTTCCTCTACATCCCATGACTAAACCGAACACCGCTCTCTAGGGCGGAAGGGCAGGTGCGAAACAAGATAAGGAGGTGTACCGAGGGTGGAGCCTAAATAACCGCCCCCGCTCAGCCCTGCCAAAGCCCGCCAAACCCAAGGGCGCCAAGGTTGGCGGCACCTTGGTTTTTCCGTACTTTGACTGACCACGGTACTAGGGGGGGAGAAACCCAAGGCGCGCATCTGATCGAGACCTATCCAAACTGTAGCCGATTTGAATCATCAACGCAGCCCTCCCAACGTCGCCCTTGGCAGAACCACATTAACAGGATATATCCTGTTAAACTATATAGTTGCTAACATTTACGTGCAATGTCTTTTGGTGTGGGATTATGCGGCTGGGCTCAAGGAGACTGACGCAGCATAGACGGATTTCGGGGGCACACGAAGGTCATCGACACCTTGAAGATCCCGTGGGCCACTACGCTGAAAACCTACACCATTCTTGTCAAAACGGAAAGTCAAGTTTTGGGCCAATTGACGGTGCAATAAACCTGAGAGTTCATTACATTTACAAACCATTTGGAGGCTGCAACTCTGCTAGCCTTCATTGTTCTATCTAAATCCTTGGAGCCTCCATAGAAAAGGCCACAACCAGATCAAGAAACAACAGCGCCGGGCTGGCATGTGTCCGAGTGGTCTCTGAGGCAAGGCGCCTCCGCGCTACCTTTAATGCATGAATTTTCAAGCATTTGCAAAGCAAAGAAAAATGCTGTTGCAACCGCCGCAATTGGCGGGCACGCTGTTCTACATGGATCCAAGCAGGGCCTCGCCACCCGGGTGCGAATAAGGGCAGCGCCGCCCCTCAATCCCGTTTGGCCCGCAATCAATCATTTGAATGCTCCTCATTTCGCAATTTCCAAACTCCGCCAGCACCTCACTCTGTGCTGTCGTTCCATATCTTGCACGTAGGTCATCTTCGAAGCATCGTGTCAGGGTGCGAAGAAATGCGGAATGGGTGACCACCGCGATAAAGTGCTCCGGCCTGCATCAGCATGCAGGCAGGGGCCCCTGAGGAACTGAAAAATCGAGGACGCAGCCCGAGCCGTGGTGCCCATTTCCACGCTGGGCAACAACGGCGAACTAAACAAATCACGGCAAATCTACAACATGTATGTGGAAGAGGCAGCTATGCCCTTGATTTGGTAGTGGCAACAGTTCCCGATGACTGAACTGGGTGGCAGCGATCGCTTGATGAACGGTCGGCAGGCGTTCACAATACTGCCTATGTAATTGGGACTTCGCATCAACACCGCCAGCGCGGCTGCCACTGCAGCTGCGTGATATCTCCTGAGAAGGCGGCAGTTGATCGGGCTCAACATTGGGTACGGTGCTTCAGCAGGTTGCCGTTCGATTAAGAATTGCCACACGTATTAGACATGGCACCAATCATCTCCCTGGCTCGCTAGAGAAGACGACCGCTGTTCTCAGAAGCATTCGATATTATCCCAACGTCAGCGTGATGGTCAATTTGGAGTGCTGACGCTATTTGCAGCCTGATGCAAAGAAAGGGAATGACATCCGAAACGGCCAGAATGGGGGATCAGCAGCGGTACATCACAAGAACCGTCGTTGGCAGATGGCGGCATTAAAACACAGCTGCCTCGATTGCACTTGAACAAGTATTGCACAAAGTACAGCATGGTTGCAGGATGCAATGCTGAAATTTTGCAGGAAACATGTGGCACGTGGCACGCTTCGCATCTTCTGGGCGCATGCGGGGACGCAATGCAATTTGTGAGTGGACAACGTTTGCCACCATTCATGCAAATTGCACCGAAGACGAAGCTTGCAGTTGTGCCCAGGGTGCCTCTGTGGCAAGGGCGTCGGACATGCTGCGATGCAGACAGCGCGGCTCCTCCGTGCACTTGCCTGAGCGACTGCAGACGTGGCACAGGCACAACAAACAAGCACACCACAAACCTGCTTTGCACCCAATTTAGGAAACTCCAGGCTCGCTTGACCACCGACTGAATTGGCTCCCTGGACGTTGCCTCGTACAGTGTGTCGTTCTCGGATGCCACCTGCAGATCACAGCTGACCTCGTTGCGGCACACGCTGCAGAGCTGACGGGTAAGAATACCTGATGCCAATGCACACATCTCTGCCTGGGGCCAAGAAGATTTGGTGCATACTTGGGACAAGGAGGGAGGGGGACATGACAACATTTCCAGGAGTATGCAACTGCAAGCCAAGATGATCTAAACGGAATGTTCATTCGAGCAGGGGCGTGAAAACCAGCCCATCAGAAATGTTATTTCAAGTGAACTGGCAGGGAGCCAGCAAAGGCAGGCACAGGAGCAGCAACATGGATGTTCGCAACAGGCAGCTTTGATTGGCAACATACATTGCCCGAAAGGAACAGCAAGAAAGAATAAACACAGTCTAATACAAAAGTAGCACAGGAATAACTGTGACGATGTGCACAATATCGCTTGTGCTTGGAAACGTACTGCTTGAACAAATACCAGCAAGGGCGAAGTGAACATCAAACCCAGTACCAGTGTATGGATGGCATGTGCTGGATGGTATTTGCTTGATGGCATATATGTGCTGTAGCAAATTGCCAGAAGACTGATTTTGGGGGCCTATCAGATATCCTGCAAACACATTCGCAGCATTAATCCCTCCCCCAAATGTACGCACACTTCACACAGCCCATAGCCCGCAACCACCTGCCGCACCAATGAGAAGTCGACAGCAGGGAACTGGCGCTGGTAGTATGACAGTGTCCGCCTGCGGTCACAGGGGTGACGGCCGGTCTGCTCTCGGCACGCCTGAATACACATGTCGTGGTCAATTGACAATCCTGCCGAATTAGAGTATGCCCTGAAGTTTGATGTGGCCATGGCCTTTGCTGGGCACCAGCCACAGAAACTGCTTGTCCACACGACCGACGTCACCATTCAGGACTGCAGAAACACGTTTGCTGCTGCACTTACCTCATGGGCGATAAATGGAACTGGGCTTTGACAAGAAATGGATTTCGTTGCCACTCTTACACCCTGAACAGGCGAAATATGCATAAGTCTGAGTTGGAAACACTCATCCAAAAAAACGACAAAGCACTGGCATTGCACCTGCAGGGCTGAGATCAGGCACTGTTCAGACCTGCAAGTGTTTGTTCCTGATATGCTTTCACTCTCCACTGCACATTCCTAACTACCAGCTTGTCAACAAAGCTGACCCAACTTTGAATGCAAGGATGGCACTGCAATCCAGCCTAGCAAGATAGAGAGCATGATGGTGGCAATACCTCAATGTCAGATTGCTCTAGCATAAGTAACTTCTGCCCACAGGAGCTGTTCACACAGTCGCCCCCGAACAACCCCACAGCTGTCTCCAGCGTCCTTGTCATCGGGGAAATGACGATGAGGTCTAGATGAAAATGGGATGACAAGCTGGCGATGTGTTGTCGAAGGCCTGATATCTTGGCACAATGGGTCAGCACACAACGATTCAGGCACATGAAGCTCCTGCTGGGGCGTTTAGATGCATTTGTACACACATAATTTGATCAGACAATCAGGAAATGAACAGTAACTTCAGCAAGCAGTCTCAAAGGTTTGAAGCATTAATTCAGCTGTCCCTGGCCACCAGGACAACATATGAAGTTGAATCTCTCAGGAAATTTGAGGACAAATGCTGCAGCAGCACTGCTGGGAGAAAATCTTGCAGAAAACCCAAATCCTATCTGCACCTGCTGCCAGCCCCTCTTTGTCAGATGTGCATCAGCATATTTCTCACTGAGATAATTTTCTCGACTTTTACGTCCAGCCACATTGTGGAAACCCTCTGCATGACGAATCAGGTGCAGAACCTGCACGCAACAGCAAGGCAGTTTCAATTTCCATTTCCCCCCAGCAGAAATTGGGCTTCGGCAGTTCCATGGATCACAATTGTAAAGAAGACCTGACAAACAGAATCCTGCCTGCTGAAGGTGATCATGCATGCACAATGTCCAATCGATGTTTGGTCAATGCCTCTAAGCATAGTTCCAGCACCATATCATTGCTATTCCAAACACCAACTTTCTTGTTGTAGAATTATTGATTTCTAGTCTCTCCGGTTTCAGTTCCCTAGGAATGGTGAACACCCAGCTGGCACGGAACAAACTATTTCTTTTGTGGCACTTTGTGCCCAGCCACGCCCAAGTGGGTACAAAGCCTTGTTTCCATTGTCAGACACAAACTGTGGCCCCAAGATTTAGGTATCGGTCTAGTTATCATTGCATGGCTGGACCAAATCCAGATACAAACAACCTCTCCGTGACCTCATTGGTGCAATTGTGTCACAATTAGCAAATACATTCGATGCAGACTTCCACTCAGAGGCAGCACCATTGTGTGCAGGGAGTTGCGCATGCTATAGTAAAATGGACTGCAGCCCGTCATTTGACTATACCAGCACTGAAGAAGTCCGGTTTGAAGTGCATGCGGTTGGCAGGAAAAGGGACTGTGCAGAGACGTTCGCATTGGCAACTGCAGAAAAAGCATGCCAATAGCCACAGCACTTCAGCAGTACCCAGGTGTCTGCAAGCAGCTGCGAGGAATGAGGCACAGACATGTCCATCGACGACAACATGTTTTGTTGGATGTCTCCCCTCTAGGCAAAAACGAGTTCTTTCATTGCTTCTCTTTAGGCTGTGGATAATGACAATGCTGTACTCTGTGGTCCACAGGTGCATCTTATCACTCATAAAACAGACAACCGCAGGGGCTGCGAGCTGAGCTCACTACAGGGCCTGAACGTTAGGCGTTACGAGCCCAAACAGATGCACTGCAGCTCATCGGCTGCATGGTCGATCCAGTGTTAGCATCATCTGAAGATCAAAATAGTAGAAAGTGCCAACCTTGATTTTCGCATTAGCAGGGCTGTTTTCCTATGCAATGTGCACCAAGAAAAGCACCATGTAGCTGGGAAATGGTTGTTTATTCAATGCAATAGCCGGCGAACGACAACCCCCGCCTTGCACCCACGGATGTTTTCGGGGCCCCATCCTTGCAGATCATTTGCCGCGGCGTGGCGAGATTGGCAAGGGGGCCGCTTAGGTAATTTTCTTCCTCCACTTTGTCACGTGCACTCAGGCCATGACCGCTGTGAAAAGCGGCAAATGCAGTACCAAGACGGATCAGAGAGGGTAGGGTGCCGTTAGTAAAAGGCGTGCGCGAACACTCCATATAAATACCCGTTAACTCTGTATCCCTCAGATTGGCAATCACGCACGCAATCACCCATCGACCATCCGGCCATGAGGTGGCAGGGAATCCGCTGCAGCGGGCAGCTCGCATAACGCCGACGCGCTCCAATCCCAGTCGCCATTCACTTGCCTTGGTGTGGCGCAGCGGGACGATGGACAGCTGCGGCCGCCCAGTCTTCAGCTCGTCGCCGGGCGCCGACTCGTCAGCCTTGCACTTTTTGGCCGGGCGTTCCATCCTCCTGCGTCCCACAAGCAGGTCGCGACGGGCAAGAAGCTGGCAGGCACCAAACCGGCAACACTTCCACGGCCATTGCCTGGCTGGCACGTGGCTTGACGCTGCGGCACCGACGGTTCGTGCCATTTCCAAGGCGTCCGTCCATTTGCAAATTGATGGCCCCCCCCGTGCGCCCTGCGCCCTGCACTGGTTGCACTCGGTGTTGCCTGGTGAAAACTATGGAGAGCTGCAAGCCACCAAGAATTTATTCAGCACCTGGACCTAATTCCTTTGGTAAGCTTGCCTTGAGACCACTGTACCGGGTTTTCCCCAAAATTGCCTGGCGGTGTGCCAACGAGCCTGCGCTGACTTCTGTGTGATTTCCGTCGTTGCAGAACACATCCATGGCGTCGGTCATGTTGTGTCAACACAAATGTTTGATGTCAAAGGTGTGATGCAAAGACTCTTGGGGATCACATCTGCGATGTGAACCCCGTGCAAGGGCCGTGAATATTGGGAAGAGGTGGCAGTGGATCCCACTTCTGCCTTAACTTGCCAGCGATAGTTGGTTGGCTGGCCAGATGGCTGCTTGGCTTTGCAACCCATTTGGATTTTGTAGGCTTTTCTTGGATCGGATTTACCGCCAACCCCCCCCCCCCTCCATATAATTTGAATTCTACTCTAGCTCAGACCAGTCGTTCCTCTTCGACTTGCCAGGATCCCAGAGGTGTGTAACAAATCCATACCCGACGTGGGGCAGAACTGCAACGTCCATCCCCATGTGCGGCAGCTCCTTCGAGTTTTTCTGTGGCAGGGCTGGGAAACGGATACACTGTGGAAGAAATGATCAGCCAGAAATGTGCAAATTACTGTATTATTGCAGCGCTCTGTTGCACGATGGCTGGCCTGCTTTGAAATTGAATCTAGGGCGTGTGACACAAAACGCACAACCTGAATCGAAACCGTGCTGAAGAGGTGAAAATTGTGCATCCACAATGAACCCAGTCAAATTGATGCAAGAAAACTAGTTCCGAACGGCGCCAGAATTGAATCAGTGCGCCAAAATGTTGTTTCGTCACCGCTTGCAAGTTCAGGATTGTCGTGTGCCTTGATGCCCTCCACGGCTGTAATCTGTGTGATTAACAGCAGGCTTGTTATTTACGTTTATGTTTTTACTCGTAAAAAGGTAAATTTGCAGAGGCTACTTTTACGGTTGTTTTTTACGTTTTCACGGCTCGTTGTGACACCCAGGTTACACGATGGAAGCTGCGTACAGTGATCAGTACTCCGCCCCCTTGAGCGCCCGCAACACAGCGCCACTTCCCACTCGGCAACGGCCACGATGGAGTGGAACAAAATTCGTTTTATGCCCATTCCAGTGCGTCTGGATACCATTCCCCGGAGTCCCGAAGGCTGTATACATACGTATGTACAGTCCTTATGTACACAGGGCGGTTTTCGCATTGTATTTACGTATTTTCACGCGTTTTTACGCGTAATAATGCAAGATTTTATTTGCGCGTAAATACGATATGTGCGTACGGCGTAAATGACAAGCTTGATAAACTGCATCACTTTGTTTTTCTTTCAAATGCCATTAATGCTGAAACGACCTTATCGCCCTCAATTTCTGCCTTACCGGTCTCCTGAGCCCACCCCGTCATGTACCCCATGACAATACTTACAACAACAACCGTCAATGTCACATACCCGAGGTTCCCGTCCATCAAACTTGCCCTTTCGCTTCGCTAATACTTCAATGCCACTTCAGTGAGTGACTCCCCATGAGTCAGCTCCCTTTCCCGTACTTCACTCCCTCAACTCCCTCTCCATCCCACAACTAACCCGAACTCCACTATCCAGGGCGGGAGGGCTGGGTGCGAAACAAGATAAGGAGGGGGACCGAGGGGCTGCCTAAATAGCCGCCCTCCGCCGCCCCGCCAAAGCCCGCCAAACTCGAGGGGCCCTCGCGGGCGGCACCTCGGAATACCGTACTTTGACTGACCCACGGTACTAGAGGGTGGCCAGAAATCCCAAGGGACGGGGTTGAGTAAACCCCAGGTTCAAACTGCACCGTTTGAATCGCCGGTGCAGCCCACCCATCGTCGCCCTTGGCAGAAACCTATGAACAGGATAGTTAATCCCATATCCACCGCGGTGGAAGTCCCCAGGATTCAGGCATGAGCTGCCCCCAGAGTTCAATACCCCAGACTGCAGCCGAAGTATAGCTACTGCCATTTTGTTCTGCGGGCTTCTGTTGATGATGTCTGCTTGATGAAATTTTTTGCAGCGTTGATACGCGTGGCTCTGGTCCGGATAAGCGTCATATGCGTGGGAATGCGCTGCGAATCCCGTGTGTGAGCCGGCTGCCCAATTGGAGCTGCAACCTGAAGGACGCCCCTGCTGAGATTCCTCGCCAGAGTCCAGTGGCTTCCTCGTGCCGTATTCAGAACCACACGACGGCGCCTTGCTAAAAGAGGCGTCGACTGCACCCTTGCACAACGGGTATGCTCTCGACCGCAAGCTGGCACCCAGGGCCACATGCCACACGTGACCGTACACGCCCACCGCGCAGTACTCGCTCACTCCCAAATCGCGGCCACGGCGGACAGCCCATCTCCACCAACAGGGCCCCGCGCTGTCGCGCGTGTGGTCACGTGAGCGGTACCGCCCGTGACGTCCCTTGCCAGTAGTAGGCGGGGGTCACACATGCGTCAAACCCGGACCGCACCCGATGGGCCATGACTGGAGCGCACAGGCTGGCGCGGCCTGGGGCCCATGTTTGGCCGCCCTCGGGGACCCCTTCCCCCCACCCCGGCGCTAGGGCACCGCCTGTGGGCGCATTGGACAAGGTGAAGGGCCGGCAGCCACGGGGATTGCCCATCTGCTGAGCCAGGCTTTGAGGGATTTCGGAAACTGCAGCCGGGCTCCGCGTTGGACGGCAGGCCAATCGCGAGAGCGCCTGCGACGGAGGAGATTGGCGGCCGGACGGGCGGTGAGACGGAACGGACGCCCGGACGGTGGCGATGCTGGGGCTCGTTGGTGCGAGGGGGCGCTAGGGCAGGGTCCCGTCGCCGCGGACTCGGCACGGATTGGGTGCGCAACGGCGGCTGCGAGCATGGGGACTCCATTCGATTGCGCGGCGATGACGCGTGGCAGCGATTCGCGTGCGTCTGTGTGCGTCGCGCGATCCAATCGCATTGGTGGTGTGCTTGCGCACGGTGTGGCAATGGCCATCTGCCGGCCCGTGCTGACCATTGGCAGGAATGTGGGGCAGCGGGTTGATCCTCATGCGCCAACTTCAGGACCCTGATTGCGCGCGGGTGTGGGGGCAATGGCATGGAAGGCGTTGCGCCGGACCTGCGGATGCCACCAGCGGACATCCCGTCAGGTCGACGGCCGGGGAATCGGCGGTGTGATTACGTTCAAAGCCGTAGTCATCTTGCTCGTTGAGCGCCATGAGCTTGCCCCGAACTTCCGACGGATATCGCGCAATCGCCTGATTGATGTGATTACCAAAGCGGGTGCGATACCGTGACGGTGGTCACAGGCCTGGATAAATTGCTCTCACGTAGGTGCGGTCGCAGGCGGCCCAACCATGAGCGGCGCACCAAGTGAGGAACCTCGCAAAGGCGCCGTGGGCTGTGTTGGGCCCAGTCGGGCCCCCAAAGTGCAACAACATCGCAGCCAAGAGACCCGCGCGAATGCAGTCTTCCCAAATCCCACACCGGGCAGCGCTCAACGCTGTGAATCCGGCTGCCAATGCCGGCCAGGGAGTGACATCCACGACCCCTGCTGGCTTCCCTACACTCTCGATCTGCGGCCACTGCTGGACCAGGCCTGCAGAAACCAGGGCAAGGGAAGTCACAGACAGGACCAGTGCTTCTACAAGGGAACCGGTCAGTTCGCTGGTATGACTGCCGCGACTGGGAACAGCCGGAAACGTGCATGAATTTTCGATTTGCCCGTGCAAGTTCTCAGCAAGCGGGTGGCAGGAATGCCGAGCATCGCGTGGCGTGCTTGCGGTCGGTGGCATAAAAACAGGAGGCTTAAATAATGTGCCCAGGTGCCAAGAATGAGACGATGGCCTGTGTAGCATGAGAGCACCACGGAGCACTTGAGGATGGCAGTTGCCGTCTGGACACGGTGGGCATTGTTGGGCCATGGACTGGGCTTTTGCTACTGATGGCTGTGTTGGGCTGCTGTGGGCAGCCGGGCCAATAAAGAACGAGCTGACAGTTTAGCATTTGTGAATTCTGCGGCGTCACGTGCGGGTAGGTTCTGACGGAACTCTGAGCCAAAATTGTTGGCGCGGAAGGCCTTTGCTGCCGGTGTGCTCGGTACCAGAATGGCCCAGTGTGGCGGGGTGGGATGTGCCAGTCCATTTTGGAGTTGATCATAATGTTCTGAGCACCAATGGCACTGATGCTCGGGGTGCGGAAGCCTTTCGAGACGTCACTGCCCCGGTGGAGTGCAGAGCTCTTGTTCCTGCATTTTTGCAAGGCATCAACTCAAGGTGGGACGAGTCTACACCTGTGAATGACCTGTCTACAGCTTGACGCGTGGGGGTGCTTGACAGCATGTGAGAAAACCAAAAAGAATGAATGAAATTTGGGACACACATCGTGGTGCAGTTGGGACTACATAATGTGACCAGCGTTGGCCTGGCAGGTTCCCATGCAGCATCCAATTGGACATCTGGGCCTACCAGCGGTGCATCTTTTGGGGTGCTCAACGGTGGAATTGAGGATATTCTGTGGTACCCGTCGCAGCTGATGCACTCAGCGGTTGTCAGTGGCGCAGGTACAACAGGTCTTGGTCCTGGGATTCGTTGTGCACTGTGGCTTGGATGACGAATTGTGTATTTGTAGGGAGGCGCCCACACGACCTGCAGCCACGCGCTGAGGTCGCAACGAGGGCTTATTTTCTTTGGTAGCCCTGGAGGGAACCAGTGCCCGATCACTACTGTCTAATAGGATAACAGAGGTGGGGCAAAAATGACGCCAGCAGGGGCGCACTGAAGGCCGGCAAGCGCTCGAGATTTGGGTGAGGTCAAAGTGGGAGGGACGTAGGATTGGGCTGTCTTCCAAGGTCGGTGGCTTGTCACAGGGATTATTGCGAGCTTGAATGGCTGAGCAACAGTCAAGCCGCAGTCACTCCATGGCTTGCATTTGTGGAACATAAGCTTGTGGCATCGCTTGTCAAAGATTGGAGGCAAACGATTCAAATGCTTCGTTGCGTTCACTCAAGAGGTGCAGGAAGATCCTCATGCCAAGCACACAGCTCGCAACAGCACATTGCCGGCGAATGAGATGTTCAAACAGCACAAGTTCGTCAATCCCTGGTGATGATGAGTCCATTGCGGCAGAACGGCCTTTCCCAAGCCCACCCTCATCCCATCCTACAGCATTGGTACATTGTACAGCAACTGAACAAGAGAACGAAACACAGAGCATAGAATTGAAAAATGGGAACCGCCAAAGAAAAGTCAAAACTGTTCCAATGGATGACGCGCATGTACGTGTCGTGACTTCTGAGTGTGAACAACAGGTGCCAGACAAAGTTCTTGACCAGGCCATGGACTGTACCACACAACCATGAAAGAAAACAGGACTTTGAACCTCCAACGCTGAGTGCAGAATATATGCAACAAAAGCATACAACAGTAGTCCAGCAATGGCAGCGAGGCTTGCATGAGCCCTCTTATTCTGCCTGTAGAGCAGGCAATTGCCATACTTGCTGAACTGGGCTTCAACTAAACGTCGAGTTTTCCAGCAGTATGGGTACGCATCGTTCCGTGAACAAGCTTCATTTCAGCCTGATGACAGCTGAGGCAATAGTCGAATTCTCACAGGACCATTAGTAGACCCTTCCGTGCAACATTCCAATTCCCGCATTCATGGTGAGGCAAAGTAAAGAGTTGAAGAGCCAAGCACTACCGAAAATGCAGTGAGCTTGTCCAGCCTAGCTGTTACAAAGCAGCAAGTGGTTCATAGGTACCCTCGAACATAGCATTGTGCCCATAATGCTGTCCCAGCCGCAGGAATCAGAGCAGGCAATGCATGAATAACAAGAGAACCCCATCAGGGAATTCTTTGAGGAAAGGATACAACCAAAAGGGGCAATCGTTCAACGCAGTGTGGACTCCACAATCAATGGAGGTTTGACCTCATCTAGAATGAGGGACAGCGTGTACCAGCCAGAAAGAGGTTTTTTCGTTCGTTGTTTGTTGTTTCAGGGTTCTTGGGTTTTATGGTATAGGCTGGTTTGTTGCCACTGTGCTGAGTCAATGGAAGCCCTGATTGGCCTCTTGGAATGTGGACTGGGTTGAATCACCATCAGGTGGACTTGGCTTTACCTCACGGACCGTGGATTAGGTCTTACCGTCAATGTGAACCAGATTTGAGACCCACATCCACAACCCAATGCTTCATTAACGATGGGGCTACTTGGCAGCAAAGCACTGATGGTGTGGTGCCATCTTCAGGTGTCAAATAAACACCACTGACACACACAACTTGACATCCAAACAGCAGACACATGGCCATAGCAACGGCATAGTCGACATCATTCTCTCATTATCCCCTAGAATTGATCAGCTGCATTGCACCAACCGGACTATTAAAGGCCTCATGCTTCGATCAGCAGGGTGTCACCATGGCTTCCTTCGCATTCTTGCCATGGATCCACTAGTCAAGCCTGTTTGTCCTGTATTGGCATCATTGTCTATAATTGCCAAAGCTGAACAATCTGGGCAACATCAATATGTTGAGAGGGCGAGCACATATTGCTCCACCATAGTACAGACTCAATCATGGCCCAAGCCCACGTGCTCGTCTGCAGCCACAGAACTTGCTGAGGAAGGAGCACTGCCAGGCAACTGTTCCCTGTTCTGCATGCAGATACAGTTGAATGATGAACAGTTATCAGATCGGCTGCTGGTCAGGGCTATTCATCATGACTGAGACCACATTAGCCTCACACCAGGGTTTTCTGGGTGTAACAGTCAGCCATTGATGCTGACCTCAACTCCTTGGGGATTGGTGGACTTTTGCAATAAGCATTCCCTCGTTGAAATCAGCTGACTACGAATAGCTGGCAATGGACTGAACACCTGAAAAGCAAGCAGTGCAGGTGCTTTTTGACCCAATCTAGCAAGAGGCTCCAGTGAATCAAAGTGAGGAGTCGACTGACAAGGAAGGCAACAGCAGGCATTCACCCCTGCTGGTTGCCCCTCTGGCTGCAGGACAGAAGCTCTACAGCAGAAGGAAAGGGGTGCTGTGGGATTTATGACCACCTTTACGAACTGCTGTGCATGACCATTCTCACATCAGATAATTGACTACTTGGATACTCTGCACCACACCAAACTGTGGCACACAGCCACTTTCAGGCTCGGGCGCACTGGAGCCTAGCCAGGGGAAGTTGCAGCTGACAGTGGTGGCATTCTCGACAGACTCACCCAAGAAACACCAGGATGGCAGTTAGTCCGCTTCATTCACATCAGTCTGTCATAGCGCACGAACCTTGCGATTATAAAACCGTCTGGGACAATTTGTTGCCATAGCCTACAATTTCAGCCACAGAACAGTGCCGAGAGAGCCCGTTGCCTGCATGCACCACACATCCATAAAGTGACTAGACTGGGGTGATGGACACAAGGAGAGCAAAAGGATGCCCTGTGGTGCAGGTTCAGAGTATCGTTTTGGGGATAGTCAGTGACAGCTCCATTCCTCCTTTTAGTGTGAGTTCCAGTAATGGTCCCTTCAAAAAGGTGCCATTGTTGCGAGGGACCTCAACTGCCAAGTCCACACTTGTTCAGAATTTCCCAACTCCCGACTCACCGCGCCGTGGACCTCAAATCAAGACTCAGCGGTGCTCGCTTGGGCGACAGAGCACAAATGGCCACAGGCAATTCCGTGTGCACAGGCGGGTCTGAATCAACGTCGCATGGCTTTTGACCCGAAGCCTGACGCGCGACTTGATCAAAGCTTCCGACCAATTTCCGTCTGGGGCATTCTTTCGGGGTGCGCCGGCAGAGCTGCATGATTCACTGCCGCCTTTAAAGCGCGCGCTGCGCCATCGCGCACCGATATGGGACGCCCCACACACCACTTCTCGGCAGGGTATGCTCCCAACCGGCTCGAAGCTCGCACGAAGCAGGTTTCGAGTCCAACAGTGGTGATTATTGTACGGCAAGCAAGGCAGTGGAAGGGAAAAAAACACGCTGGTGCGCATGAGAAAAGCGTTGCTGATGGGCAACTTGGCCACGAATTTTGCACCCACTGCCATTGGCCAAGTGCGGCAGCGTCTCCTCCACAGTCGCCCGCCAGCGGTCGGGACTGGGGGCTTCGCTGGAGGCGGCCCGGGGCGCCGAGCTCCGACATGGAGACGCGGATCCGCTCGCAGTTCGGGAGCGGCTGCGACGCGCTGGTGGCGTCATCATCCTGTGCACCGCGGCCTGGTGGGTTGTACTTGAACTGGAACCGCTGCGCCCGGAATCAACTCAATATAATGCGGACGGGGCATAAACTGACCCCAGATCTTGGGCTTCAGGATGCCCCAATGTTGGACCGCACATTGCGCAGCCGCGTTGTCTCTGATGGGCATGATGGCTGATGTCTCCGCCCGGCCATTTGTTGATGCAGCGGTCGGCAGGTTGCAGATTGTGGCGAAGACGGCGACGCCGCGGGAACAGAGGATTCTTCGACACAGGCGCATCCGAGCAAAGGTTGTGCGCCGTTTGCCGTTTTGTGTCTTACTTCGTTTCCCGTCAGGCCCTGCAAAAGACAGGACGGTGGCGGCCGATGGGGACTTGGTTGGAACTGCGGAGTGACAGTGTCGGCATGTTTGGTGACTTGAACGCAAGACGGGCTGCGGCGACTGCCTGCTCGTGACCAATGGTATTCATGTGCCTAGAATTAGCCTGGTGGCGTTTCAACACTTTGGCAGAATCCATGTCCCAAATTGTTGCGCCCTTGTGGGCTCCCAATGCGTACAACTGATCAGCGCCTCGTTTCGCAAGATAAATGCTGCCAATGTGCGCGTTCACTCCTGCCAGTCACTCTTTTTGACTCCAGTCGGCTGTCTGCTGCTGTCCAAGGGAATGGCTGAAGTCGATTGCCATGCGTTGAGTGATGATCAGTCTGTGTCGTGATGCAGTTGTCGGGAACCCCAGAGAGGCCAAGGCTGTGCGTGTTCAGGTCTAACAACCATATTTATGCTCAAGTGAGTGGGAGGTACACCAGCTCTGTGCAATTGCTGATGATGTTTCTGTAAACACCGTTGAAAGATTCCTTTGAGCTCAGTTCATTTGTACCTGGATTCGTTGCAAGAAGAATGAGAAATATGACAATGGGCACATCTCTCTCAAGAGCTGACCAAGCACCAGTTGCTGCTGTACCCCTGTGGAGGTGCGAGCTTTGGTGTGCTCATTCAGCAGCGTCGATGCAGATTTCCCTGCTGATTTTGCTCACATGGATTGCTTGGACAGCATATCGTGTTGCTTTCATGTCAATATTTTACTTGGGTTGCTGTCCAGAAAGCAAATGTTTCAAGAGCTGTGCAGGGAAGGGATGCGCACTGCATAGCCTGTTTCTCCTTCTGTGAACACTCAGTGCACCCTCTTCAGGTGATCGATGACATAGCTGGTCACACCCTATGTGCTGCGTGCACGCTCACCAAGGGAGTGAAAGAAGAGACTGGTGGGAAAGGCAACAACAAGGTGACAAATCCCTGCAAGGGCACTTGACATCCCTCCCAGCTGGCAGCAAGCGCTTGCATTGTGCCACAGCGAATGCCATTTGTCCAAAGCACATGCACTGACAAGGAATGCTAGTTTGCTTGTACAATTCTGAGTGTTGGCACCTGAGCCCGAAGTTCTCAGCACTTATTGGGACATTGATTTTCTTTGGTGCTACCGACAGGATGCTGCATTTAAGGTTGGCAAACTTGTTGCTGAGCGGTGTTTGGAGAAGGGAGTGTCCCAAGTGTGCTTCGATCGGGCTGGATACTTGTACCATGGCCGCGTCCAGGTGGGTTGCAGTGGCCTGGGCCCAAGTCACACGCTTAGCATCTGCTGTTGGCATGATCCCAGTTGGTACTGTCATCAGCCTTTGCATGAGATCAAGAGAAGCGCACAGCATTGTTGGGTGTTCCAGCAGTTGGAGCAGTCATCCAGAGGACTTGTGGCCCAGTGGCTTGGTATTGAGTGTTCTGATTCTGAGCTGCCTCCCCTAGTGTCTGACTGACTTCCAGAATCGCTGAATAAGTGGAAGGAAAATGTTGTTGCGCTTTGTGAGATTTGTACTCAATGCTGATGTATGCTTGGACGCTTGAGCACGTCGGTGTTTGTTGTGTTTCCCAGTGAGGGTTTTTGATAAGCAGCATTGTCTGACACATCCTTGACAGCTATCAATGCTACCAGCATATGCTGCCGCCCTTTCCCTACTTCAAGACATGATTCTGCTGGCAGGGGAAATAGCATTCAACAGTCTCACTTGTGGCATGCTGCAGTTTAGACACCGATTGGAATACCAAAATTGCAAGACGGGGCCATTCCAGCAACAACTGGTTTGATTGACGATGCTAGGACTGCACGTGGAAATGTAGCTGAAACACACGCAGTGCACATTGGAACATGTTGGTGATGGCTATGCTTTGTGCGCTCAAAACATTTTTCATCCCTCTGCAGGCTGTGGCGGATGGTGCACGAGAGGCTGGCCTTCAGTTTTGAATTGTCCCCAAGATCAACTGACACTGCCCTATTCTAGCAGCCAAGCTGAGCACAGTAAGGAATTGGTGTGTTTACATGTGCCATGCGTGACAAGGCAGTCGTGTTGGTGATGGCATGCACAATGCGAAGTCGTGTTGATGATGGCGTGCACAATGCGATGTCCTGTGCATATATGGCCGCTCAATGGGATGCTCTACAGCAAGACCTGCACCAGTTGAGAAACCTGTGGACAGCAAAACCGAACGTTTCTCATTCTGTGGGTTGGCAGTGCTGTGCTTGTAGGCTTGTGCTTTCAGTTGTTCCAGAGACGCAATTTTGCCCTTGCACCTGCAAGTGACGTGCACCATTTGAAATCCAGATTGATTGCACCCACACTTTGTGCCGGTAGCTCATGCGAACTTTCAGGATTGTGGGCGTGTGCTGAAGCTTGCTGGAGAGGCGACCTGTATTCAGTGCTACAGCAGGTTGTACAGCATCAGCAATGGGAAAAACAACAAAAAACAGGACATGAGAGCTTATTGGTAGCATGTTGGTGCGTGAGTGGATGTTGTCACCTTGGTGGGCAATGCCTGACTGCAACTCACACGACAGCTAGGCGTTTGACCTTCTCATGGGCATCCAGGGCAAGTTCAGTGCACCCATCAACACCAGGACGACAGTGTCCACATCGCCAAGCGACTGTACAAGCTGGCTTCAGCTGACTAGATAACTGAAGTCAAGGTTCAGTACACTAGAAGTGAAGCCAGTGGCAGAAAGTGGCTGCCATTGGGCTTTTGTGTGTCGTGATGCGTTCCACTGCAGTATGCCCATATATGCGCTCCCCAGCAATATGCCCATATATGCGCTCCCAACCAATATGCAGCAACATGCCCGTGTGCTGCTAGCATGTGCAGATGTATGTCGAATCCAACATCGTGACAATTCCTGCATGCTCATGCTCAGGTGCAGTGACCAGGGATCCTTTTGCCCTGTGCATGTATGCGAACAACAACCAAGCAGTGTTGAACTTGTCCTTATATAACAAAATTGCATGGGCCAACCGGGCAAACCGAGCTGACAGTGAATTGGGGAGCATCTTGAGCAGCAACTGTCTGTGTCGGTCGGGCAATGCGGTTCATGGCAGACGCTTGGGCATGGCGTGATACATTTGAAGAGCAAGCAAACATCGCAAAATTTAGGAGGGGCAATGACTTTTGTAAACTCTGAACCAAGTCGTGACTGTTGTCATACGTGGCGATGTGACATGTCTTGAGAAACGTTCCCATGATCCTTTGCCTTCAAAACCAACAGCCCCTTTCCACATTGGTTGAAGAGGCTGTATCCACACGAATCAAGAATCGGTGGAAAAACACCATCGCGCGTTGTGCACAGACGTCCATTCTTGTTCTAAAACTGACAAACGGGAACAACCTTGTTTGTCGCTGCAATATCTGCCATCGTTGGCCCGAATGTCTGTCGTTGTAGAATCATAAAACGAAAGTCACGCACTTCGAGGCGCACCCAAACTGCCATGTTTTCAGCATTTTCGTTGGCGAAGTTGAGTACGTAGAAAGAATGACAAATTGAACCGGTGAGGGATGGAAGAATGCCACCGGATGAAGACCGTCATCGTGCCACACCATTTCGTTTACCATTATGCCTTCACAGCCTGCAGGGTGCAAGCCCCCTGCTTGGACACTGTCGACCTGCGTGGCCGCTGGATTACTCGTAGAACCTTCCCAAGATATGGAGTTACAGGAAACGCACAGTACGCATTATTGGCGGTCTCGGAATCATCGGACTGCAAAGTCCGGTCCCCGCTCTCGGATGCCGGCATCTCTCCACTACCCCAACGCCAACATTGGATAGGCGTACAAATCCGTTTTTGCCCTTGCGAAAGGGTCCTCGCCGGCCCGGAGGCTCGTTGGCAATCCCCTTGGCAATCCGCTGTGGTTCCTCAACAATCGCCAATGTCGTCATCATTCCCCCTCACATCGTGTACTCGCATCGCTCCTATAATCCATCACATCGGTCATGTCGATCAGAGCCGTTTTTGGACCCGATATTTCTGGCACACACGCCCATGACATGCGGTCGGAGCTCTCACAATTGGCCACGTATGGCGGGGCGCCACGCAGGCTACTTGCCCCCCATCTCACGGAGTCTCGAAACGAGACACTGCAGAACCGCCCTGGCACGAACGGGGGCCCAGGCGCCCTGCTGGGCGCCATGCACCGCGCCTGCTGCAGCGCCGGGGAGGAGGGTCACTGGGGAGGTCACCTGCCGGTGCTGCACTACGGAGAGCCGTCGGAAGACGTGGAGGAGGAAGAAGGAGGCGAGTGACGTCCCTTGAGCCCTGTGGGGTCGTTGACAAAAGCCAAGTACCTTGCTCTGCATGGCTTGGCTGTGGTTGCTTCGGATGAGTGTGCCGTTCCCCGGTGATCAGAGCGTTCCCGTGCACCTGGCACTGTGGACAGCCGGCCTCAAAGAGCCGCGTGCGGTGCCCAACGAGTCAGGAGCGAAAGAACAAGAATAAATCACCTTGGAGTTGGAATTGGGCACCACCGCCAGATAGCTAGTTGTGCTATGTCTGAGATCCGGCTCAGGGAACGCCCAGGAAGGAAGTTGGCACCTGCCTTCAGGGATTGAGAGTGGGTGTTTTGCCACGGAATCTGCCGATGTGTCCGCTTCTGTTTGCCTGCGTTTGATTTGCGCTTGTGGATGGGCAGGGCCGGGGCATGGGAGAAAGGCGCCCGCCACGCAGCCCTTCAACGGCGCGTGCGCGCCGCAATGGATGCCGCCCTCGAATTCGCACCCGAGCGGGGCTGATGGCGACGGGCGGGGCCGTGCGGGGCGCCCAGACATCTCGCGCCTTGGGGAGGAGGCCCCCCTGGCTGCCGTGGAAGCCGAGCGGCGAGTAAATGTCATGCGAATATTCCTCAGGTGAGGGAGGGGGGGACGAGAGGGGTGCAGATTTGTGACAAACAGGAACAGGTCATACGAAATGCACCCCCTCCGAAGCAAGTGTGTGCGAGACTCTTTTCCACGCTGTGAGATGATGATGTGCAGTCTCCAGTGTAAATTGTGGAGCACACAAGACAAGCAACACAAAAAGCAAGAAGACATGCACTCAGGGGCCGAGGGCTATGGAACCCACACTGCGCTGCGCCCAGTCGACAGCACTTGGAATCTGTGCGTGCTTCCTGGCGAATGCCTTCCCAAGCAGGTGCCATTCGCGTGTGATAGTCTGCGTGCCTGACGCTGCTGCCTGTCTGTCAAAGGCTGGTGGGTTCAAATGTTGAGGACGAAGGCAACCTGGAAAAGTTGCTCACGGACATAAGCAGCGAAGAATTCGCACAGGTAACGCCTGTGAGAAGGGGCTTAAACCGTAGATTCATTGCTGCAAACAGGAGAAACATGTCTGGCGCTGCCATTGTGAGCAACAATATGGTCAGACAACGTTTCGAACTGTGAAAGATGATGCAGCACTTTCTGAAGGCTGGATGAAACTACACAGCACCGTAAAAGGTTCATAGAAATTACACATGTGCACTCAAGGGGAGCAGAAATTTACTCCATAGTGTACATCTGGACTGTGCACATGCCATTGAGTTTCGTGCTGTTGAAAGATCGCGGAGGAGAGAGGCTTGGCTGGCCGGTGTGGCAACCCCATGTGCTCATCCCATGTCCATGGATACAAAGGCAAGTCAAGGTTCAAAGTTGAGAGGGCTGGGGCCGAGCTACAGCTCCATGACCTCACATGCTTCTGCAGGCAAGTTGTGTGCCACCCAATGTTGTACTGTTTTCTGTGCTGGCTTGGACGTTTGCAGCCAAACTGAAAGCTGTGCGAATGCAGCATGGTTAGTGGATAGCGGAAACAAAAGTGCATGTACAATTCACGCTTGCAGTTTGAGCAGTCTATAAATCGTCCAATGGCTGCAAGGGCAGTGCTTTGCCATCCTTGTATTTGCAAGTGCAGTTGCCGCCAGTTTGTAGCACAGAATTGCACAAGTTCAGCTTCTGACATGGTGTCAACCCACATATTACCCTGTCCAAAATGCCAACACAGCAGTCGCCAACTTCACAACTTTTATGAGTTCTGTGAGCAATGCCAGCTGCACGTGCGTGCTGGGCTGTTTGGCTGACGCTTGGCCAGTGATCGACTTTTCAGCTCACGATGCAAGGAGAATGTCAGGAGGTGGATGCAGAGATTGGGAAATCCATATGACAGGCTAAAGGACAGCCCCATGTCTAAGGTATGGAATCTTGGCCTAAGTATTAAAATGCATACTTCAATGTATGGACCTTTGAACATGCACAGTGGCAATGAACAATATGACGATCCATCTGTACGTTCTGTTGGTAACTTGGGCCTTGCTGTACACACACTGGGGAGTGAATTTGTGCACTTGAGCATCACTTGACACCGCCTCCAAGGGTGGGAGGGCAGGGATTTGTCGATGTTTGATAGGTGAAATACTGCTTTCTGTCTACTTGTTATTAGGCTCATAACTTGAGATGTTGCAGCTCACAACTTGAAATATTGCAGTTTTTGTTGGGAAGGGACCATGTTTCAGTTTGCTGCGCACCATCCTGCCTACATGCCATTGGTCAAAGGGAAAACATATGTCCTTCCCTTGGTTTCCAGGTGCTGCAAAATGCCCTTGTGTCCCATCGGGCCAGGCAGGGGAGCTCTGAAGGGAAGGCTGAAGCTGGCTGTGCCGGAACCCTCATGGGCTCTGTGGTCGAGCACTTGCAAAGTGTGAAACCCACCACAGCAAGCACTGGCCACTATACGCAGTCAGTGGCTGAGCAGGTAGGTGCGGTGCATGACTCGGAATATAATCTCATCCTTTGACATCCTCATCCGTTTTTGAGATTATCGGAATCCGTTGTTGCACACAGCAGTGCCAGTACACACACTTTGCACTGACAGAAGCATAATTGCACTACCAACAGTGTTTATGCCCTTTCGATCAGTTCTCCTCTGGTCCTAAGAAATATTAACCAAAAAAAGAAGTCCAAAATGCACGAATCGGAGCACTAGCTTCCACAAAGGTGGACAACTAGGAAAGTCTGTGACGTTGACAAGGTGGCGACCAACAACCAAGATAGAGAGCAACGATCAGCGTGTGAGCTGCACGACCGAAACGCAGGTGGTAATGATGTGCAGTTGGAAATGGCACGCTTCTAAGTTTGGGGCCAAACTAGGCACCAGTTCCACTGTTGTATGTTTTGCATGTCAGTTTAAATTTTAAGAATCAATTGCTGATATTGCTGGAGCGTTGCACATCGTTGTATCAGGTTAACCTCACCTCAGGGTGCTCTCAATACGTGATTGAAGAGCAGGTTGGTGTGCTGATAAAATTGAAAGTACATTATCCATGATCGCCTGTGTCTCAAGGCTGTCAAACTCTGGCTCATGTTGGATGATGTGAGTGTTTGCAGTCCACTGCAGCTGTGGAGGGCTATGTACCAAAAGCAAATTCCGCCAGGCAACAAGCCAGTTCCCGAAAACATTTGGAGACCAACCAGCACCAGGTGGACAGGAATGGCATGCCACAAATCCAAGAAAGAACATCGCCATCCAGTTCAACTGTGGATGTGGGAATTGATGTCAGTGAGAACGATGAGAACAAGCATCAGTCACAAGAACTGCAAATGAGAGGAAGCTCTGCAGGGGCATCGTGTGTGTCTGAGCAGCAGACAGCTGCCCTTGACTTGCATCCGGGATGTGAAGAATTGGAAGAATTCCCTCGGGTGCTTGACTTGGGTCCGGAGCATGGGGGACTGCAGGTTGTTGACAGACCATACTTGAATGTGGATGGTGGACCGCTGCAAATTGACTTGGACAGCACCCGGGATGGGTTTGCAGGGGGCTCCGACACAGACAGTGACGATGGTGCCGAAGGTGTTGCTTACTTTGAGATGCCATCGCCTGCCCGCCACGAGTCCACGCTGTCGATTTTTGGCCGGCTGTATATGGCCCTGGACAGCTGGGTGACGCCCTCGACTATTCAATTTCTTCACCACGGCTTGAAATCACCTCCTGGCGACATATCGGCTGTCCAAGATTTCCAAGCGCTCCAGGTCTTGTCAGGTCACATGAGCCGAGCGTTGGCGCCTGTCAATCGGCGCCTGCATGTCAGGACCACGTTGTCCTCACTTGAGAAAGACTTTGCCAGGCTGCTGGCCACCTTCAAGTTCGACTGCCCCCTGCCATGTTTGTCTGCAGCCGAGTGGCAGATCATTGTTGCGACTGTGCTCAGAGGATTTTCCCTCACTCTGCTGCCCAGCTTAAGGACCGCGTTTGAGGGTGAGCAGGCCTCTGAGAGGGTCGAAGCGCTGTTGAGGCCAGTCGGCTTGGACAGAAGCAGATTCGACGCTTTGGGGTTTGTGTTTTCTGCAGAACGGGTGTTTTAGATGACGGTGCACTAGAGTTTAGGACGTTGTGAATATGTGGAATCACCTCAATAATACAATCGTAGAGTATGGCGCTTGTGGCATAGAGCACAGTAATACGGGCTGTGTGGCACATGGAAGGCTTCTGAGTGTTGTGCCCAATCCTTGTACCAATACCAGCTCGTTGAAATTTCGCTTTGGGCCCATGGGCCTTTTCAGGCAGAACAATTCCCTTGCACCTTCGGGTGACATTTGGCAAGTCTGAGCTATTGACTTAAACCCTGGCTGGATGGATGTGCATCAGAGTGGAAAGTGGCATATGTGGCAATTAGAAACTGGCCGCTGCCTCCTTGCCTTGTGAGCGAGTTGGCTGAAGGCCAGTCTTGCCCATTCTTTTGATTGCTGCCAGCGACTGCGATTGAAGAGTACCAACAGAAGCCGCAATGGTCGCCCAAGCCGTGCAGGTCCCACGTGCGCTGTGGAACTAAGCAACCCCATAGCATGCTGGTTCAATCCCTAGGAACCAGCTACCCTCCCAATAATAAGGCCACTGATCGTAACCAAAAAGCACCTGGCCTATTACCGGAAGGGGGGAAGGTAATTGTCATTGATATGGCAACCATGTTGGATACACCTCTGCATTTAAGCCTCAAACTGCCTCTCGCTGCTTACTACCAGCCCTGCAGCCTCCTTGTTCAGGGGTTGTTCAGGGTTGGTGTGCTTGGAAAAGAAGTTTCGCATTCAGTTCTCATGCAGGCGACTGTACTGGCATGATGCAACCTGCTTTGATAAAGCAACCTGCTTTGATAACACTAAAGTTTGCAGAGCAAATAAATCTCCTAGCAATCTGCACGTGATGTCTGTCGTACCCTCACAACAAGTCAATTATCTTGGCTTGGTGCAGATATGATAATAGGGAAAATGACAAAAGGGGGCCCTCTGTGAGATATCTCGGCAAAAGGGGGTCCTTTATGACAAAAGGGGGTCCTCTGACCGCCCCCTGTACATTAGGCGCGTTGCTAGACCGGCACTAGACCGGCGCCAGACCGACGCCATGCTGGCACCAGTATGGCGCCAAACTGGACCACGGTCCTACTAGGGGCGACCCCTATGGGAGGGCGCAAGAAGCACACAACGGTCGGAGCTGCGGGAGTCGTAGCGATCGGAGCCGCAGGGAAGACCAAGCAGCGATCGGGGCTGCGGGGAGAGCAAGCGGCTACCCAGAGGGGTCGTGATACGGTTGCTTTTGATACGGTTGCTTTTGTAGATGAATTAGATGTATTTGATTACCCTAAATGGGTCTGAGTTGGGTAAACTGGCCCTGGGGTGGTTACAAAGGACATGGGACAATGAACGGAGCAATTAAAGACAATCTTGTATAATGTACAAATGTAGTAACCGCCCGGGGATTCCGACTCCCCGTTTCATCCGACCTGTGCGCCCGCGGGAGCAACGAAGCTCCCTGCATCATTGGTTTCGGAGCGCGGAGCGTTCGAGCGGCGAGAACACACCGGCCGACGGCCGGAATGGCGAGTGGGGATCCTCGCCAGGAGACTGGGAATCCGGGGGACGAATCGGCCGGGCAATTGGTGCCCTATCGAGGCGGGCCGACCCCCATGGAGCTGAATGGAAACGGTGGAGGAGTGACGGCTTTGCAGCACGGCGAGGAAGACGATCGACCGGAGCAGCTATTGCTGCGCCACGTGGGGGCTGTGGCCGCGGCTGCTGCGAGGAGAGCGACCCTTTTTGCGGTCGCAGAATGGAGCCATTCGGCCGGGCAGCAGCAGAATGCCGCTCTCCGCGGTATGGGGGAAACGCTCGGTCGGCAGCTCGAGGCTGCCGCGAATCAATCGACCGCGCAGCAGCTGCAGCAAGGCCACGAGCTGCGCGCCTTGCAGGAAGGTGTGCATGGTAGAATGGCCGCGCAGGAAGGGGCCATTTCGGTGATCGGCGCCGGGCTGGAAGGTGTGAGGCAAAGAGCTGAAATGCAAGCGAATGAGCTCAGGAGATTGCAAGCTGCTGTTCGAGGAGATTGGCTTCGAGCGGAAGAGTGGATCGGCACGGAGATGGACCGTAGAATGGAGCAGATGGGGAAGAGGCTCGCAGAAACGGAGAAGCATTTTACGGCAACCAACCAGAAGTTGGCGGATGAGGTGCAGCTGGCGGGCGCGATCGACGGCGGACGGTTCGCAAGGACACAGGAGGATGTTTCAGAGGTACGCGAACGGCTGGTGGCATTGGAATTGGAGAAAGGAGGCCACGATGCGCGGTTGGAGGCGCTGGCCAATGCTACGGAAAAGGCCTCCGAGGAGGCTTCGATTGCCAATGAGAGCTTGCGCCAAGCGGCGCGAGTGCTGGGCGACCTCGGCGCCGCCATTCAAGCGCAGCAAAACGCGCAGGAATCGGTTTCCGAACGAGTGGAAAGCATGGCTGCGAACCATGCTCGGGAAACGGCCTCCATGGCCGGCGAGCTCGGCGGCATCAAGCGCGCCATCGAGGCGCTGGACCGCAGGATGTCCGAGGCAACGTCCAGCCTCGTCGTTCGGCCGGCTATGCCGCCCTCGACCGTTCGGAGTCGGTCGCCGTTGCCGGTGGCCTCGGGCGCGGAGGATGCAGGTGCCGCGGAGGGAGATGCCGCCCCCGTGGGGCCTGTTCGCGAAAAGGTTACGCTTTACGAGGGGTTACGCACCCCTGGCGTAACGGGGAGCTGCGAGACGGCACAAGGTGTGAGTTTTGGAGTTCCTACGCTGCCCGTCGGTGCTGTGTCGTGGAGTGAGAATCCTGTGAACTGGAAGGTGAATCAGAATGTGGACTGGGATGCATTTCTGAACAAGCAAATTCCCAGTAGCGTGTACTTAGGGACAATGGTGCAAACTGTCCCAAGTACTACAGTGCAAACCACTATGGCACCGCCGGAGAACTTGGAAATTGCGAGCGGCATTGCAGCACCATTGTTGCCTCCTGGTATCAGTCAGACAGCAGGCACTTCAGTACAACCTGGTCAATCTTCCCGTGGTCAATCAGCTGGTCCGAGTGGAGTACCGTCACGAGTGAGTGGAGCTGGAGCAGCTGGAGCTGGATTCCCTACACAGTCGGCTCGCCAACCTCCTTTCTGGGGGGTAGGCGTGCCAGAGGATCCCTACAGTGGGCTGGGATCATATGGATCCCTGGGTGGTGGAGCTGGAGGATCAGGTGGTCACGAACCGCCAAGGAGACCACCCAGAAGGTCACCCTCAGGAGGCCCGCCTGGTGGCCCGCCTGGTGGCCCATCTGCAGATGGCAACGATGACAGAGACGACGATTCGATGGGCGAGAGAGAGTCATCACATGGAGGTGGGTTGCTGGATGTTGGACACAGAGTTGCCGCTATCCCTGTCGACACTGGATTCGGGAGATTGAGGATTCCGATGCCAGACAGATTTTCTGGCCACCATCAGGATGTGAGCTGCACAGAATAGGTGCTGGCCATGTGCAGATGGCTGCATGGCAATGCAGTGGACGAGTCACGCTGGTTGTCAGTGATGTCAGCAAATCTGTCTGGAGCTGCCATATCGGGGATGAACCTGGTAGAGTTGCAGGTCTATCAGGGGACACGAGCGCCATTTGCTGATTGGCGCGAGTTTACTGAGGCGCTGCGTGGCACTTTTGAGTCAGCCACACTGGGAGAGCAGGCTAGGCGCAGACTCCATACTTTGCGTCAGTACAAGTCTGTAGAGGCGTACGTCAGGGAGTTCCAGAAATGGAGCTTCAGATTACCAGACATGTCCAAAGCTGAGCGTTACTACCAGTTTATCGAGGGCCTCAAGGAGCCCATGAGATCGACAGTGGCTTCTTGGGTGCCTGAGGACCCTGATAAGGCCATCGCGACCGCTTTGCGTCTTTCTAGCCTTCAGCGTGGGGGCTGGGAGCAGTCTCAGGGGCAGAGCCAGGGCAGAGGTCAGGGCCGACAGTCTGGTGGACGTGGACGAGGCAGAGGACGTGGCCAGCAGCAGCAGCAGCATCAGGTTCAGGCAGTCAGCCAGTCTCAGCAGCAGCAGCAGCATCAGTCTCAGTCTCAGTCAGATTCAGTTGCAGCAGTTCAGCAGGGTGGCAGAGGCAGAGGCAGAGGTAGGGGTCGTGGACAGCAGAGTAGTGATGGCGGCCGTGGTGATGGCGGTCGTGGGCGTGGTGTGTGTCGGCTCTGCAAGAGTCCGGGGCACTACGTCAGTGTTTGCCCACGGCTGGAGGAGGCTGCTAAGCGGTTAAACTAGCCGCGGGGCAGCATGCACCGCCCACGCTACCCCGGAGAGAGCAGGGTGATCCGGCTAGGAGAGCAAGTCGCCGGACGCTGGAGATTTCTGGGCGGAAGTTTGAGAAGGTGAGCCATCCTTGGTGGAATTCTGTGTTGGTGGGGCCACGTGTTGCTATTGTAGCCTCAGAGGAGTCTCATCTGTTTGGGTGCACTGGCCCAACTGCAGTAGATAGTCAGAGTGTTGTTTCTAGTGGTGATCATGATGTAGATGCCGGAAAGAAGAACGATGTGAGCACTGACTTTTTCCCCGCAGTCAGTGATAGCTGTGTGGTTGGGGTCACAACTAAGGTTGATAGTGTTGAGCAACCTGTTCTTACTGGCAGCCAGAATTTCTGTGATGAGAGGCTGACCAGTTCTAATGCACCCAAAGCTGGTGGTGGTGATGTAGAGGGAGAAATGGTGGGATTGCGCACCCCACTTGTCTGTCCTCTAGCCAGTGTTGGGTTCATGGGATATGAACTTTTAGGCAGTATAAACCGGCATGCAGTTGTGGCTTATGTCGATAGTGGGAGCACTGCGAACTATATTTCTGAGGCAGTTGCTCGACGGATTGGTCTATCACCGAATGGGAAACCGGTGAAACTGCAGATGGCTGACACGACCACGCGTGAGACATTGGGTCGTGTGTTTAGGGTGAAATTTCGCTGCGGTCAGTTCATGAGCACTTTTGATGCAGATATCTTCCCAGGATTGGCTCATGATGTACTCCTTGGTTTGCCTTGGTTGATTA